TATTGGAATGGCTACTTATCAAGAAAAATAGATTTTGTTATAATGTTCGTTAACCTGTAATACTCCGTTGAGTATGGGTAGTTGTAAGGAATGATACATGATTAGATAATGTTTGTTGGGTTTATTTGATGATAATTAGTGCTAAGTCTGGGGGTGAATTTAATGTCAAGAGAGCAATGCTGCAAAAAGGACTGATCAGATAAATATGGGTCCTAAAGTAAGCCCATTACATATAGTTTATTTTGGGTAAGAGGGGGTTAGTGGGTTATTAGAGTTAATGGCAGGTGAAGGAGTTTAGATATGGGGATATAGTAGGGATAGATGGGAGGGGGATAGGTTGTTGAGTCAATGGGAAAATTGAGGATTTAAATCAATTGGTGTTCGTATAGATTGCTTATATGTACTTATAAAACATATTAATAAGCTGCTCATTTCACTATTCTCTAAATGATGTTGTTCTAGTTATATGCTTTTAAGCATTTAATAAGTAATTAGTAAGATACTTATTAAAGGAGGAATATGTTTATAAATATATGAATAAGCTGCTTATTAAACTATTATCGATACCATGTTAATAGGCCACTTACAATATGCCTATAAAGATATTAATAAGCTGCTTATTAACAGGTAATAGTGGTAATAGGCCACTAAAATATGCGTTAATAAACTGCTTATTACACTATTTTGCAGCACCCTAATCTAAAGCAAGGAGCATTTTTGTTAATGCAGAAAAAAACACAACATTGATCTAAGATGTTTTTATTTATTCAAACAGCAACAATTACAGTCTAAATGAAAAAATATATCAAAATGAAGTTTGTGCCAAAAGTTTGTTAGTAACTTCAAGGAGCCATGATGAACCCACTCATGCTCCGACCTGCTTGAATTTGGCTTTGGCAAAACAGTGAATCAACTGACTTCACGAGCCTGAGAGATTAGCGGAACTCGCCTATTTGTGGGCATCGTCTGGTCCTCCCGGTTCCGCGCAGTGGACGAGCTCCCATGATGCTTTGCGCCAAATACGCGTGCGTGGCTGTCATGCACGTGCACATAGGGGCCGTGCTCTGACCAATCAGAGCTGCTGATCAGAGTGGGAGTTGGAGCGGGAGTAAGAGCCAGACGAGTAGAGTTTGTGGCAGTAAAATGACAAGGGACACTAAAATCCCAACAAAATCCGACCTTTATGAGAGCTGTAGGTTCTCTGTCAGCTGAGGTCGAGCTGTTTTAGTTTACATTGAGTTCTATGGGACAATTTCTGGGTAGCCAACGTGAATTTAGTCTGCAGTACCACGAGAATCCCCCGAGCTACAAGCTAGTAATACCCTATCCAGTTATTATAATAGATCCATGTATACTACGCACCTGTGGCACAACCATGGAACTATAATAATAACTGGATAGTGTTTTCCTAGCTTATAGCAGTCCCACCCATGGGCACAGGGGGCGCTGTGGTACTGCAGACTAAATTCACGAGGGCTACCCAGAAAAAGTCCCATAGAACTCAATGTAAATTAAAACAGCTCAACCTCAGCTGACAGAGAACCCACAGCTTTCATGAAGTTCGGATTTTCTGGGGATTTTAGTGTCCCTTGTCATCCTGAACTTTTTTTCTTCTTAAATCCTTCAGTTTTCTTTAAAGTGGTTCTCACCCCCGCTCCTCGGAGCTTACGTCACTCACATTTCCTGTTCAAATCTTCCTCTAAATGGGCATAGCCTGGAGGACTAAAGGGGGCGTGAACGAGACTGGGCCGTTTATATAGCTCTGGGCGGGGGCTGCTGACGTCAGGTCTCAGGCGCCAGATTCAAAATTCAAATGTAGTAATACAGGTCGCCAGCAGATGGCGCCTCACAGACGGTTTTAGGCAGAAAGTTTAACTTTCAACTAATTTGCACCAAAGTGACAAAATTATGACCAGGATATGTAGACAACACTATTGGACACTCATTTATACCGTTTATAAGCCGAAAAAAGTGGATTTGTGGGTGAGTTGTCCTTTAAATCCACATTTTACTGCCACAAACTCTACTCGTCTGGCCCTCGCTCTAACTCCCGCTCTGATCAGCAGCTCTGATTGGTCAGAGCGCGGCCCCTATGTGCACGTGCATGACAGCCACGCAATCATATTTGGCGCAAAGCATCATGGGAGCTCGTCCACTGCGCAGAACTGGGAGGACCAGACGATGCCCAAAATAGGCGAGTTCCGCTAATCTCTCAGGCTCGTGAAGTCAGTTGATTCACTGTTTTGCCAAAGCCAAATTCATTAACAGAGCAGGTCGGAGCATGAGTGGGTTCATCATGGCTCCTTGAAGTTACTAACAAACTTTTGGCACAAACTTCATTTTGATTTTTTTTTTTCATTTAGACTGTAATTGTTGCTGTTTGAATAAATAAAAACATCTTAGATTCATTGTTGTGTTTTATTCTGATTAACACAGCTGTAGTGTAATAAGTTAATAATATGTATTAAGAGATGAATAGTGTGATGTAGTGTAGTGCGGCTAGTCTCCAAATCAGAGTCTGCCGTTCTACACGAGTGGGGGATCTGCTTTTAATTTTTGGGCACCAGCAGAGTTAAAACGTCTGCACAGATCCAACTAATTTGCCTCGAATCAGTCTTATAATCTAATAGGTAGTGAATGCGTATATCAGCCAGAGATATCCAAGATTTAACAACACGACGCTTAAATGATTGAGTTAAAGTTTAACGTGGGTTTATTGACTACAAAAATGAAAATAGAAAATACGAAAAGGGTTTTCTGGTCACATTAAGCAAATATTGTTATGCACATCATTTGAATCACACTCCAACAGGGAACAGTCTTACTTTTGAGCAGTCCAAGGGAGGTGGTGGCGATGGAAGGATGATGGTGATGGGAGGATGATGGTGAAGAATGGAGATGGAAAAGCGAGGTTCTCGTCCACGTGGTCTTTGTTCGAACGGGGAGCAGGAGGAAGCCAGCAGATCGGATCCAGGCGTGGGTTCCACACACAACACGGTCTAGAATAGCGTTGCGGTGGGGTGTTCCAGGGAGCCCGAAAGTGGCTGGCAATGGAAGGTCCTTGTCTCCGACAGCGAGAGTGGCTGCTGTCCTCGTGGATGTACAGGCCCGAGATGGTGGCGGGCGTAGGCCGTGTAGGAGACACGTACCGAAAAGGAGAGTTGCAATAATGATTTCAGGGAGAGCCAAGAGGCTGTCTGTAGGTCTGCAGACTGGTTTTGTTGTGGTCAAAGGGGGCGCGTCCGTGACGTCATCCTTGTTCGTCTTCCCTGGACAACCCCCTCACAACAGACAGGTTGCAATGGAAACACGCAGGATTAATACAGGCGATCATAACACATGTACAAACACACACCGCCTTTCATTACTTGACAATGATACACACATGTAGGGCACGGTACAGACTTATCGGGATAATACTGAGTCCGGGGCTGGTCTACACGATGTCCGTGCCGGGTGTGATAGTGTTCAGTGTCCACTGGGGGGCGCCAGAACGCCGTGGGTGAGTCTCAGGTTGTGGAATGTCCCGTGAGCGATCGCGGATGAATGATTCTTGATCTCTGTCAGGCAGAAGGGCACACAGATGTTTGTTCTGTTGTTTTTTTGCCCCTCTGGGTCTTCTTGCAGTGTCCTGGCAAATGTTAGCCTTCCATTGAACCCGTAGTTTCTTTGAAGTCTCAGGAGCTCGGGAGGGGCATGTTTACGAAAAGGGGCTGCTATTCACGCCCGACTGGCGCTTGCCCTTTTTCTCACCTTACATACCCCCCCCACGGCAGAGATGCACCTTCCGACAAGGTGCATGTCATGTCGGATATGCCGGGTGGGTGTCCTCAGTCGGTCGTCTCGCCTGTTCGGGTGTTAGTGCGTGATTTGTGGTGACATGCTACAACATTCTCGCCTTAATGTGACTCAGTAATGCGCAAGCGCCTAACTGGGGCCAGGCTCGTGGCGGTTGGGTCTCGGGCCTCTGGCTTGGTTGTCGAGGCCGGGTTTTCTCTAAGGCGAGTCCTGGCCCTGCAGGCTAGTTCCAACCGGGATCAGGGGTTTCAGGGAGTGAGCTACGGCCGTGAACTCTAGGGTTTGGGCCGGTGCACCTGACTCCTGGGTCTCTTGGTCTGGAAGACTCAAAGTTCCAAGCCAGGAGATTAGCAGGAGTTTCTATTTTAGGGGACTAGGATACAAAAATATGAAACTTCAAAAATCAAAAAGGTGGCTGTCTTGGCAGCGGGTGGGAGCGTCATTAAGGCACTCGATGGCGAGGGGTTCCCATCTTGCTCGTTCTAAAAGGGGAGTATAAGGGTTACAAGAATATATGACGTAGCAAGTGGGGCTTTAATTACGAGGGGAATTTCCTTTATATAAACGGGGATAACAGGTATGATTGTCTAGGAGACAATCATAGGTATCATGAGGTATCGAGGTAGATATGTTTGGATCTGAGCTGGTGACTCTTAGTGGGGTTTTAGGCCCTTGGTTCACCTTCTGTGATAGAAAGAGTGACCGTCTCGAGTGGGTGGCTTTGGAGGTCCTCGTACTCTGATTCGTTGACCTGGGGGCGCCGACTCAAATTGCCGTCACAATGGCGGCAGTCTGAAACATGTCTCGTATGGACGTCAGGTGGGCCAGGGTCATGGGTCGGGTAGTCATGTTGTCTGTGTCGCATGTCCATGTGTGTTCCCGAAGGGGCGTCGTGGGGGTCGCAGTGGTCGACGTGTCTAATGTTGGGTTGTGTATTGTTCTTTTGACCTTGATTTTGGTCCTTTCCCGTCATGATACTTACCAGTTCGGCCACGCTCCTGCGTTCACAGTTGGACGATGGTTCGCCGCGGTCGGAGCGAGGGGAGTGTGGCCCGGAGGCACTGTCTCGGCCGGTTCCGTTAGCAATAGCGGTCCTGATTTTCGGGCGTAGGGGCCCCCTACGCCGCGTCCTTACGCTCCGCCCCTACGCCACACCGCGGCCGTAGGGGCGCGGCCTAAGGGACGCGGCGTAAGGGCGCGGCCTAAGGGACGCGGCGTAAGGCCGCGGCGTAAGGACGCGGCGTGAGGGCGCGGCCTAAGGGACGCGGCGTAGGGGCCGCGGCGTAAGGACGCGGCGTAGGGGCGCGGTCTAAGGGACGTGGCGTAAGGCCGCGGCGTAAGGACGCGGCGTTAGGGCGCAGCCTAAGGGACGCGGCGTAAGGGCCGCGGCCTAAGGACGCAGCGTAAGGACGCGGCGTAGGGGCGCGGCCTAAGGGACGTGGCGTAAGGCCGCGGCGTAAGGACGCGGCGTGAGGGCGCAGCCTAAGGAACGCGACGTAGGGGCCGCGGCCTAAGGACGCGGCGTAAGGACGCGGCGTGAGGGCGCGGCCTAAGGGACGCGGCGTAGGGGCCGCGGCGTAGGGGCGCAGCGTAAGGACGCGGCGTAGGGGCGCGGCCTAAGGGACGCGGCGTAAGGCCGCGGCGTAAGGACGCGGCCTAAGGGACGCGGCGTAAGGCCGCGGCGTGAGGGCGCGGCCTAAGGGACGCGGCGTAGGGGCCGCGGCGTAAGGACGCGGCGTAGGGGCGCGGCGTAAGGACGCGGCGTAGGGGCGCGGCGTAAGGACGCGGCGTAGGGGCGCGGCCTAAGGGACGCGGCGTAAGGCAGCGGCGTGAGGGCGCGGCCTAAGGGACGCGCCGTAGGGGCGCGGCCTAAGGGACGCGGCGTAAGGGCGCGGCCTAAGGGACGCGGCGTAAGGCCGCGCCGTAAGGACGCGGCCTAAGGGACGCGGCGTAAGGGCGCGGCCTAAGGGACGCGGCGTAAGAGACGCAGCGGCGTTGAGGCGCAACTGCGTAGGGATGCAGCGCCGTTTGAGACGCAACTCAAGTAAGCAGTAGCAAGTGAGCAGCAGGCTGAACGACAAGGCAATGTAGTTTTAGTGACAGCACGTGGCGTCGGGGGGCAGAAATAGAGTATAAGTTTTAACCAGGGGGTGGGAGTGCAGTATTTGTTAAATCAACACACCGATGTGGTTCAACAATAACGTGCAGTAGGCAGGAGCAGGAGTACAGAATAGGATTAATCACCACAGTAATGTGTTAGTAACAACGTGCAGTAGACAGGGGCAGAATTACAGTGTTAGTTTAGCACAATCAAACATCGAGTTTGTCAGTGTTGTGTGGTTATTGAGTTGGAGCCAACCAAAACAGCACGGAATTATAGCAGAACAGCATTAATGTTAGAAACATAGGCAGCAGTTGGGCATAGGACGTGGTGCAGAATCAAATGACATGCAGTAGCAGGGGTAGAATTACAGTGTTAGTTTAGCACAATCAAACATCGAGTTCGTCAGTGTTGTGTGGTTATTGAGTTGGAGCCACCCAAAACAGCACGGAATTATAGCAAAACAGTATTAATGTTAGAAACATAGGCAGCAGTTGGGCATAGGACGTGGTGCAGAATCAAATGTCAAGACAGCAGCAATGAAGCCCCGGAAGTAGTGCACCGGGACCGGAAAGTAGTCCTGTGTTAGACAATAAAAGAGGTGCGGCTCGTTTAGCAGTATGCCGAGACGGCTAGCACCCTTTGATCGTCAAAACACAGAATCAGAGTGAGACAGAATAGCTCGAAAGTATAGCAAGTAGTGTTATTGTTAGACAACGGGTAAGCAATGCAGCAGGCAGAGTGGTTTAGAAGTGCAGACGCGGCGGCGGCTCAGGCTTTTAGCGCACCGGGGCCGGAAGTTAGCCGTATGCTAAAAACAAAGGAGTGCAGCTAGCCGTTAGCTAGCCGAAAACGGCCTAAAGTAGTTTAGGCAATAAACATTGAGTTTTGGCAACCGAATGCAATTTGGTTAAACAGAGTGGCACTAATTTTAACAGTAAGAAAGCAGCTATTAGTGGGAGAGTGGTATTAGAAGCAGTGAGCTTTGTCCGAGTGTAGCCTCGAAGCTAGCGCACCAGGGCCGGAAGTTAGCCTTATGCTAGAACAAAGGAATGTAGCTAGCCGTTAGCTTGTCGAACACGGAGGACTAGCAGCAGATTAGACAACGAAAGTCTCGCAGCGAGTTATACGGTTCGCACAAGCACGTATTTGCAGTGGTGGAATGGAGTTTGTCTGTATTGTGCAGTAGAGTCCTGGTGTGTGTACAACAGCAGGTTAGCAGGCGGAAAGAGTGGTGAGACAGGGTTAGCGGTAGCCACCTAGCAGAACAATAGCATCACATTCAAACGGCTGCCATTCACAGCCTTTATACACATATATATACTGTTTACAATCCTTCGTGACGCGGGTCACAAAGGGACACAGAGAAGGTTTGTACGCCCGTGTTCTGGGCACGGCGTACTGTGGGTTCCTAGGATAAATTTTGCGCTTTCTCTTAAGAGGGAAGCGGCTTCACACTCTCACGCCGCCTGCCTGGCCACAGCAGGGCGATACGTTGTAGAAAATGCGTAGTACCCAATACGAAGTCGGGATTTTAAGACTAAATTAATATAGTCTGGTGCATGCACGAGCGCTTTATCGCAAGCGTGGGCGTAGGGGAGCTCGATTGGCGTCGAAGTCACTATGGCAACGGGCAGCAGGGAGAGGAGTGGGGTGAGGAGGTGGGGGGGAAGCGCTTGGAGCGAGGGCAGAACTTAAGTTAGCGTATTACAGGTCAAATTATCAGAGTACGAGTTGATAAATCTGGTTATATGCGCGGATCTCACAAACAGGGCACCATATATGTAGGGTAATAATATGTATTAAGAGATGAATAGTGTGATGTAGTGTAGTGCGGCTAGTCTCCAAATCAGAGTCTGCCGTTCTACACGAGTGGGGGATCTGCTTTTAATTTTTGGGCACCAGCAGAGTTAAAACGTCTGCACAGATCCAACTAATTTGCCTCGAATCAGTCTTATAATCTAATAGGTAGTGAATGCGTATATCAGCCAGAGATATCCAAGATTTAACAACACGACGCTTAAATGATTGAGTTAAAGTTTAACGTGGGTTTATTGACTACTAAAATGAAAATAGAAAATACGAAAAGGGTTTTCTGGTCACATTAAGCAAATATTGTTATGCACATCATTTGAATCACACTCCAACAGGGAACAGTCTTACTTTTGAGCAGTCCAAGGGAGGTGGTGGCGATGGAAGGATGATGGTGATGGGAGGATGATGGTGAAGAATGGAGATGGAAAAGCGAGGTTCTCGTCCACGTGGTCTTTGTTCGAACGGGGAGCAGGAGGAAGCCAGCAGATCGGATCCAGGCGTGGGTTCCACACACAACACGGTCTAGAATAGCGTTGCGGTGGGGTGTTCCAGGGAGCCCGAAAGTGGCTGGCGATGGAAGGTCCTTGTCTCCGACAGCGAGAGTGGCTGCTGTCCTCGTGGATGTACAGGCCCGAGATGGTGGCGGGCGTAGGCCGTGTAGGAGACACGTACCGAAAAGGAGAGTTGCAATAATGATTTCAGGGAGAGCCAAGAGGCTGTCTGTAGGTCTGCAGACTGGTTTTGTTGTGGTCAAAGGGGGCGCGTCCGTGACGTCATCCTTGTTTGTCTTCCCTGGACAACCCCCTCACAACAGACAGGTTGCAATGGAAACACGCAGGATTAATACAGGCGATCATAACACATGTACAAACACACACCGCCTTTCATTACTTGACAATGATACACACATGTAGGGTACGGTACAGACTTATCGGGATAATACTGAGTCCGGGGCTGGTCTACACGATGTCCGTGCCGGGTGTGATAGTGTTCAGTGTCCACTGGGGGGCGCCAGAATGCCGTGGGTGAGTCTCAGGTTGTGGAATGTCCCGTGAGCGATCGCGGATGAATGATTCCTGATCTCTGTCAGGCAGAAGGGCACACAAATGTTTGTTCTGTTGTTTTATTGCCCCTCTGGGTCTTCTTGCAGTGTCCTGGCAAATGTTAGCCTTCCATTGAACCCGTAGTTTCTTTGAAGTCTCAGGAGCTCGGGAGGGGCATGTTTACGAAAAGGGGCTGCTATTCACGCCCGACTGGCGCTTGCCCTTTTTCTCACCTTACACAGCATTAGCTGATACGCTGTATTCAGATCAATGCCAAGCGTTGTTAACTCACGCAATTGTAAATAATGATTTTTGACATTTCCCTCTGAGTGTAAGTTTATTATGAAGGTATTACAGAAAACTGCAAAGAGATGTAGTACTGGATGTTAAATGGTTCATTCATTAAATGAGAAACAGGGGGGAGATGTTAATAAATGTTATGTGTATTATCATATTAATAAATGTGTGTAGATTAGTAGGGTCTAGTCTAGTTAACCAACTCATGCATGGAGGGTTGCAAGATGGCAGCATTCTCCCAGCCCCCAGGCAAGAGTGAAAGACTAGACGTATAAACAAGCAAAAAGCCAGAAAACATCTGTGAGTAGATCTCATGAAAGAAGACACTTCTTCTGTTGGAAGAGAAGATTGTTTTCAAACCTAGAGTTCATGGATCATATTGTCACATGTGTTTTAAACCTTCATATCCTGTTACCTCTGGGATAGACTGACAGTGCAGTTAGACCCAGCCTGCTTAGCCTGTCTTTTATATGTAATCTGTTTTATATATTAAACCTTCTTTTATATCTATCTAAGTTTGCAGTTTCCATTCTTTCATCGGGCGACTGTTTAAGGACAAACCTGGCTGAACCAGCATTAACACTTCTGAAGCCTGGGGACCGAACCCTGAGGACTGAGCCTTCTGAACCTTGAGGACCAAACCTTGAGGACCAAACCTTGAGGACCAAACCCAGAGGACCGAGTCTTCTGAACCCTTGAATAACTTCAAGTCTCTTCAGAACTGCAGAATGGAAACTTGGAAACTCAAATACATCGGTCGGAGGTGGGTGCTCTTTTGCATTTCCCCTTTGGGAGGAGGAATAATTCTCTCAAAACAAAACGTTCTGAGTCTCTGAAGATAAGACAGACACCAGGAACAGGGCTCACCATAACAGACAGCCGAGCAGCGTAGTGAGGAGGAGGTTACGGTTTCTGAAAATGTCAAAGATGTTGTATTTCAGGTCTTTCTTTGCCATTGTCTCCTCGAGCTGAAAAGAGCAGAGGTGACAGAGTCTCGATACAGAGAGACATGTACGTAAGAAAGACCATAAACTACCTCCACTTTGGTCAAAAGAGATGTTGGAAATTCTACTTTATTTCGTTTGGCTGCGTCTCTCAAAATGACCTCCGCTTCGTCCAGTCGTCCCTGAGAGAGAAGCCATCGGGGAGACTCTGGCACCAGCCTGGAACACAACAGACACCTGAGATCAGCAGAGACCAGCAGAGACCGGAGAGAGACCAGAGAGAGACCAGAAGAAGACCAGAAGAGACCAGGGAGAGACCAGTAGACATCAGCAGAGACCAAAGAGAGACCTGATACCAGCAGAGACCAGAGAATATAGACCAGGGACCAGAGAGAGACTTGAGACCAGCAGACACCAGAGACCAGAGACCAGAGAGAGACCTGATACCAGAGACCAGAGAGAGACCAGAGAACAGAGAGAGAGACCTGAGGCCGGGGAGGGACTTGAAACCAGCAGACACCAGCAGATAGCAGAGACCAGAGAGAGACTTGAGACTAGAGACCAGAGAGAGACCTGAGACCAGAGAGAGACTTGAGACCAGAGAGTGACCAGAGAACAGAGACTGTAACAAGAGAGATGCTTGAGACCAGAGAGAGGGAGAGACCAAAAAGAGAGAGAGAAAGACAGAGAACAGAGAGGGACCAGAGACCAAACAGAAAGGCTTGAAACCTGTAACACAGACTATTCAAACACAGAGATGATAGAGATGGCCGGCAGGGTCCAGGTCTTACCACCAGAGCGGGACGTAGATGAGGGAGCTGGCCATCAAGGCGATCATCAGAGCCCTCCAGTCCCTCAGGAAGTACGCAGCTAATGGGAGACACATGTACCCCAGAGCTGAGGGCATGAAGACCCCCAAGGAGCAGAACACCACCCGGGCTTTAGGACTCAGGATCTCAGACCCTGTCAGAGAAAGACACAAATACTGGTCTCTCTCTCTCTCTCTGATGTTTCTCTGGTCTCCTTTCAATCTCTGTCCCTGGTCTTGCTCTCCAGTCTCTCTCTCTGGTCTCTCTCTAGTCTCTCTCTCTGGTCTCTCTCTCTAATCTCTGCCTCTATTTTCTCTCTCTGGTCTCTCTTGTCTCTCTCTGGTCTCTTGCTCTGGTCACTGTTATTGGTCTCTCCAGTCTCTGTCTCCAGTCTCTGTCTCTGGTCTTGCTCTCTAGTCTCTCTTTCTCTACTCTCTTCCTCTGGTTTCTCTCTATGGTCTCTCTTGTCTCTCTATCTAGTCTGGTTTCTCTCTAGTCTCTCTTTCTCTAGTTTGTCTCTATTGTCTCTATCTGATCTCTCGCTTTGGTCTCTCTTGTCTCTCTCTCTCTGGTCTCTCTCTCTGGTCTCTCTCTTGTCTATCTCTGGTCTCTCCCTCTGGTCTCTCTCTCTGGTCTCTCTCTATGGTCTCTCCCTTGTCTCTCTCTGGTCTCTATCTCTAGTCTCTCTCTCTCTGGTCTCTCCCTCTGGTCTCTCTCTCTGGTCTCTCCCTTGTCTCTCTCTGGTCTCTATCGCTAGTCTCTCTCTCTTGTCTCTCTCTGGTCTCTCTCTGGACTCACACGTACCCAACACAAACCCAATGGTGTAGTTGGAATACCCTCCTCCTCCGACGAAAAAGTAGACGAGAGTGAAGACCTCCCAGTTTGGAGAGAAGATGTGAGCGGCGATGGCTACAGTCTGCAGTAGCATCATGAGGAAGAGAGCGGGACGCCGACCCCACCTGAGGCACACAGCATCATGAGGGAGAGGGACTCCTGGTCTCTCTCTGTCTGTATTTGGTCTGTATCTGGTCTGTATCTGGTCTCTCTCTGTTGTGTCTCACTGGCATCTCTCTGGTCTCTCTCTGATCTCTCTCTGTTTTTTTCTCTCTGGTCTCTCTGTTCTTTCTCTGGTCCCTCTCTGATCTCTCTCTTGTTTTTCTCTCTGCTCTCTCTGGTCTCCCTCTCTGGTCTCTCTCTGGCATCTCTCTGGTCTCTCTCTGGTCTTTCTCTCTGGTTTCTCTGTTCTTTCTCTGGTCCCACACTGATTTCTCTCTGGCTTCCTCTCTTTGGTCTCTCTCTCTTTTCTCCCTCTCTTGTCTCTTCTATATCTCTGGTCTCTCTCTCTGGTGTCTCTTTTTCTCTCTCTGGTCCCTTTCTGGTCCCTTTCTGGTCTCTCTCTGGTCTCACCTGTCTGAGATCTGGCCGGACACTAGCGCCCCCAGCAGGACGCCGAGGAAGTGGGCGGAGGTGGAGAGAGGAACCTTGTAGGCGTCGTCACACACCAGGTCCCACTGCGACACAACACACAGACCATATGGACACTGACTATGTGCAGCGTTTCAATAGACACATTGTACGACTCCATGAGTTACTCATCAGGGACAGTGGTGTTTGGTCTAGTTCTGGTCTGGTTGGGGTCTAGTTCTGGTCTAGTTCTGGTCTGGTTCTGGTCCCTCTTTGGTCTGGTTCGGGTCTAGTTCTGGTCTAGTTCTCGTCCCTCTCTGGTCACTACATGCCTGTTTAATATTGACCCTGACAAGTTGCATGTGATGCTTGTTGTGACACCATCTGAACTCATCAGACCTCTGAAGCTAAGCAGGTTAGGGCCTGGTCAGTACAGTGATGGGGGACTTCTATGAACACTAGGTGCCACAGTGGCCAAACTGTTGGTGTGTCCTTAAGCAAGACACTTACTTCACCCACAGTAGTGTGAGTCTGGTGAATGATGGTAAATCAGGACGATGGTTCACTGGTCTCTCACCTCGGTCACGATGGTACATTGTTCCCTCACCTGGTTCACGATGGTACACTGATCTCTCACCTCGGTCACGATGATACACTGGTCTCTCACCTCACTGGTCTCTCAACTCGGCCACGATGGTCCACTGGTCTCTCACCTCGGTCATGATGGTAATGGTTCTCATGTAGGCCACAATGTTACACTGGTCTCTCACCTCATTCACGATAGTACACTGGTCTCTCACCTCGGTCACTATGGTAAACTGGTCTCTCACCTCACTGGTCTCTCACCTCGGTCACGATGGTACACTAGTCTCTACCCTCAGTCACAATGGTACACTGGTCTCTCACCTGGTTCACGATGGTACACTGGTCCCTCACCTGGTTCACAATGGTACACTGGTCTCTCACCTGGTTCACAATGGTACACTGGTCTCTCACCTGAGTCACGATGGTAGATCTGTAGATGTCCCGGCTGTAGCTCCATCCGTCCCGACATCCCTCTAGAGGCACAGAGCTCAGGTTCACATGGTCCGGCTCCAGGCCCTGGTCCGACAGGTTCTGGACCATGTGGAGGTTGAGCCTGGTGCAGGAGCTGCGTCTGGTCTTGCCGTCCAGCGTCTCCGTGGGCACCGTGGCATTCCTCCAGGCCGCACTCAGGTTGTGCGTCTCTGGGATGTAGCAGTGGTGCGGCGGCGTGTCCCCCACAAACACAATGTAGGACCCCACAAATCCGTTAGGCAGGATGCTGACGGCCAGGGCCAGAAAGATTCGGATTTGGAAGGGCCCCCAGGAGCCCAGGAAGGAGGTGATGGTGTCATAGTCCCGGACCACAGAGCTCTCCATGATTGTGTGTGTGTGTGTGTGTGTGTGTGTGTGTGTGTGTGTATCTCTGTCCGTCCGTGTCTGTCTGTGTGTCTGTGTGTCTCGCTCTGTCTCTGTCTCTCTCTGTGTGTGTCTGTCTCTGTTTGTGTCAGTCTCTGTGTCTATGTCTCTCTCTGTGTGTCTCTGTCTCTCTCTGTGTCTCTGTGTGTGTCTGTGTTCGTGTATCTGCCCTTTATGATCATGTAGCTCCTCCTTTTAAATCTCGCCTCATGAATCATTAGCTGAGTTTTAATTCTAGTCTGAAAAAGAAGGAGGAGGTGAACTAGACCACAACATGCTTATCTCATCAGAAAACATCTTTAGAGCTAGAAATAGCCCTGTGAGTCAAATAGTGACTCACAAGACTCAGAGAGAGAGACCAGAGAGAGACTGGAGAAAGAAAGACCAAAGCGAGACCGGAGAGAGAAACCAGTGAGAGACCAGAGAGGGACCAGAGAGAGACCAGAGAGACCATAGAGGTACCAGAGAGAGACCAGAGAGAGACTAGAGAGATACCAAAGAGAGACTGGAGAGAGACTGGAGAGAGACCAGAGAGAGATTAGAAAGAGACGAGAGAGAGACTATAGAGGGACCAGAGAGAGACCATACCATAGAGGGACCAGAGAGAGGCTTTGCCGGAGAGAGACAAGAGAGACCAGAGAGAGACAGGAGAGCAGTAAAAAGCTGATCCAAAGATAAGACCGAGGCCAGTGTAAGCCGTAGTTACTATGATTATACTATCTAAAAGTCAGGTACCCCAACTTTAAGACACCTCTGTCCTCCGCATTTGACCCATTCTGTTCTGTAATGCTAACATTCCACTGTGGGATTGCATCACTTCATAATTCTCTTTCATAACTTGTTACATGCATGAAGGCAGAGAGCAAAGATCACAAAAGAGTCAATGATTGTCCAGCTTTTCTCACAAGCTGTAACTTTCTCAGAGGTTTTCTCAGGAACCTACAACCTGTGTGACCCTGACATAGGTCTCTCTCTGGTCGCACTCTTCGGTCTCTCTGGTCTCCCACCAGTCTCTCAATTGTCCCTCTTTGGTCTTTCTCTTCAGTCTCTCTCTGTTGTCTCTCACCTTGATCTCATTCTCTAGTCTCTCTCTGATCTCACTTTCCGGTCTGTGGTCTCACTCTGGAGTTTCTCTCTGGTCTCTCTCTGGTCTCGCTCTGGTCTCGCTCTGGTCTCGCTCTGGTCTCACTCTGGTCTCGCTCTGGTCTCACTCTCCAGGCTCTCTCTGATCTCTCTCTGGTCTCTCTCCAGTCTCACTTTCCGGTCTCTCTCTGGTCCCTCTCAGGTCTCTCTCTGGTCTCACTCTGTTCTCTCTCTTAGCCTGCTTACTTTTGTCATGTTTTAAAAGTGGAATAATATCTTCAGTGAACTATAGAAAGTATAAAGCCTGTAATTCCCAATAGTACAAGTCACACTTAAACATGTGACTGGTCTTTCCTTGTCACCTGAGAAATTCACAACTCATTTATTTAAACACGTGGACATGGACCAGACTCAGTCCAATAGGAGGACCAGACCAGACTCAGTCGTACAGGAGGACCAGACCAGACTCAGTTCTACAGGAGGACCAGACCAGACTCAGTCCTACAGGAGTACCAGACCAGACACAGTCCTACAGGAGGACCAGACTCAGTCCTACAGGAGGACCAGACCTGATTCAGCCCTACAGGAGGACCAGACTCAGTCCTACATGAGGACCGGACCAGACTCAGTCCAACAGGGGAACCAGACCAGACTCAATCCTACATGAGGACCGGACCAGACTCAGTCCTACATGAGGACCGGACCAGACTCAGTCCTACAGGAGGACCGGACCAGACTCAGTCCTAGGGGAGGACCTGACTCTGTCCTACAGGAGGACCGGACCAGATTCAGTCCTACATGAGGACCAGACCAGACTCAGTCCTACAGGAGGACCAGACTCAGTCCTACATGAGGGTCGGACCAAACTCAGTCCTACATGAGGACCAGACCAGACTGAATCCTACATGAGGGCCGGATCAGACTGAGTCCTACATGAGGGCCGGATCAGAATGAGACAATGAAAACTCGTTGGTTTCTGAGTCTGCTCTTATATTTTGTAAACACAGATTTTGTTCAGTTTGTCAGAGAATAAACACGTCACAATATTCAAACAGAAGTAGAAAAACAGAAGAGTTTAGGAGCCTCCATATTTGGATCCTCAGTCCAGGGCCAGGTCCAAAGTCAAGGCCAGGGCCAAGTCCACGTTTAGGGCCAAGTCCAGGTCCAGGGCTAGGGCAAGGTTTAGGGCCAGGTTTAGGGCCAAGTACACGTCCAGGTCCAGGGCTGGGACCAGAGCCGGGGTTGGATCCAGGGCCAGGGTTGGGTCCAGGTCCAGGTGTGGGCTCAGTGCAGAGACACTCCTCCGTTTGGGACGTGTTCCAGACACTTCTGTGTCTTCTGTCGACTGCAGCAGCTGTGGAAGAAACATCTGTGAGAGAGCGGCAGTGGACTCTCGCTTCACAGCAAGAAGGTCCTGGGTTCGAATCCCGGTCGGAACAGGGCCTTTCTGAGTGGAGTTTGCATGTTCTCCTCGTGTCTGCGTAGGTTTCCTCCGGGTACTCCGGTTTCCCCTACCACTAAAAACATGTACAATAGGTCTGGCATGTGCCTCCTGTACTGGCCCCGCTCCCATCTCTGTGTGGAGTGAGAGACAAATGCCCACAATTGTAAACCGCTTTGACTCTGGTAAATAAACATTACTTACTTCCTTAACCCAGACCTTTAACCTCGACCTTTAACCCTGACCTTTAACTCTGACCTTTAACTCAGGCCTTTAACCCTGACCTTTAACTCTGACCTTTAACTCAGGCCTTTAACCCTGACCTTTAACTCTGACCTTTAACTCTGACCTTTAACTCTGACCTTTAACTCTGACCTTTAACTCTGACCTTTAACTCGGACCTTTAACTCGGACCTTTAACTCGGACCTTTAACTCGGACCTTTAACTCTGACCTTTAACTCTGACCTTTAAATTTGACCTTTAACCCCGACCCATATGCTGCGTTGAGACCAAACGCGTTTTGGGCGTCAAAATCACGTCTGGCCCGCGTCGTTGGACGTTTGTGACAGATTCTGGCAGACGCTGTCACAGAGCGTTCTGGAGGATCGACGCTGTCAGAGCGTTCTTGAGGAGCGTTTTGGGGCGGGGCTTCTCTGTTGCCAACACAACTCAGAGCGGAGAGGAAGGACACAGCGGCCAAGATGGAAGGTAAAAAGTTTAAAATACACTTTAATTATTACATAAAAGTTAATTCTAAAAAAATTTGAGGCAAGAAATACCCCCCTCTATTGTCATATCAGAGTCTATTTGGTGATAAAATAGAACATTGTCAGACTGTTCTTCCGGTGCTGACAGAGGGAGTTGGGCAGTGCTGTAGCCGGCGAGAATAGAGCGTTTTACGTGGGGACACATTGTAAACATCAGTGGAGCTCTCACAATCTTAATACTGAAAACGAGACGAGGCTTTTGTTACAGACTTTCTCAAACATTTATGTTGGCAGTAATCATTTGTTTTTAGAAAGTGATATTTTGTGTAAACAATTACACATATGTGCAATAAATGATTATTATATATGATCGATATATTTGCTATGGCCCTCGTTTTTGCTGCTCCTCCTGCTGCTCCTCGTCTTCAGAGATGCAGAGCCCACTGTTCTAACTATTCATGACTGATGATTAAATGAAACATGAAAATATGTTTGTTGGAGTTCATATTGTAAATCCGCAGTGAAGCAGGAGGTGATGGAGTTGAAGCGGGAGGTATGATGGCGTGTGATTTTGTTGCTGTCAGAGTCTGAAAAAGAACGCAAACATCAAATTAAAACATGGACACCACAAAATAAAATACAGAAATCCTTCCTCTATTACATATTAGAAGTACAAACTTTCACTGCAGGAGAAACAGACGCTCTGACGAGTAATAGAAAAATAATAAAATGGAAATGTACACACAAATAAAACTTAGAAGCATGGCTAACCAGTTTAAACCTGTGGAAGTGAGACTGTCATCTGCAAATGTTTTTTATAATGACAAAAGAAACATCTGTATAATTTGCTTTTATTTCCTCATTCTATACATATATTTATAAGACTATTGTGTTAAAAGTGCTTAATAATAAGCCTAATATATACAGTAAATGTAATTAAATATACAGAATTCCCAGTCTTAGTATGGGATTATAAATGATATACACAATCTCTTTTATATGAATACAGATAACACGTGTTAGCATACTATAGCTGCTGTTTCCTTGGAGTGTTTCCTCTGTGTAGCTTTAATATATAATCTGTGGGTTTGTTTCTCCCTAAAGATGACATAACAGATTTTGCAAGGGGAAGTATTAACGATTGTGAAAATTTTAAATAACTTACCCGAGACACCAACCTACTTAACCTCCTCCATGTTACAGTGGTTATAGTCCGCGGTGCAAGCGAGCACAGGTTGTCCTCCATAGCTGATGTCTTGTCTTCCTGTCTTCGCCCTCGGGCCTGTTGTGAAATGCGTCACTACGTCACTGTTGCAGAAAGCTCCTGATTGGTCGATGCTTGCGAATTTGTCCAAAAAGTTCAACAATGTTCAACTCTAGTGCTGGAGGCGCGGGACGCGCGTCACGCGTCACGCGTCAATACACTTGAAATCTCAAAACGCGCCGTGCCAGAAGCAAGAAACGCTCGAAGACGCGCTGCTCGGGAGGCGCATGACACACCGCGGGAACTCCCGACGCTCCTAGAAGCGCGTCCCCCATGTATTTTCAATGTAAACCCGACGCTTTGGACGCGTTTGGTCTGAACGCAGCATTAACCCCGACCTTTAGCTCTGACCTTTAACTCGGACCTTTAACTCGGACCTTTAACCCGAACCTTTAACTCGGACCTTTAACTCGGACCTTTAACCCGAACCTTTAACTCGGACCTTTAACTCGGACCTTTAATCCGAACCTTTAACTCGGACCTTTAACTCGGACCTTTAACTCGGACCTTTAATCCAGACCCTAATGTTGATGGTCTGTCAGTACCAAATATGGACCAGCGACCAATCAGAGACACTCCTGAGCATGCTGACCAATCAGAGGGGCACACAGTAGAGCACAGGTACAGTCAAGTGGGGTAACCTATGACACTAAGCAGGAAAGGGCCTGGTTAGTACTGTGATGAGAGACCTCTGGGAACACCAGGTGCCACAGTGGGGCAGCTGCGGCTATAAAGTGCAAAATCTGTGGCTGTGTCTTTAGGCAAGACACTTCACCAACATTAGAATGAGACTAGTGTGTGTGAATGGTTGGTGGTGGTGGGAGGGGATGATGGAAAAGACTGGTTGCCTTACTTCTGTTAATGTGCCCCAGGGCAGCTGTAGCTACAGTAGTAGTTTGTCACCACAGTGTTTGGAGTGAATGAATAATGCTGCATAATAAGTATAAAACCCATTCATAATAATTATTACTGAAGAGCACAGGTACAGACCCTTTGTAGTGCTGCATTTGGTCCATGGTCTCAGGAAGGTCTTTGTTCAGAGTTTCTGGGAGGAAGTAGTTGAGTCCACAGGAGGCCACTGTCAGACTGCCCATCACCAGGTACGGCAGGGCACGGCTGTATGTACCTGTGATACAAGAACACAGCTGCTGTAGGTACCTGTGATACAAGAACACAGCAGCAGTTTGTACCTGTGATACAAGGACGCAGCTGCTGTATATACCTGTGATATAAGAACACAGCTGCTGTATGTACCTGTGATACAAGAACATAGCTGCTGTAGGTACCTGTGATACAAGATGCTTAAGGCGAGTGTGTGGTGAGGGTATCTAAAGCCTCAGTCCTGAATCTCCAGCCTCAGTCCTGGGTCTACAGCCTCAGTCCTGGGTCTACAGCCTCAGTACTGGGTCTACAGCCTCAGTCCTGGGTCTACAGCCTCAGTCCTGGGTCTAAAGCCTCAGTCCTGGTCGTGGTGATGGGTCAGACCGAGGTGGATGACGTAGGGGGCTGTGATGCTCCCGACTCGGGCCGCGGACGAGCAGAGACCCATCCCCGCGTTCCGGATCACTGTGGGATACAGTTCCGCCGTGAATATGTACACGATCCCGAACGCCATCGTGAAACCGAACTTCCCCGTCATCTCCAAGACCAGGGCCAAAGCCGGCAGGTCTGAGGAGGACAGAGGGACAAGGTTATTTATGTCTCCAAGACCAGGGCTTGCACATCTGAGGGTGTCCTGGTCTCTCTCTGCTCTCTCTCTCACTTGACTCTCTCTCCAGGGCCTCTCTCTGGCCTCTGGCCTCTCTCTGGCCTCTCTCTGGTCTCTCTCTGGTCTCTCTTTGGTCTGTCTCTGGTCTCTCTCTGTTCTCTCTCAGGTCTCTCTAGTCTCTCTCTCGTCTCTCTCTCTGCTCTCTTTCTCACGTCTCTCTGGTCTCTCTCTTGTCGCTCTCTAGTCTCTCTCAGGTCTCTCTCAGGTCTCTCTCTGGTCCCTCTTTCTGGTCTCACTCCCGGGTCTTTCTCTGGTCCCTCTCTCAGGTCTCTCTCTGGTTTTTCTCTTAGGTCTCACTCTTGTCTCTCTCTGGTCCCTCTTTCTGGTTTCTCTCTGGTCCATCTCTCTAGTCTCTCTCTCTGGTCTCTCTCTGGTCTCTCTCTGGTCTCCCTCTGGTCTCTCTCTGGTCTCTCTGTCTAGTCCCTCTCTTGTCTCTCTCTCTGGTCTCTGTCTCAAAGCAGACCCTGAGTGATTGACAGTTCAAACAGTCAGACCCCGCCCCTCTGCGATTGACAGCAGACCTACCCTCTGGTAGGACCTGGATCAGCAGCAGGACTCCTCCCCCAAGCAGCAGGAAGCCGGACAGCAGGGGGCGCCGTGGACACCTCTTCAGGAGCCACGTTGACACCACGTATGCCGGGACCTCGGACACCGCAGACAGGAAACAGTTCATGAAGGGGTCTCCGCTCAGGTTTGAGGTGTTCAGAGAAAGACCAAAGTATCCAATGTTTATTGCCATCCTGAGGACAGAGGATCACAGGGACTGACCAGAGGGAGACCAAAGAGAGAGCAGAGAGAGACCAGAGAGAGACAAGATGGAGACCGGAGAGAAACCAGGGAGAGAGCAGAGCGCAGAGAGAGACCAGAGAGAGACCAGGAAGAGAGCAGAGTGAGAGTAGAGAGAGAGCAGAGGAAGACCCGGAGAGATAGCAGAGAGAGAGCAGAGAGAGACCAGAGAGAGACCAGAGAGAGACCGGAGAGAGACCAGAGTGAGACCAGACAAAGAAACAGGAGAGACCAGAGAGAGGCCAGATAGAGAGCAGAGAGAGAGCAGAGAGAGAGAGCATGAGGGAGACATGAGAGAGACCAGAGGGAGACCAGTGAGAGTCTGGAGAGAGACCAGGGAGAGACCAGAGAGAGACCAGGGAGAGGGCAGAGAGAGACCAGAGAGACCAAAGAGGCAGCGCGAGAGACCAGGGAGGGGCCAGAGAGAGACAGAGAGAGAGACCAGAGAGAGAACAAAGAGAGACCAGGGAGAGACCAGAGAGAAACCAGAGAGAGGCCAGAGAGAGAGACCAGGGAGAGACAGGAGAGAGAGACCAGAGAGAGATTAGAAAGAGTCCAGACAGAGACCAGAGAGAGACCAAAGAGAGGGTCTAAGGACAGTAAGGATCTGGGACATATTATAACATTTATGCTCAGTGGTCGGGCCGCTCCCTATGGACCAATGGCTCCTATTGGTCTCTCTGTTGTAACTGTCTGATTCTCTGATCTGCTGTTGGTCAATCCACAACTTTGATGACAAATACATTGAAAATAGAGCAGAATTAATAAAAACCTGAAAAAGATGATCCAAAGATGATGAAAAACAATACGTGAATACAGGTCTAGAGCCAGGAACTAGTGAAGATGTTGATAGTATTGTGCTTTAAAAGTTAGGTACCCCAGCTTTAAGGTAATGTCCTCACCACAGCCCCAGGCACATGAACGTGATGCAGCGGATGTTCCTGTGTCTCAACACGTCCACCATGGAGAACTGCTGAGGCTCACACACCTGCAACACAGAGGATGAGGGAGTCTCTCTCTTCTCTCTCTCTCTGGCCTCTCTTTGGTGTCTATGTGGTCTCTCTCTGGTTTCTCTTTAATCACAATCACAATAATCACAAGTCTGAGCTCCTCCACATGCAGCCTGGATGTACTACCCACTAGATTTCTGAAGTCTGTTCTGAGCAGTCTGTTACCTTCACTCACACAGATGGAAAACATGTCCCTCCATTCTGGAATATTCCCAAAGGCCCTGAAAACTGCAGTCATCAGGCCCCTGCTAAAAAAGAGCAGTCTGGATGCCACGGTACTGAACAAGTATCGTCCCATCTCAAATCTGCCATTTATGGGGAAAGTCCTTGAAAAAGTTGTCTACCAACAGCTTACTAGATTTCTTATAATCAACAACTCATTTGATATGTTTCAGTCCGGCTTTAGACCCCACCACAGCACTGAGACTGCTCTGACGCAGGCAAAGTCTCAATCTTGTTAGATCTAAGTGCTGCCTTTGATACTGTCGACCATGAGACCTAACCCTAACCCTTACAGAGACTAGAGAACTGGGTTGGCGTCGCTGGCACCGCCCTGAGTTGGTTTAGGTCTTACCTTGAAGACAGGAAGTACTTTGTGGAGATTGGAAACTGTGTCTCAGATCATATGGCCCTGACCTGTGGAGAACCACAGGGGTCGATCCTGGGACCTCTTCTGTTCAATCACTACATGCTGCCGTTAGGTCAGTTAATACGCAGAAACGAAGTGTCCTATCACATCTATACAGACGACACTCAGATCTATGTCTCACTGACTGCAGGAGAACATGGACCAGTGGACTCTCTCCTACACTGTATCCAACAGATCAGTGAGTGGATGCAAAACAACTTCCTTCAGCTAAACGAAGACAAAACTGAAAGGATTGTCTTTGGTCCCCAGAAACAAAGAGAGAGCGTCATTTGTCACCTACAGTCTCTCTCCTTAAAACCTTCAAACTAGGTCAGAAATCTAGGGGTAATACTGGACTCACACTTAAATTTTAATAGCCACATCAAATCAGTAACATCAGCAGCTTTTTACAACCTAAAAAACATTTCCAGGATCAAAAACATGGTGTCTAAAGCAGACTTGGAGATTCTTATCCATGCATTTGTCTCCAGTAGGTTACAAATGTTTTCTCTCTGCACTGGGTTCCTGTGGCTCAGAGAATAGACTTTAAAACAGCTCTACTTGTGTACAAGTCTCTCCATGGCCTCTCACCAAAATATATTAGTGACATGTTCGTACCATATGAACCCACCCGGACTCTGAGGAGCACAGGGACTGGACTCCTGCTAGTGCCCAGAGTCAAAACTAAACATTAGGAGGCTGCTTTTCAGATTCATGCCGCTAAAATCTGGAACAATCTTCCTGAAGATGTTAGACAGGCCTCCTCTCTGACAATGTTTAAAACCAGGTTAAAAACAGTCCTGTTTAGCTGTGCATACAACAAAGGGATTTTATATTTTTATCTTTCTTTTTAATGTACTGTGATTATTTATGATTTTAATGCTATTTTGTTCTGTTCAGCACTTTGAAATACCTTGTGTATGAATTGTGCTGTACAAATAAACTTTCCTTGCCTTCTCTCTATAGTCTCTCTCTCTCTGGTCTCTCTCAGATCTCTCTCTGGTCTCTCTCTGGTCTCTTTCTGGTCTCTTTCTGGTCTCTCTCTCTGGTCTCTCTCTCTGGTCTCTCTCTCTGGTCTCTCTCTGGTCTCATTCTGGGCTCTCACCTCACTCTTGAAGATCACCACAGGAGCCTCTACTCTGTTCTGTTTAGCTGCTTCTCTCACGATGCGCTCGGCCTCTTGTCTGCGTCCCTGAGTGACGAGCCACCGCGGAGACTCCGGGATGAACCTGGAAACAAACCAACTGATAAAGTTCAAACCTAGACCCTCAGTCTTAGACCTACAGCTGTCTTTTGCTCCATCCACGCTAAGAACAGGAACTTATGGTACAAACATGCAGGTCTGCCTCCTCTGTCTCAAATGTGTTTGAGAGAGACCAGAAAAAGACAAGAGAGAGACCGGTGAGAGACAAGAGAGAGACCAGCGAGACCAGAGAGAGACCAGAGAGAGACACCAGAGAGAGACCAGACTGAGACCAGAGAGAGACCAGAGAGAGAGACCAGAGAGAAACCAGAGAGAGACCAGAGAGAGACAAGAGAGAGATACCAGAGAGAGACCAGAGAGAGAGACCAGAGAGAGACCAAAGATAAACCAGAGAGAGACCAGAGAGAGAAAAGAGAGAGAGACCAGAGAGAGAGACAGACCAGAGAGAGAATAGAGAGACCAGAGAGAGAGAGTAGACATAGACCAGATAGATACCAGAAAGAGATCAGACAGAAACCAGAGAGAGATTGAAGAAAATTCAGAGAAGGAAACCAGACAGATACCAGAGAGACCAGAGAGAGACCAGAACATACTATAGATATGGTCAAAATACATGCATGTAGAAACTCAGAATTGCTGGTGTGTGTCACTCTCTTACCACCAGAGCGGGATGTAGACCACAGATGTAGTTGCCAGCGTGGCCAGCAGAGGTCGCCAGTCCCGGATGGAGAAGGCGATCCAGGGCAGAGTCATGTAGCCCAGACAGTAGAACAAGAACGCTCCCAGTGTGGTGAAGATGACCCGCATGGTCTTACTCAGCAGCTCTGTGCCTGAGGGAGAGACCAGGGGGGAGACAAATGGGGGAGGCCAGAGTGGAGACCAGGAGGGAGACCAGGGAGAGATACCAGAGGGAAGACCAGAGAGAGAACAGAGAAATAGAGACCGGGGGAAAACCAGGGGAGAAGTCAGAGAAAGACCAGGGGAAAGAGATATCAGGGGAGAGAACAGGGGAGAAACCAGAGAGAGAGAGACCAGGGGAAGGCCCAGGGAATAAATGAGACATGGGGAACTAGAAACCAGGGGATAAACAAGAGAACATGGGAAAGCTCTGGTCTCTCATTCTTTGGTCCCTACCTGGTCTCTCCCTGGTCTCTCTCCCTGGTCTCTCTCTCTGGTCTCTCTCTCTCTGGTCTCTCTGCACTGTAAAGAATTTCCTTGTAGAAAAACGCTAATAAATAGCTGGCAAATATGGTTCCAGGTATTTACCGTTTTCACAACATGGCATTACCGTTGCTAATTTTAACGGTTAAAGACTGTTTCACTGAATCACATTTTGCCTTTGTGATTTCAGGATTTAACTGTAGGGTTAAATAAACTTTAGGGTTAATTCACATACAACAAAAACAGCATTATAATGTTCATGTAGTATTAATACACCATTTGACTGTTTCTAATTAGTTTCATTGAACAAAAAACTACACAGTTTAATTTTGTTTTCCTCTAATGAACCCAACTTTTCAATTATTTTTTAACATCTTCAGTTTATACAAGAACATTGTTGAATTCTTTACTTCTATAACATGCTTAATACAAAAGCATAATTCTAACTAAAGCAGGAGTTTACATGTGTAAGAGGTACTGTACCTTTTACGCTCATGGTTGCTCGCTAGCAATAATTTCCCAGCATTCCAAAAATACAACAAGTTTATGTTAAATTACTGTAAACACCACTGGATGTTTTTTAACCAATTTATATTTAAATTTGCATGTTTGAATTGTTTTTCAAAATAACATTTGTTTAATGTTGAAATTTCATTGTAATTTTACAGAAATTTGTTACAGTGTGGTCTCTCCCTGGTCCCTCCCTGGTCCCTCCCTGGTCCCTCCCTGGTCTCTTTCTGGTGTCTCTCTGTCTCTCTGGTCTCTCTGGTCCCTTCCTGGTCCCTCTCTGGTCCCTCCCTGGTCTCTCTCTGGTCTCCCTGGTCCATCTTTGGTCTCTCTCTGGTCCCTCTCTGGTCCCTCTCTGGTCTCTCTCCCTGGTCCCTCCCTGGCCCCTCTCTGGTCCCTCTCTGGTCCCTCTCTGGTCTCTCTTTGGTTCCTCTCTGGTCTCTCTCTGGTCTCTCTCTGGTCTCTCTATGGTCTCTCTCTGGTCTCTCTCTGGTCTCTCTCTGGTCTCTCTCTGGTCTATCTTTGGTCTCTCTTTCTGGTCTCTCTCTGGTCCTTCTCATCTCTCTGGTGTGTGTTTTTACCCAGTACAAATGCAGACAGATACAGTGATATCTGTGAGGCTCCCACGAACAGGAACATGAGGCAGAACAACCTCCAGGAGCCAGAGAACGACTGCAGCAGCACAGACACACACTGAGAGCCCAGGGACACAAAGACCACCTTCTTCCTGCCATATCTACACACACACACACACACAAAGAGAGACACACGCAGACACACAAAGAGAGAGAGACACACACACACACAGAGCGAGACACACACACACAAAGAGAGAGAGAGACACAACCACACACACACACACGCACAAAGAGAGAGATACACACACAAAGACACTCACACACAGAGACACACGCAGACAGTTACAGTTGGTCTGAAAGTTACGTCCCTTATCTTTAAATTTACATCCCTCATCTTTAAAGTCACGTCCCTCAGCTTTACCTGTCTGAGAGCTGCCCAGAGATCAGCGACCCCAGGAGGTAACCCACGAAGAGAGAAGAGGAGGCCACAGGGACTTTCCACCGGTCGTCACACACCAGGTCCCACTGCACCACAACAACACACAAAACACTCATTATACACACACTGCAACACACTCTTACACACACACACCAGGTCCCACTGCACCACAACAACACACTCATTATACACACACACCAGGTCCCACTGCAACACAACAACACACTCATTATACACACACACCAGGTCCCACTGCAACACAACAACACACTCATTATACACACACACCAGGTCCCACTGCACCACAACAACACACTCATTATACACACACACCAGGTCCCACTGCAACACAACGATCATTATACACAAACAACAGGTCCCACTGCAACACAAAAACACACACATAACAGGTCCTACTGCAACACAAGAACACCCACCAGGTCCCTCTGCAACACAACACTCATTATACACATACAACAGGCCCCACTGCAACACAACAACACAACAGGTCCCACTGCAACATAACAGCACACCAGGTCCCACTGCAACACAAAAACACAACACACGTATACGCACACACACCAGGTCCCAATGCAACACAACAACACAACAGATTCCGCTGCAACACAACAACATACAACAACACCATAAAAATGCCATGGCGCTTTGTGAATCTAATGAAAAAATCTGTGAAAACAACATATTTTCCTCTTTCCTTTAGTTCTGGCTCCTGCTGAAACATGACCGCAGCCCATTGGTACAGTAAGACCCACTTCCGGCGAAGATGGCGGTCTGAGCACACCTACTTTTTGTTAGCTCTTGGTTTTCTTTCTCCAAAGTTGGTTTATTGAATTACTACCCACCGAACAATATCCACGGCTTTATAAATGACTTCAAAAACATCCCCTGACCAGCTGTCTAAAATGAATACCAACCAAGCCCCGGCGATCCAAGATGGCGCCGTTTTCAAATGAATGGTTTGTGCTCAGTGGCACTTTGTGACGGCATGGGGGCTGAAAGATTAGCGGAACTCGCCTGGCACTCCATCGTCTGGTCCTCCCGGTTCTGCACAGTGGATGATCTCCCATGATGCGTTGCGCCAAATACGCTTACTACTACCTTATTAGTTTTCTGGAGTTTGGTCTGAAAAGCTCTAATGCAGTCTTTATGTCTTGGATCTGTGACTTTGCAAATCGAGTAGGTCCAGGGCTCATTTTTATGATGTTTGCTGATTGTGCTCTGCCTTCATTTTTATACAGGTTTGAGACCAAACCTTCCCACTGTTTGAAACAAAGCCCTGTTCTGGTTCATTCAGTCACTTCTTCATCTGAATCTGATGTTTCTTAATCTTGATGTGGATCATCCACCAAATCCTCCTCAGATACATCTTCCTATTTCAGCCTGATTTGGCGGCATTGTGGCTGAGAGCAAGAAGGTTCTGGGTTCAAATCCTGGTCTGATCCTGTGTATGCATTGGTTTCCTCCAGGTGCTCCGGTTTCCCCTACCACTAAAAACATGGACCATAGGTAAAATTCTCCAGTTCTGGTCCTGATCGAGCCGAGCATCAACATCTGGAGATGGGTCCAAAGACACTGTATTACACAGCAACCTCTGCTCCTGATAGAGAACCTAGTAGCACATGCAGGATGGGTCAAATGCAGAAGTCAAATTCTCCTATAGGACAATAATGTGCACATCCGTCTCCTTCAAAGACTCTTCCTCCACGAGGATGTGATCAAGAACCTCACGGACCGTGTAACGTAAAGGTGGATTTTACCTTATATAAAAAAGGTTCATTATTTCATTTTCTTGTTCCAAAATCCGGTTTTTATAATATATATATATATATATATATATATATATATATATATATACATACTGTATGTCTTATAAGCAATGAAAAAACCAAAATGGTCTTTTTTGTATATTGCTGTGTGCCTGAAAATACAAAATAGCAAAAAGACTATTTTTTGCAGACTTGTTCACTGTGATGCCCTCTATAGTGTGCAAAGTGACATCCACTTTTACTCTGGAAATTCTAAGAAAATGGGGGTCAAAGTGTGCAATATTGATCCAAAATGCACTTTTTAAACACAATTTAAAAAATAAAACTAAAAAACCTAAGAAAAATCTTTAAATTCCAAGAAAATGAATGTCACTTTGCACACTGGTAGAGGGCATCACAGTGAACAAGTCTGCACTTTTCTAAGGTGTTTTAGTTTTTAAAAAAATCCAGTTTAAAAAGTGCATTTTGGATCAATATTGCACATTTTGGCCCCCATTTTCTTGGAATTTCCACAGTAAAAGTGAATGTCACTTTGCACAATTGCAGAGGGCATCACAGTGAACAACTGTGCAGTAAAAGATTTTTCAAACGTTTTTTTTATTTTATTTTTTTTATCCAGGTTAAAAAGTGCATTTTGGATCAAAATTGCACATTTTGACCCCATTTTCTTGGAATTTCCACAGTAAAAGTGAATGTCACTTTGCACACTAATAGAGGGCATCACAGTGAACAAGTGTGCAGTAAAAGCTTTTTCTAAGGTTTTTGTTTTCTTTTTTATCCAGGTTAAAAAGTGCATTTTGGATCAATATTGCCAACTTTGACCCTCATTTTCTTGGAATTTCCACATTAAAAGTGAATGTCTCTTTGCACAATAGTAGCGGGCATCACAGTAAACAAATGTGCAGTGAAAGCTTTTTCTAAGGTTGTTTTGTTTTTTAAAACAAATTGTTAAAAAGTCCATTGTGGCGGCTCATCCCTGCGGCTTCGCTTTACGCTGCTGTTACCGTAAGTAACAGCATAAAGTGGCAACACGCTTTTAATGTGAGGACCTCTTTACCACTCGCTCCTAAAAGCCGGACCTCTTTACCGCGGTCTGTGACCGCTGGGGTCAGACCAGAGACTGTATATATTAACGGACAGAGTCACGCCTATCTACGCCGTTCATAGGAGTTGGCCATGAAAAGTGCTTTCATGGAGCAATCCAAGATGGCCGCGAGTGGTCCCGCCCACAAGAAATTTGTTAAAAAAACGGCGCAGCTGGCGCAGCTCCATTCATTTGAACGAGAGACTTCAAAAATTCCCCGCGAGTTGACCAAAAAAAATCACCCCCCTCAGCATTTACACACATGTGGAACGGAGCTTTGGGCCAAGAGCCAACTTTTGGCCCATCCTGTAAAGATGTTTTGGAGAGGTCTGCTGACGCTATATGTTAGCATTGGCTAATTCTTCTTCTGGGTCCACCCCCAACGGCCCGGGGTGGTATTGCAAGCATGTCAGCGCACGTCATTTTGGCCACTTTTGAGCTGGGACCCTCCCCCACTGGGTCAGACACGACTCTCTGAACTGCGTTAAGCGGGGAGACCCGCGCACGTGCGGTCGTTATGTGAGATGTCAGTGAAAATAGTATTTTACAGATATTGCTTATCCCGTGTAAATGCACTGCAAAATCTCAGACGCCCTCCACAATTATAACAAATTATCAGGGGTCCACAGGTAATTCTAATCCCGTGCAAATCAAGCCCCGGCGATCCAAGATGGCGCCCTATTCAAATGAACGGTTGTGCTCAGTGGCGCTTTGTGACGGCATGGGGGCTGAAAGATCAGCGGAAGTCGCCTGGAACTCGCAAAGATCTATGGGAAGTTCGCAAATATCTTTGGGAAACTTGCCTGCATTTGGGCATCGTCTGGTCCTCCCTGTCACTTCCGTATTCGTCCCGGAAACCGTATTCGTCCGGAAGTTCAGTATGCGCATGTCAAAAAGTTTAATATGTCCTTAAGTGGTGACTGGTTAAGTTTAGGCGTCTGATTAAGATGGTTAAGTTTAGGGTTAAGGCTGGGTTGGGGTTATTTTGTGGGAATGGCTGGTTAAGTTTAGGCATGAATAGGTAGTTTTTTATATTTACTTCCACTTCCGTCCAGATTCCGTGACGTAATCTACTGCTGCGTATGCTCATTGGATCAAACTGAACTTCCGGACAAATCCGGTTTCCGGGACGAAAACGGGAGTGACACTCCCCGTTCTGCGCAGTGGATGATCTCCCATAATGCGTTGCGTCAAACACGCGTGTGAGGGTTTTACACCAGGTCTCATGCACGTGCACAGAGGGGCTCGGCTGCGCTCTGACCAATCAGAGCAGTTCATCAGAGCGGGAGTTAGAGCGAGAGCCAGACGAGCAGAGTTTGTGGCCATAAAGTGTGGATTTAAAGGAAACCGAAGGATTTAAGAAGAAAAAAAGTTCAGGATGACAAGGGAAACTAAAATCCTCACAAAATGCAATCTTTATTAAAGCTGTAGGTTCTCTGTCAGCTGAGGTCGAGCTGTTAATATGCATTGAGTTCTATGGGGAAAATGTCTGGGTAGCCCACGTGAATTTAGTCTGGTCTAGTCTGCATCAGGTGGGTGGACAGGTCCTTCCTCAAGTGGAGGAGTTCAAGTATCTCGGGGTCTTGCAAAATAGCCTTTTTTCGATTTTCCATTTCCCTTCAAAAATAGAAAATGTATTGAATGCAAAAGTACACAGACCAATATCCTTAACTTACACTGATATAAAATATGGAGCTATATTGGACCACAAGGAAAATAAATTCACAATCAATAATTTTATTATATTTGCAAAATGTTTCATACACAAATGTAACTTTATTTTTGGTATTTCATAAAGAGTTATGTAGTTTGAAGAACTCTTTAAAACTTTGCAAGTCTAAGAAAGCTATAAGGTTATAATGTTATTCCATCATAACAATATGATGGAAATGTCTTTCGACCCCTCTGTACGTTGTTGAAGTTGGCTCTTTTAATTTTTGTTTTTTTGTTATTTTTGTTTTTGTTCTTTTGTTGTTCGTTAGTTTTTTGTGATATACTAGACTGTACTATGTACATACTATTTGTATGCTCTAATTGTAAAATATATTGGAGATAAGCCTGTAAGCATCACTTGTTAATAAAAAAGAAAAAAATATATATCGAAGTTTTCAAAGTATTTCATTTTGTCCACTACTGTGGGTGTCAGCCCCGTGTAATGACTGCTGGAGGCCGCGGTTCTGTGGTCCGGGAAAAGTCTGCAGTGAAAACCTACAACTCATTGGAAAGACAAAAGGGCGTGTTTTTTATTGGTTTAGGATCCTGGGTGTTTTTTATTAGTATAAAAAGTAATTCTGTGGTATTTTTATTTTATTTTAATTTTTTAATTCCGGAAGTGCGCGGCAGTGTTTTATTTTGACAGTAAACTTCCGCTCTCAAGGCGCAGCAGTGTTCTGTGACTGTGGAAAGAATATATTTTATTTTTAGGCCCGAGCCCCGAACGGGGTAAGGGCCTATTGCTTTCACAATGGTGAAAACAAATGGTGGCGGTGCGTGACGGACGCGTCAGCGCCCGTCACTCACCAAAACGTGACAGTTGCGTGCGTAAACTCAAACACTTTAAAATGATGTATCATGTGCCATTGAAACCTATATTGTTTTTGCTCGAGACGTCAAAAAAAAAATCCTTTTTTATTTCTTTCTTTCTTTCTTTCTTTCTTTCTTTTTTCTTCTGCACTTTGAGCCTTAATTTGACCCCCTGAACATGCATGAAAATTTGATATTTTGGTGTTTATTTTTATCGACCTCAAAAAATGCCAGAACAGCGCCACCTACAACAGCCAAAATAATACCCCTATGGGACTTTTCGGAGGTCAAGTTTGTCGTAGAAACATGAAATTCGGTACACATGTTACTCAAGTCAAGACAAGAAAAATATATTATTATGCCCCCGCCCTCTGACAAACAGGAAGCCCATAAATTTCACTGCAAAATGGAAAAATGAACAGCAAAAGTTTTCATACATGTCGGTTGGAAAGCGACTCCTCCTCGGCCGTTTCGCCGATTCGCCTCAAAATCGCTCCACATCATCTCAACACATGTACCTTCAAAATGACATCAGGGATTTTTGATCAGTGAAACATTGTTTGAGCAGCGGAGCGGCAAAATGTGACCTTTTTTTGGCCGTTTTTGACAACATTAAATTTGCTCCCGTTTGCACAAACAAAGTCTGATTTGCACAAAACTTTAATACATTGTTCAACTGTAGTGTCTAGGTCGTTTGAAGGTGAATTAATTCAAATTGACACATTAGCGCCCCCTACAGACTATTTCAACATTTTAGATGGGCATTTTCAAATTTAGTTTTTTCAAAATGTTTGAAATTTTGCACATAAATCTGTTTTGCCATCTTGATTCAAAAAGTCAATTGGGTCCAAGGCTTATTTTTTACCCTGTTGCCGTGGCGACGAGAAACGCTCCCCATTCATTGCAAATGTACACCTCACACAAACATCAAACCAGCCTCAACCGTTTCACCGATTCGCCTCAAAATCGCTCCACATCATCTCAACACATGTACCATCAAAATGACTTCAGGGAATTTTGATCAGTGAAACGTTGTTTGAGCAGCGGAGCCCCAAAAAGTGGCGTAATTTTTTTCCGTTTTCGACAATAGAAAATTTGCCTCCGTTTGCACAAACAAAGTCTGATTTGCACAAAACTTGAATCCATGGTTCAACTCTTGGGTCTAGGTCATTTGAAAGTAAAAATGTTGAAATTGGCTCTATAGCGCCACCTACAACAGCCAATTTAAAAATGCCTATGGGAGGGGTTTGAAGTCAAAATTGTTGTAGAGCCATGTAATTTGGTACACATGTTCCTCAAGTTAAGAAAAAATTGGAAAAATTTTTATTATGGCTAAGCCTTCTGACAAACAGGAAGCCCATAAATTTCATTGCAAAAAGGAAAAATGAAAACCAATCATTTTCATACATGTCGGTTGGAAAGCGACTCCTCCTCGACCGCTTCACCGATTGGCCTCAAAATTGCTCCAAATTATCTCAACACATTTATCTTCAAAATGACCTCAGGGAATTTTGATCAGTGAAACGTTGTTTGAGCAGCGGAGCGGCAAAATGGGAAGTTTTTTTCTGCCGTTTTTGACAACATACATTTTTTTCCCGTTTGCACATACAAAGTCTGATTTGCATCAAACTTGAAACCATTGTTCAACTCCAGGGTTTAGGTCAGGTGAAAGTGAAATATTTTAAATTGGCCCATTAGCGCCCCCTACAGACTGAGTCAAAGTTTACATGGGGAGCCAAACCAGCTCTACTTATCATATTCATTACAATTTGACTAACAATCTTCTGTGGCTACGGAAACAAATCATCACACGGCGGCGCCACCTCCTTTGAGCGGTGCTGCGTGGTACGGTGTGGTGCGGCAAAGTGCGGGGCGTTGTGGAGCGGCGCGTTGTGGCTTGGTGCGGGGCGGCGTGATGGGGGACGGCGTGGTGCAGGGCGGCGTGGTGCGGGGTGGCTTGTCACGGGGTCGTGCGCGCGGTGCGGGGGAGTTGCGCGGTGCGGGGAGTCGCGCGGTGCGGCGAGGGCCGTTTGACGCCGCTTGCGGCTTTAATTTAACTTGATTTCCCAAAGAAAAATGAAGATTTGTTTATTACACCTGTATTAACACTTGGTACAGTACTTTTGTATGAATTTTAGCGCACTTTGAGACTTCAGCTTTAGTTTTTATTCTGTTAGTTTACAATGTGCCATGGAGCTATCGGGTTTCTGTCTCAAGTTCCGGTTTCCTCCTGCAGGGAGCGCCAGTGTGTCACGTCTGGGAGAGACCAGAGAAACAAGAGAGAGACCAGATCAAGAGAGAGAGGGACCAGACAGAGTCCAGGGAGACAGACCAGAGAGAGACCAAAGAGAGGCCAGAAAGAGACCCAAAGAGAGGCCGGAGAGAGAGCAGAGAGAGAAACCAAAGAGAGACCAGAGAGAGAGCCAAAAGAGAGGCCAGTTAGAGATATTGGAGAGAGACATCACACTCAGAGCTTTTTTTTTATCTTTAAAACAAAAGTATTGCTCATAAATTTGTTTTCTAATTTTCTCATGCGAAATTACATTCTCAGCAATCACATCGCTATGCTCCCTCTAGTGGCAGCATAGTGAGTTACAGGGAGCTCTGACTGCAGAAGCTGCTCCCTCTGGTCTCTCACCTCGGTGACGATGGTGGAGCTGTAGACGTCTCGGCTGTAGCTCCATCCGTCCAGACAGGGCTCCACACTCAGAGAGCTCAGGTTCACATGGTCCGGCCGCAGGCCCTGGTCCGACAGGTTCCGGACCATGTGGAGACTGTAGCGGCTGCACTGGCTCCTTACCCTCTCTCCCCCCTCTGCCTCCCCCACCGGGATCACCGCGGCCCTCCACTCCTCGGTCAGGTTCAGGTCTGGAATCAGGCAGCGGTGGTCGGGTGTGGAGCCGATGAAGACCATGTAGAGACCATTAAAACCAGTGGAGACGAAGACGGAGTTGAGCAGAAAGAATGTGGACCAGAAATATCGTCCCGTTTGTCCCAAGAAGGCTGTCTCCTCGTCAAACTCAGACATGTTTAAGAGCCGGGGGCCGGAGGCAGACTGAGAGGTCCCGAGTGGGATTGGGAACAGAGGGAGGCAAAGGGGGAGACGCAGAGGAGTGGGAGGACAGAAGGAGGCACGGGGGAGACACAGTGCTCTGGGTGAGGGACATGTCAGACTGAGTTACACTTGACACAATGCAACAGGTTCAGGACAAAAACAAGTGAAAGGGACAAGGATTCAGACTCTGAACCACAGCAAGACTGACCCTGGACTAAAACAGCTCTCTTTGGTCTCTCTCTTTGGTCTCTCTATGGTCTCTCTCTGGTTTCACCCTGGTCTTTCTGGTTTCACTCTGGTCTTTCTCTGGTCTCACTTTCAGGTCTCCCACTTGTCTCACTCTCTGGTCTAGCTCTCTGGCTCTCTGGTCTCCATCTGGCCTATTTCCGGTCTCGTCTCTTTGGTCTTTCTCTAATCTCTCTTTGGTGTCTCTCTGTTCTCACTCTATTTGGTCACTCTCTCTCTGGTCTCTCCTGTCTAGTCTCTCTCTCTATGATCTCTCCACTCGCCTTTTTCTCTCTGGTTTCTCCCTTCTAATTGTATCTATACATGGTGTGGTTAGCCGTGCTTGTAAGTGCATGAACAGTGTTTGATTATGTTTTCCATGTTCTTTTACAGGAAACACGTCACAAGTTACGTACCTCAGCTTTAAAGACCCGGTCACATGATGATGCAGGGAGTGTGTGTCGTGTTAGCACAGCTTCTAAACAGCTTCACGTGTCGCCGCGGTAACAGTTCTGCTGCAGCTTTAATGCGTCTTAGCAACATTTACTTTACAAGCACGTGTGTCCAGAGGAATGTAGAGCTCAGAGAGACCTGAGAGATCAGAAAGGGACCAGAGAGACCAGAGAGGGACCCAAGAGGGACCAGAGAGAGACCAGAGAGAGAGCAGAGAGGGACCAGAGAGAGACCAGAGAGAGAGCAGAGATGGACCAGAGATAGAGCAGAGAGAGCAGAGAGGGACCAGAGAGAGAGCAAACTCCTCTTGCTCAATGACAGTTTGTGTCACACTCAACCTTTTGGGCCAGAATCAGACCCTGATAATTAACGAAGTGTTTGTATATACAGGCTCCTAGTTAGTGGCTTTTATGGTGGGGATAAGACCAATGCTCCAGTTGAATCCCTGTCAATAAAGTCCAGCTGTGTTCTCCGTCTTTGGGCCAAACATTGCTGTCACATATTTACACACAAAAACAAATTTTCTCCAACTTGACACAATAAGTCTATGGACCATCCAATCTATGGACCATACAGTCTTTGGACCATAGAGTCCACGGACCATACAGTCTATGGACCCTACAGTCTTTGGACCATAAGGTCCACGGACCATACAGTCTATGGACCATCCAGTCTATGGGCCATACAGTCTTTGAGCCATACAGTCTATGGGCCATACAGTCTTTGGGCCATACAGTCTTTGAGCCATACAGTCTATGGACCATACAGTCTGTGGACCATACTGTCTTTGGACCATCCAGTCTATGGACCATACAGTCTTTGGACCATACAGTCTTTGGACCATACAGTCTATGGACCATACTGTCTTTGGACCATCCAGTCTATGGACCATACAGTCTTTGGACCATACAGTCTTTGGACCATACACTGAGACTACGCCCTCTTTTTCTGTTTTGATTTCTCTCACCTCCTAGAAGCGGGTGTCTGCAGCTCGTCACAAAGTGAACTGAGCTGTTTTTTTCCCTCTCGAGATCAAAAGAGAAAGATTAATCTCTAACTAAAGCTTGCCTTGATGGCTTTACTCTGTAATAAAAAGTTTCATAAATTTCCAAAAAGCTTTTGTTGCGATTGACTAATAACTCTGTAGCTATTCGTGTGAGAGACTACAGATTATACAGATGATCAGCACAAGTTTGGACATGACCGGAGGGGTACCACAGGGGTCGATACTGGGACCCAATGTATTTCTGATGCACATTAAAACATTTACTTCTCTTTGCTAACAGCACTGATATCATATGTTTTGGTGATGACCTGGAAACCTTTGTCATCTGTGGAGACCGACAAACTAAATATGAGCTTTAATTGTAAGGACTCTAGAATAATTAAGTTTATTTGTACAGCAGATTTCATATAAAGATAAAATCCCTCAGTTGTATCACAGCTAAACAACCTGGATTTGAACATTGCCAGAAGAGGCCTGTCTCATATTTTCAGGAAGAATGTTCCAGATTTTATCTGCATAAATGTTGCTTCTCGATGTTTAATCCTGACTTTGGGACCAGCAGAAGGCCAGTCCCTCTGTTCCTCAGAGTCACAGCAGGCCAGTCCCTGTGCTCCTCAGAGTCCCAGCAGCAGACCAGTCCCTGTGCTTTAGTCCCATGGAGAGACTTGTAACAAACAGAGCTGCTCTAAGGTGCAGAGACCTGAGACCAGCACTAATGTCATGGTACTTCCTGGTTCTAATCAGGACTAATGTCATGGTACCAAGCCCCGGCGATCCAAGATGGCGCCCTATTCAAATGAATGGTTGTGCTCAGTGTGCTCAGTGGTGCTTTGTGACGGCATGGGGGCTGAAAGATTAGCGGAAGTTGCCTGAAACTCGCAAAGATCTATGGGAAACTCGCCTGTATTTGGGCATCGTCTGGTCCTCCCGGTTCTGCGCAGTGGATGATCTCCCATAATGCGTTGCGCCAAACACGCGTGTGTGGGTCTCACACCGGGTCTCACGCACGTGCACAGAGGGGCTCGGCCGCGCTCTGACCAATCAGAGCAGTTCATCAGAGCGGGAGTTAGAGCGAGAGCCAGACGAGCAGAGTTTGTGGCACTAAAGTGTGGATTTAAACAAAACCGAAAGATTTAAGAAGAAAAAAAGTTCAGGATGACAAGGGACACTAAAATCCCCACAAAATCCGACCTTTATGAAAGCTGTAGGTTCTCTGTCAGCTGAGGTTGAGCTGTTTTAATATGCATTGAGTCCTATGGGGAAAATTTCTGGGTAGCCCACGTGAATTTAGTCTGGTTCAGTCTGCAGTACCGCGAGAATCCCCTGAGCACATGGGTTATTCAGCTACAAGCTAGTAATACCCTATCCAGTTAATATAATAGATCCATGCATGGTACTTCCTGGTTCTAGTCAGGACTTATGTGATATGTGACATCATTGTGAAGATTGTTATTGATGATAAACCAACAGAGAAACACAAGTTCAGGAGTTTGACCCGACAAAGATCAGTTTTCTGAGGACGAAAGATTAGATAAGAGAAACGTGATGAATGTTTTAAAGAGAGTGACCGAACACGACTTATCTAAATGGTGTGTGTGTATGTGTGTGTGTGTGTGTTTTCCTGACTCAGAAACACTCGTTATCAACACCAGGAGATGATAAGTAAAGACCAGAAAGAGACTAAAGAGAGAGCAGGAGACCAGAGAGAGGCTTGGAAGTCCACTGTTGACATCAGTCTGCCCAGGGACTGCAGGTGGAAATTAGCACAAGTGCTACAACCTGGTACAATGCATCTCTCCTTTCTGAGGTTAATGTATATTGTACACTGTCCCTGTTCAAATAAATAAATAAATGAAATAAATGAAATGGAAGAGACTGGTGAGTTTGCATGTTCTCCCTGTGTCTGCTCTGGTTTCCTCTACCACTAAAACAAATGCAGTTTTATGACTGTAGCGAGTGATGCTCCAGTGGCTTTTGTTGTCACCGTGTGTGAAATGCCAAATAATAACAATATTTACTTATTAACCAAGCCCGTCCCCCTGCGATACCAAACCCCTCCCTCTGGCCCCTCTCTGGTCTCTCTCTGGTCTCGGTCTGGTCTCTCTCTGGCCCCTCACTGGTCTCTGTCTGCTCTCTCTCTGGCGCCTCCCTGGTCTCTGTCTGGTCTCATTGGCCCCTCGCTGGTCTCTAGTCTCTCTCTGGCCCCTCACTGGTATCAGTCTGGTCTCTCTCAGACCCCTCACTGATTTTTTTCTGGCCCCTCGCTGGTCTCTGTCTGGTCTCTCTGGCCCCTCGCTGGTCTCTTTCTGGCCCCTCGCTGGTCTCTCTCTGGCCCCTCGCTGGTCTCTGTCTGGTCTCTCTCTGGCCCCTCCCTGGTCTCTGTCTGGTCTCTCTGGCCCCTCGCTGGTCTCTAGTCTCTCTCTGGCCCCTCCCTGGTCTCTGTCTGGTCTCTCTGGCCCCTCGCTGGTCTCTAGTCTCTCTCTGGCCCCTCACTGGTATCAGTCTGGTCTCTCTCAGACCCCTCACTGATCTCTTTCTGGCCCCTCGCTGGTCTCTGTCTGGTCTCTCTCTGGTCTGGACTACATCACAGAGATATAAATGACTCATATAAAAACAGTAGTAACATTGTGGTCAGAACAAATGTGTTCAGCTCTTCAGATAATAATGTCTAGCAGTGACACAGATATGACAGGGGTCCACGGTCTCTAGTCTCTCTCTGGCCCCTCACTGGTATCAGTCTGGTCTCTCTCAGACCCCTCACTGATCTCTTTCTGGCCCCTCGCTGGTCTCTGTCTGGTCTCTCTGGCCCCTCGCTGGTCTTTTTCTGGCCCCTCGCTGGTCTCTCTCTGGCCCCCCGCTGGTCTCTCTGGCCCTTCCCTGGTCTCTCTTTGGTCTCTGTCTGGTCTGGACTACATCACAGAGATATAAATGACTCATATAGAAACAGTAGTATCATTGTAGTCAGAACTAATGTGTTCAGCTCTTCAGATAATAATGTCTAGCAGTGACACAGATATGACAGGGGTCCACAGTAACCTGCTGGTCTGATATGAAATCTCTCTCTGGTATCTCTCTATTTCAACCTGGACATAAACATGGCGAGGGACGTGGCCAATCTCACATTTTCAGGAGGACTGTTCCAGATTTGAGCTGCACAAATCTGAAACGCTGCCTCCCTGGTGCACAATGGAGTAGTCTTTCATAGGTTTTCCAATGCTCAATTCAATTAAATTCTTTATTTACAAAACTTATAGTCATACAAGTTATCCACGTTTATATTGTAGAGTTGGTTGGTGTTTTGTCAAAGGGAACTCCCAGGAAGCTGCATTAGCTTAAAGGCGGTGCCCCAAAACAAAACATGTAAAACAGATGTGTCAATTTCTACCATTATACAATCCTGAACCCATTTCTAAACATTTACCCATTTACAAGTCCTTACAGTTTCAGTCTGTACTCTCACTTGTTTTAGATTGGTCGCATTAGTAATTTAACTTTTAACACATTGATATCATTGCAGCAGACAATGGTATCATATACATGCGACATAATAAATCATATCATCCATGATACAGTAAACAACATTAATAATACATCTGAGATTGTTTTGACTCGTTTTGGGTCTCAGCCTCAGGCTCATGGTGTTGCATAATGTTGGAGCAAACTGTGTTTCAATCTTTGTTTAAATCTTCTCAATGATTTAGATTATCCAGCTCATTCCAGATGTTTGGACATTTACAGCTGATACTAAAACTTGTACATTTGAGTTTGCGGCATTTGCCCTTCAGCCAGTGTTTCCTAAGTGTCGTTTGTATCAGTATGGGTATATAAGTGATGAGCTCAGGTGAATGAGATTTTACTGAAAATGAGAAATACATTCTTGAATCTTGAATTTGCATGTTTAGTCTTGACGCTGTCCCAGCAGGAGGCCAGTCCCTGTGCTCCCCAGAGTCCCAGCAGGAGGCAGTCCCTGTGCTCCCTGGACAGTGTGAATGAAAAGGGAAAACAACTTTAACATTGTCCTAAGCTGTGAAGAGTTTACTTTAATAATACAAAAAAAAACTCTCTCAGACTGGGTGCCTGGGCACTGGGTGTCTGTACTGGGTGATTATAGGTACTGGGTGACTATAGGTGCAAGTGCTGGTGCTGGCTGACTGGGTTCTCAGTGACTGGGTGACTAGGCTCAGGTGCTGGGTGCTCCTGAAGTGGGAGGGATCAGGCGTTTGTCTCGGTCTCAGCTCCATCCATTCCCCCCGGATGCCCCACAGCTGTGGTGCGTGTGGAGCATTTCTATTCCAGACATGTCCGACTACGACCGGTCCACCGCGTTCCTCGGGGAATGGGAGAGCTTCCAGTGGCGCCAGCTCCTGCTCCTGTCCCTGGCCATCGTCCCCAACGGCTTCACCGGGCTGGCCGTGGTCTTCCTCGCAGACACCCCCTCCCACCGCTGCCTCATCCCCGCGGAGGCCAACCTGAGCGCGGCCTGGACCAACAGCTCTGGGGCGGGGGGCTGCTCTCGGTACAGACTGAGCGCCCTACAAGAGTTCACGCGGAGGGGTCTGGACCCGGAGGACGTCAACGTGTCCGCGGTGGAGACGGAACCGTGCCTGGACGGATGGGAGTATGACAGCAGCGTGTACGAGTCCACCATCATCACAGAGGTAAAAGGAGAGCCAGAGCAGTCAATTTGACGGCTTTTAGTTCTAGAAGTGTGAAAATCTTAACTTTGACTTTTTCTATATGTAGTTTATTTCCTGGATTGGTTCTCGTCCTGAACTTGTAGTTTATTATAAATGTAGTTTATTTATGTGTCATTCTTTGGAAATACTTTATTTTAATGAGAAGAGTCCTCCTACCTACAGTTAGCTCTGGACTTCTCTGGTCTTGGACTGGTCCTTGATTGATTGTGGTCCTGGACTTGTGTGGTCCTGGGCTGGTTCTGGTCTTGGACTTGTTCTGGTCTTGGACTTGTTCTGGTCTTGGACTGGTTCTGGTCTTGGACTTGTTCTGGTCTTGGACTGGTTCTGGTCCTGGACTTGTGTTGGTCCTGGACTTGTTTTGGTCTGGACTGGTTTTTGGTTCTGGTCCTGGAAACCCAAGTTACCTAATGTAACTAAGGTTCTATGAATATGTTGCGAAGCCCTTTAGGCTTCGCTATAGAGGGATCCTACGGTCACGTGACTAGCAGCCACGGCAGCCATACTGGAGGACAACCTCGGCGAGTAACAGCCCTGCTAGCTATCTATAACTGGACGTTCAAAACTAGAACTCTCTCGAACTACATGAAAACTGAACAGAGAATTTGAAACTTCAGCAGTTAGTGACCCAAATATATACTCAACCTAAATTCATGAATCAGATCCTCTGAAAATGCATCCTAAAATGTATTATTAATGTTTATCGTTACATCCAGGTTTACCGCGGTCGCATATTGTCGCATTAAAACAGTGTTTTTTCATGAAAACGTGAACAGAAAATTCTGAAAACCCCTGTGCACGTGTATTAAGAATGTATATGTATAATGTGTTCTCCGATTAACATTTAATGTGTTTATTGTTACACCATGGATCTATGTGTGGCTACACTGCAGTGGAAATAATGAGATTACATTCAAATCAATGGAGCTTTCTGCGTCTACTGTGAGGAGCCGTATATTTTATTAATAAATACTAGTACGGGGCACCCTCGAGCACGGCTCAGTCGTTCACATGTCTGCTGGCCTTCGGTAAGTCAGATACCCTGTGAACCGGGTGAGGTCCTGTGTGAGACCAAATATATAACAGCTATGCTACAAGCTAAGCTACAGTCTATGGAGCAACCCCACGTTGCAGTCAGACAGATACGTGTTATCCTTAAACTTCTATTTGTTTCGGAATAACACTAAATCCGCCATCAAATTGATTTCACTTAGCAGAAATGAAATGATCCGAGCATATTCGGGCGCTCTGGTGGCTATTAGTTTTTTGTTGTTGCGTATGGTTGTGCCATTTCTCTCTTGTTTCTTTGAGATGTCTTCTGTTTTTGAGCCGTGTGAAGTAAGGACGGTTGGCAGTCGGTAACACAACTTATTTTCCCTGTCTCTCCTTTTGCTGCAGCCAAAAACGGCAAACATTTTGAACATGTTTATGCGGTCCCGGGTGCACGCCACTATCATACAGCGTTTGCTTGTCCTCCAGTATGGCGGATGCCCCGCGAGTTCGAGGCATCGTGACGTCACGTGAGATATCTCTATTGCATATCTCTCGGAAGCACCGCTTCCCGCCCTAATCACCTTGACGTCCTGGTGTAAATCATTCCCCTATAAATAAGAGAGGGCAGGCCTGCTGGGCTCGAAGCTAAAGGGCTTTCGCAACATATTCATAGAATTTTAGTTACATTAGGTAACTGGGGTTTCTATTTCATATGTTGCTTCAGCCCTTTAGGCTTTGCTATTGCATAACATAGCGAAGCCCAGACCAATGTACTCCCAGCAGGCATGAACGCCGATGATTGGAGCAAACTCGTGACCCACGTGCTCATACCACAACCAACCAACCAAGACGGAGGTCCTACGAGCCATAGAGAAAGATGATTTAGAACCAACCTGGGCAGGCAGCCTCTCCCAAGAGCGCCTGATCCCCAGGAAAGTAAAACAGATAGCAGAAGGGTCTAGGCCTCTCCCAAGAGCGCCAAACCCCCAGTCAACCTATCCCTCACTGCAGAGGTGTCCAGGCCGCCTCTCCCAAGAGCGCCCACACCTCTCCACACAACCCTCCTCCTGCAGTCCGGTCCCCACCGAGGTCAGTCAAAGGAGGAACTAGGGCCGCTCTGCAGATCTCCTCAACCGAAGTGCCACGGAACAATGCCACTGAAGCGGCAACCCCGCGAGAGGAGTGAGCCCTCAACTGAGTCGGAGGCGGCAAGCCCTGAGCTTCATACGCCAAACGGATAGCGAGGCAAAGCCAGTGGGCCAAACGCTGTGGAGACAAAGCGACACCCTGACTCCTGGTGCGCGTCTGAGGTCAGACGCGCACAGTAGCATCTCACAGCCCTGACCGGGCAGAGACTGTACCGCAGCTCTTCCTCCGCCGAAGCATACGGAGGAGGGAAAAACGGTCTCACCCTGTCACCCTAGATCTGAAGGATGACATGAAGACCAACTCCAGACAACTCCATCATGCCCTCCCGATCGAGGAGGGACAATCAAGACGGCTGCAAGGAAAGGGCGCACAGATCCCCAGACCTCTTGGCCGAAGCCAACGGCAACAACAATGCCCCCCCCCCCCCGAGCCCCGGCGCAATGGGTATGTGGAAATACGCGTTCCCTGAGGACCGTGGCAAGCTGGTGCTCATGGCGCACAGAGAGCGTAGGAGGGGAGCGCGCAGCCACGCACTCCCTACCCAAGGGAGGCGAAGCCACGGGCAGTGCACAGCAATCCTGGAGTATGCCTCCAATGCACCACTTTGCGGCGCGCTGAGAGAGGCTCCAGACGCCTGGAGGAGCAGCGTTGGCCAAGCGCTGAGAGAGAGGAAAAAGGGGAAAGAAGTGTACTCTTTGTGGGAGTTACAGGCCTGATGACGGCCTTTATGAAAGCATTTCCCTCCCCTCCCTGTAGCTGCAAAGCCGGGGTGGCTGCCGCTCCTCCGCTGGTCACGCGCCTGCTGTCTCCCACGCACTGGACCCAGGTAGCCCCCGGGCTCTGAACAGTGCGAGGTGGCAGAGCGGTCCCTGTCGAGGGATGCAGCGAGGAGAGTAATGTTATTAGCTAAAGCAATGACCTATGATGCATAAGCATAACACCTGTCCAGCATGGAGACGGTCGGCTTGACCCGCTCGGGGGGGCTGCCAGCCCAGACCACGGAGGAAGCTGGTGTACCTCGATGGGAGGAAAGCCAGGCCTCCACACCCAGGCCTCAGCACCCGTGTATACTCCATATGCTAGCGCCGGGGGTTTGGCTGTCATGGGCCTATCCCCTCACGGCTGGCATTGTGCAGCAGAGGCTCCAAACTGGGAGCTACCACGTCATGTCTGCACTGCTGGGGGAAGGAGTGAGGGACTGAAGATAGTCCACGGAGGCGAGGCGGGCTGGACCTGCATCACCCTGACATCTCCGAAGAACCAGGCGAAGCAGCAGCAGGGATAGATGGTGGCACACCATGAGCGAGCCACCATGGGCACCACTCCAGGGATGGAGCGAGGAGAGTGATGTTATTAGCTAGAGCAACCATCTGTGGTGCATTAGCATTACTCCTGTCCAGCGTGGTTAGAGGGTAGCACACCATGAGCGATGCCACCGTGGGCACCACTTCAAGCGGCATTGAGTAATCCACTGCGTCTATCGTGCTCCTCGGGGAAGCCACACAACTGGGGCTTTCCCCCGTGGCATGACGCCAGCCCAGGCAGAAGACGCCGAACTTGTGGCGGTCAGCCTGGGAGAGTGCCGTCAGGCACAAGTCGCAGATCCGCAGCCTGATACCGGAGGGTGGCAAGTTCTCAGGCGCGGGGATCTTGCTTGAAGACATCCCAGTAACTCAATCGAAGCTTCTCTTAGGCAAGCTGAGAGAGAAAGGTGAAGAGCTGTGGTGCATGGCCCTATTTATAGGGGACTGACCGACACCAGGTCGTCAAGGTGATTGGAGCGGTGGATCGTTTGATCTTCTCAGGGCGGGAAGCGGTGCTTCCGAGAGATATGCAATAGCGAAGCCTAAAGGGCTGAAGTTGCTTCTATGAAATAGAACTGGTTCTGGACCTGGACTGGTTCTGGTATCACTTGTTTTTCCATCAGAGAGGAGCGAGTGCTGGCTACCATAGCAACACACTGTTTACTGTTTGCCTTAGTCGTTAACAAAATGCTTTGCTGTTCTCAGATTTGCATAGGTTTGAAGGGGAGCAGTCAAAATGACGGCCCTGGAAGTTCATATATGTGGAAGTCCAAGAGTTAAAGGACATCAGAATCAGAATAATTTTTATTGCCACGTAAGTAACAGGAAGTCACAGACTTGGAATTTGCTTTGGCTCAGTGCAACAGTCAGAAAGAGGTAATAAAAAAAAGAAAATAAAGAATTAAAGCCGCAAGCGGCGATAAAAGGCCTCGCCATTCTTGCGACCGCCTCCCGGGCTCCAGTCCCACAAGCGTCACGCGTTGTACTTGCCGACGAATTGGCAGCCCGATCGGACCAGGACTTATTTGAGATGATTGCACAACTTCAATCCATCCAGATTGAGAATTGACATGGTAGAAGTCTGTATGATGAAAATCCAACTGCCTGTAGGTGGCGCTGTTGCACTCACAGTTGTGTGTTGCATATCGTTGTGTTCAGGGTCATACTGAATTCATTTTTAGCCTCATCGGACAAACATTTTGCCCCAAAAAGCTCATTCATTCACTTTCCGGCACCCCCAGTGGTCAGGTGTAGGACTTACAACTTTTGCATAATGTAATGTGTTGCTCGTCTCGGTCCAGAGAATACACTCAGCGATTTTCGGGCCGATCCGAGCACTAGTGCCCTATTACTTTCCGACAGGTGGCGCTAAAGAGCTCATATTGGGCGAATGATTTTAGTGTCATTGAGTTCAGGCCAAAACCTAATATTACTGATGTGAGTCTCAGCTCTGTAGGTCTGAGCCTGTGGCCCTCAGGGCTCCGCGAAAAAGGCCTAAACGAAGGCCTTATTCGCCATGGCGAGGGACGAAGACGGTGAACTTTCAACTTTTTTTCAAGTTAAAAGTTCTAACTTTTTTTCAATGATTATATAACTTCAATCCATCCAGATTGGGAAATGCCATGGTAGAACTCTGTGTGATGAAAAACCAGGGACTAGTTCAAAGTTATAAATGAAAAGTCAAATTAGCGGCGAAACTTCAGCCCATCATGGCCGACTTCCTGTTGGTCCCAGAGTGAGGCCCAGAGAGAGTTTTATGCTCGTCTTATAGAGATCTATCACTGATCTGAATTCAGTGTACCTACTCCAAAATATGCATGCCTGGCTCCCATAGGCTTTGAAAATTTGACATGTCCAGGGGGTGCTATCGTGTTGCCGTTTGTCTGTCAATCTTGAAACGTTCGTTTTATCACATTTTTTGCCGAACCGGTCGTTTTAGACCTCCCATGTGCAGACTTTCGTGCATGTCTTCAGGGTCAAAAATTTAATTGTTTCGTCGGAAAAAAGTGAATTAAAGCCGCAAGCGGCGATGAAAGGCCTCGCCACTCTTAAGACCGCCTCCCGGGCGCCAGTCCCACAAGCGTCACGCGGCGTACTCGCCGACGAATTGGCCGCCCAATAGGATAAAGTGTGCCCCTAGTGGTCACATCTGGGAGATGCACCCTCTACGGTGCATGTCGCGTAGAATAGTATTTTGTTGGTACTAGTGTATGGATTTGATTGTGCAACTTTGGTGAGGTTCGGAAAAGTTTAGGTCAAAAGCCTTCCATAGATGCGCTGTAGAGTCATATTAGGTGTGTATTTTCACACCATTACGCTCAGGCTATTACCAACTGTTAGTGATGTGAGTTTCAGCTCTGTAGGTCTGAGACTGTGGTCAGGAGAGCATCAAACATGGAGAAATTCCCCACCACCTCGCATGAAAATGAGGACGAAATTCAAACTTTTTTGTAATGATTGCATAACTTCAATTCGTCCAGATGGAGAAATTACATGGTAGAAGTCTGTGCGGTGAAAATCCAGGGACTAGAACGAATCCAAAAACAAAACACTTTTTACTGCCTGTAGGTGGCGCTGTTGCACTCACAGTTGTGTGTTGCATATCGTTGTGTTCAGAGTCATACGCTGTATTTGTGAATTCATTTCTAGCCTCATCAAACAAATATTTCTCCCCAAAAAGCTCATTCACATATTTTGAAGGCGCCCCCAGTGGTCAGGTGTGGGACTTACAACTTTTGCGTAATGTAATTTTTTGCTCGTCTCAGTACAGAGATTACACTCAGTGATTTTCGGGCCGATCCGAGCACTAGTGCCCTATTACTTTCCGACAGGTGGCGCTAAAGAGCTCATATTGGTGGAATGATTTTAGTGTCATTGCGTTCAGGCCATAACCTAATATTACTGATGTGAGTCTCAGCTCTGTAAGTCTGAGCCTGTGGCCCTCCTTCCAGATTGGGAAATGACGTGGTAGAACTCTGTGTGATGAAAAACCAGGGACTAGTTCGAAGTTAAAAATGAAAAGTCAAATTGGTGTTGCGAAACTTCAGCCCATCATGGCCAACTTCCTGTTTGTCCCAGACATGTGCTTTTATGCTCGTCTCATAGAGATCTATCACTCATCTGAATTTTGTGTACCTACTCCAAAATATGCATTCCTGGCTCCAATAGAAATGGCAAATTTTGAATTTTCAAGGGGGCGCTATTGATTCGCCTTTTGTCGGACAATCTCGAAACGTCCGTTTTATCAAATGTTCCGCCAAACCGGTCGTTTGAGACCCCCCTTGTGCAGACTTTTGTGCATGTCTTCAGGGTCAAAAATCAAATTGTTTTGGCGGAAAAAGCGGAATAATCATATGAAACCGGCGAATAACAATAGGCCTCCCCAATACTACGTATTGGCTCGGCCTAATAATATGAAACCGGCGAATAACAATAGGCCTTCCCAATACTACGTATTGGCTCGGCCTAATAATATGAAACCAGCGAATAACAATAATAAAACATATTATGTACACCCATGTACCATGTGGGAGAGCACAACTTTATAACATCTGTTTGAACCAGTTTTTATGAATGAAACACCGGGACATTAACAACAATTAACAATTGTAAACCGCTTTGAGACTCAGATCTGCAGTGAAAAGGCGGTATATAAATAAAAACTTACTTACTTACTTACTTACTTACATGATGGAAGTCATTATCCAATCAGAGAGCAGCGTGAGGGTCATGTGGCAGCAGCTCTGTGTGTGTGTGTGTGTGTGTGTGAGTGTATGTCTGTGTGTGTATGTGTGGATTTGTGTGTGTGTGTTTGTATGTATGTATGTCTGTGTGTGTGTGTGTGTGTGTGTGTCTGTATGTGTGTGTGTAGACATATGTGTATGTTCTCGGGCTGCAGCTCAAGTTAGCAATCAGCAGATGTTCCTTCCTAGCGAGCATTCCGACACATCGCTGGTCAATCATCTACGCTACACATTCACTAAAGAAAATGTTTGAACAAAGTGAAACCATTAGAAGCGTCTCAGTGAGTGACCCCTGAGCCACTGTCAAACTGCGCAAGAACACAGGGAGTTAATCACAGTAAGAGGAACGTACTCATGTGTGGAAAGGTGGAAGGTTATAGAACTACACACAATTCACACGACAGACACTATCTCTCTGGCCTCTCTCTGGTCTGTCTCTCTTTTCTCGCTCTTTCTCTCTCTCTCTTTCTCTGGAGTCTCTCTGGTCTCTCTCTGGTCTCGGTCTGGTCTCTCTCTGGTCCCTCTCTTGTCTTTGCTCTCTCTCTCTCTCTCTCTCTCTCTTTCTCTCTCTCTCTCTCTCTCTCTCTGGTCTCTCTCTGGTCTCGGTCTGGTCTCGGTCTGGTCTCTCTCTGGTCTTGGTCTGGTCCCTCTCTGGTCTCTCTGGTCTCTCTCTGGTCTCTCTCTGGTCTCTCTCTGGTCTCTCTCTGTTCTCTCCCTGGTCTCTAAAGCTGTGTGTCTCTCTTGTGCAGTGGGACCTGGTCTGTGACGACAGCTGGAAAAACCCTCTGACCTCCTCCATCTTCTTCGGTGGAGTTCTGACCGGGTCCTTCATCTCAGGACAACTCTCTGATCGGTACAAACACACATCTTTAACTAAACATCTACATATTAGACCGAAATAACAATAAACATTAACTACTTCTGTCTGCTCCAGTGACGATATCTTACACCCAGAACTCAATATTATATAGTCGTCCCTCTGGTCTCTTTCTATTCTCTCTCTTTGGTCTCTCTCTGGTGTCTCTCTGTGCTCTCTTTCTTTCTTTCTGGTCTCTCTCGGCACGGTGGCTGAGTGGATAGCACTCTCGCCTCTCAGCAAGAAGGTCCTGGGTTCGAATCCCGGTCGGACCAGGGCCTTTCTGAGTGGAGTTTCCATGTTCTCCCCGTGTCTGCGTAGGTTTCCTCCGTGTACTCCGGTTTCCCCTACCACTAAAAATATGTACAAAAGATCTGGCATGCGCCTCATGTTCGGCGACCCCGCTCCCATCTCTGTCTGGAGTGAGAGGACAAATGCCCAAAAAAAAAAAACAATTGTAAACCGCTTTGTGACCCTTGTCTGTGAAAGCCGGTATATAAATAAACATTACTTAGTTACTCTCTCTCTCTGGTTTCTCTCTAACTTCTTTCTGGAGAAACAGACCACAGAGAGACCCTCTGTGGTCTCTCTTTCTCTCTGGTGCATCTGGTCTCTCTCCTTCTGGTCTCTTTCTCTGGTCCTTCTCTCTGTGGTCCATCTCTGTTCTCTCCCAGATCTCTTTCTGGTCTCTCTGTGGTCTCTCTCTTTTTCTCTGGTCCATTTGGTTGCTCTATATCTGATCTTTCTCTCTGGTCTCTCTCTCTGGTCGCTCATAGGGGTGGGAACCTAAGGGTACCTCACGATACGATACGATACACGATACAAAGCTCACGATAACGATAATATCATGATAACGATATCACAATAACAATTTTATCACGATATGACGATTATTGATATATTGGTCAGAAATATACAATATGCCAATTTATGGCATAAATAAAAGAAAAAATACTCCTTATTTCATGATAAATAGAATGGAGATACGTAATGTAGCCATATATTAAAGTGATAGTCTGTAACGCTAAATTAATTTAAAAATTTAGGAAATGTGCTAAATTGACCTCCTGGCCTTAAATGTTGATATAAAATAAGTCATTTTTATTAATTCTAATATTACGGGCAAGTCCCGCCTTCCCTGCTCTTAGCTATAGTTCAGAATCCACGGTGCCGTCGAGGTTAACCAATCGAGTCATGCCAAAGGCTGTCAATCATCGGCGCTGATGCTCGCAGCTGCGCGCATGCGCAGTTGTTTGTTTTCGCGGAGCCTCCGAATCAAGCCTCTATTAGGCTCTGGAACAACATGAAAACTGAACAAAGAATTCTGAACATCCGCGCTGAGGTACTTATGTATATTCTGAACCTATATCTATAATCAGATCCTCTGCAGATGTGTCCTATAATGTGTAATTCATGATAATAGCACTTCCTGGTTTGCTGCGATCGCTTTTTTTGTGCATAAAAACATTATTTTTTTCATTAAAACGTTCACAAATAATTCTGAAAACCTCCGTGCATGTGTATTAATAATGTATATGTATAATGTGTTCTCTGATTAACATTTCAAAGTGTTACGGAAACATAGGTGTAGACCAATCAGAAAAAAAGGGGGAGGGAGCTTGCGTCGTTTTTTTAAAATCAAGTACCTCTCTGTCTCTCTTTCTGACAAACTCCAGACAATCACTTTAAGTATTGATACCAATAAAAAAAAAAAAAAAATAAGTAAAAAAAAAAAAAATTATTATTATTATTTTATTTTTTTAAATCGATATCGATACTTGGCAAATGCATATCGATAATCGAATTGCGGGAGAAAGTAACGCAATATATCGAAAAATCGATATATCGTCACACCCCTAGTCTCTCACTCAGGTCTCTCTCTCAGGTCTCTCTCTCTCTGGTGTCTCTCTGGTCTCTCTCTCTGGTTTATCTCTGATCTCTCTCTGGTCTCTCTGGTCTTTCTGGTCTTTCTCCCTGGTCTCCCCCTGGTCTCTCTCTGGTCTCTCTCTGATCCTAGGTACTCGCCCTGTGACTTGTACCGACACATTCCTCTCCCTGTGGTGTGAACTCGACGCAGGTCTAAACAACACGCCCACTTGTGTTGTGTTGCAGGTTTGGGAGGAAGCGGATGCTGTTCATCTCCATGGCGATCACAAACATCTTCTACTTCCTCCAGATCTTCTCTCCGTCATGGCTCGTCTTCTGCTCTCTGTACTTCGTGGTCGGAATGGGTCAGATCTCCTGCTACGTCACTGCGTTTGTGCTCGGTACGTTCTGGTCTGTCTCTGGTCTCTCTCTGGCCGCAGCTCTCTGGTCTTTCTTTCTGGTCTCTCTATGTTCTTTCTCTGGTCTCTTGCTCTGCACCTTTCCAGTGTCTCTCTGGTATATATAGGCCTGTGGCGATATTCAATAAATCAATTAATCGCATGATAATTAAAATTAGCTCAATAGTTTTCCTGGCTGCGATGAATTCCATTTGCATGCTTGTTTGTTTTCCCGTCTCCCTCTCGGGTCAGAGAGCCGCAAAGTGGTCACGGGTGACGCGAGCAGACTGAAATACCTCAAAAATACAGAATACAGCCAAAATGGAACCTAAACAGCACTAAACCAGGACTTAACCAGGATTGACATCGGGGGACAAAGCAGTTCTCATTCAGGCTCTAGTAGTGACTAAACTAGCTCAGTTAGCTAACTAGCAGTTAGCCAACTAGCTAGCTAGCGTGTTTGCCGATGCGAAAGTACCGATTAATAATAAAATAAATTTATGACGCACCTCCCTGAACACATACTGCTGTTATATAAAGTATCTGGAAGATCTCTGGACAAAGAGACACTGCAGAGCTGCATTATTGGCAAGAACTTTACACAAAAAGCCGCTAGTATGATGCAAACAGAGTTAGCATCAAGCTAGCGGCTTTTTACTTCCGCCACTTCCGGCGGTGGTCTTTAAAAATAAAAGTGTATTTCTCTTTGAAAAGGTGTCAGAACGACAATACTATCGCCTATCGCAATAATTTCTGAGACAATTAATTGTCCAGCAATCGTGACAGGCCTAGGTATATATCTCTCTGGCCTCCAGCTGGGGTCTCTCCCTGGTCTCTCTCTGGTCTGTCTGGTCTCTTTCTGGTCTGTCTGGTCTCTTTCTGGTCTGTCTGGTCTCTCTCTGGTCTTTCTCTCTGGTCTCTTGCGCTTGTCTCTCTCCGATGTCTCTCTGGTCTCACTCTCTCTGGTCTCTCTGGTCCCTCTTCCTGGTACCTCTCTGGTCTCTTTCTGATCTCACTCTCTGTGGTCTCTCTCTCTGGTCCCTCTTTCTGGTCTCTCTCTGATACGTCACCGGTGTCTCTCGCTGGTCTCTCTCTGGTCTTTCTCTGGTCTCTCTCTGATACGTCACTGGTGTCTCTCTCTGGTCTCCATATTTCTCCCTGGTCTCTCTCTGAGCTCACTCACTCTACTCTCTCTCTCTGGTCTCTCTTTGGTCTTTCACTGGTCTCTCTCTGAGCACTGGTCCCTGTCTGGTCTCTCTCTGTTCTTTCACTCTCTGGTCCTTCCAAAACTTGTCTACAAGTGGTGGCAATAGTGACAAAAGTTCAAAAGCACAACTTGTCCAGAGAGAGACCAGAGAGAGTGACCAGAAAGAGACCAGAGAGAGAGACCATGGCTCTGACCCCTGTGTGCAGGTATGGAGGTGCTGACTCCTGGTGTCCGCACAGCCTTCTCCACGGTGGGCGTTTGCTTGTTCTTCGCCGCTGGTTACATGCTGCTGCCGCTGGTGGCCTTCCTGCTGCGGAGCTGGAGGTCTCTGCTGCTCGGCCTCACCCTCCCCTCCCTCACCCTCGTCCCCCTCTGGTGGTGGGTAGGTCAGATTCAGATTCAGATTCAGTTTTATTTGCCATTTACAGTAAAAAAAACCACATCAGTCTCCAGTGTGCACAGACAAATACAGACATAAAACAACATTAAAAGACAGAAATAAAACAAATAAAACAGTAAACAAATGTCACTGTGAAATCGATCGACTAAAACAGTTTCAAAACAAGTGCAAATCATTAAAGTGCTCTGTTCACACTGATAACAGCTTGTGGATAAAAACTGTTAGCGTAAAGAGATGTCCTGCATCTCAGAGAGCGATATCTTCTGCCAGAGGGAAGAAGCTGGAATATGGCTTTCCCAGGGTGGCCAGAAGAGTCATTGACAATCCTAAGAGCTTTGTTTAAAAGTCTGGAACTTATAAAGAACCTCCAGAACAGGAAGCTCACAGCCCACGGTCCTCTTTGCAGAGCGGAGCACCTTGTTCAACGCTCTCTTTTCTTTATCTGTGATGTTTCCAAACCACACAGACAAAGAACCAACAAGTAAACTCTCAATGGTGCAGCGATAAAAGTTGAGCAGAATCTTAGAGTTAGTGGTAAATTCTCTAAGTTTACGCAGAAAGTAGAGACGCTGACGAGCTTTCTTAACGACTCAGTCAGGGTTTTTAACCCATTTTAGGTCATTAGACAAAGTTAAACCCAGAAACTTGCACTCCTCTACGATCAGTCATTGATTTTCACTCTCTGAGATCTGTCAGTTAAAAAGCTAAAAATCCATTTACACATGGCAACACTTAAACCGAGAGACATGAGCTTTTCAATCAGTTTACCTGGGACAAGGCAGTAAAAAGCAGAGCTATAATCGATGAAAAGCATTCTGGCCACAGATTTACTAGTGTCCAAGTGACTGTAGACAGAGTTCAGAGCAAAGGAGATGGCATCCTCCACACTCCTGTTCTGTCTGTAAGCAAACTGGAGCGGGTCAACACTCACAGGGATCTGGCTCTTAAAGCTGCACTAACTGACTTTGGGATTTTGAAGCCTTAGGAACTGGAATGATGCTCGACTCTTTAAAGCAGTTCGGCACAGTACAGTTCCTTAGCGACAGGTTGAAAATGTCTGTTAGCACAGGGGCAAGTTGCTCAGAGCACAGTTTCAGGGCACGAGGAGGGATGCTGTCCGGGCCTGGGGCTTTCCGGACTATGGTCCTGGACAAGACACGCCTGACTTCCTCCTGAGTCACGGTGAAGGCAACTTGATTGAAACACTCAGGGAATACAGTAGGACAGGCATCAGCGGATTCAAAGGCAAGGCAAGGCAAGGCAAGTTTATTTGTATAGCACAATTCATACACAAGGCAACTCAAAGTGCTGAACAAAACAAGAAAGCATTAAAATCATAAATAATCACAGTACATTAAAAAAAATGTTTTTAAAAGATAAAAATATTAAATCCCTCAGTTGTATGCACAGCTAAACAGAACCGTCTTTAACCTGGTTTTAAACATTGTCAGAGAGGAGGCCTGTCTCACATCTTCAGGAAGACTGTTCCAGATTTTAGCAGCATGAATCTGAAAATCAGCCTCCCCATGTTTAGTTCTGACTCTAGACACTAACAGGAGTCCAGTCCCTGTGCTCCTCAGAGTCCGGGCTGGTTCATATGGGACTAACATGTCACTAATATATTTTGGTGCGAGGCCATGGAGAGAGTTGTACACAAGCAGAGCTGTTTTAAAGTCTATTCTCTGAGCCACAGGAAGCCAGTGCAGGGACCTGAGGACTGGACTAATGTGGTCGTACTTCCTGGTTCTTGTCAGGACTCGAGCTGCTGCATTTTGAACGTACTGCAGCTGTTTTACAGCCTGTTTGGACAGACCTGTGAGCAGCCATTGCAGTAGTCTAACCTACTGGAGACAAATGCATGGATAAGAATCTCCAAGTCTGCTTTAGACACTATGTTTTTGATCCTGGCAATGTTTTTTAGATGGTAAAAATCTGCTGATGTTACTGATTTGATGTGGCTATTGAAATTTAAGTCTGAGTCCAGTATTACCCCTAGATTTCTGACCTTGTTTGAAGGTTTTAGGGAGAGAGACTGGAAGTGACAGATGACGCTCTCTCTTTGTTTCTGCAACAGTAGAACGTGTTCAGCTCGTTTGGCAGAGCTTGGCCAACAGATGCAATTTTCCCAGCACTAGGTTTCCACGATGTGATGGCTTTAATACCGTTCCACATGCGCCGAGGGTCATCTTCCTCAAAATAACTCTTTAACCTGTCCCCGTAACTGCGCTTTGCAGATTTAATAGAACGTTTCAATGAGTAACAGGATAGCTTATAAGCAACTGTATCATTTGATTGAAACGCCAATGCACGCTCATGAAGTTTCAGTTTCACTTCCGCGTTCATCCAAGGGTTTTGACTGAAATGTTCTTTAATGACCTTCTGTGGGACACAGCAGTCAATACAGAAGCGTATGTATCCAGACACAGCGTCACAGAATTCATTCACGTCCTCTGACTGAAACACAGACCAGTCCGTAGCATCAAAACAACCTTGTAGCTTCATGCTAGCCTCCTCAGACCAACACTGCACAGTGCGAGAGGTTGGTTTATGTTCCCTGCTCCTCTGAATATACGAAGGAAGAAGGAGAACAGAGGAGTGGTCAGACTTTCCAAAAGGAGGTCTGAGACTGGACCTGTAAGCTCCCTTCACGTTACTGTAGCAGTGATCCAGAACATGTGCTCCTCTTGTAGCTCGAGTCACATGTTGGTAAAAGTTCGGGAGTACAGTCTTTAAATTACATTTATTGAAATCCCCAGCAACAATGATGACTGCGTTAGGATGAGCAGACTCGTGTTTGTGAAGGATCTCGCTCAGATCCTGTAGGTCTACTTTGTAATCCGCACGTGGGTGAATGTAAACAGCACATAAAAATATCACTAAAAACTCACGGGGAAGATAAAAAGGGCGGCAGCTCAAGACCAGGCATTCCAGATTGGCAGTACATGTTTGGTTCACGATTCGAGTGTCCGTGCATCAGCGCTGATTAATTAAAAAGCACACACCTCCGCCTCTGGCCTTGCCCGTGGTCTTCTTCACTCTGTCCGCGCGGTGAGCGGTGAATCCCAGGGGCTGAACAGCAGAGTCCGGGACGTTCGAGTGGAGCCACGTCTCGCTGAGGCAGAACACAGTGCAGTCCCGGGCCTCGCGCTGGCTCTGGACCCGACACAGGAGCTCGTCCGTCTTGTTGGGCAGAAACTGGACGTTGGCCAGGTAGATGGAGGGCAGAGCGGTCCTGGAGGAGCGGCTTCGAATGAGCAGACCGCCTCGCCTTCCCCGGTGTCTGCACCTCCTTCGCCGACTCGAGGTGCCCAGCTCCACACCGCGGAGAGAACGCCGGAGACGCCCGTTCCCCTCGCTCTGTTGGCGGCAAAGAGAGACACTAGAGAGAGAGAGAAACTAGAAAGGTAGAGACCAGAGCACAGAGAGACCAGCGAGAGAAACCAGACAGAGAGACCAGAGCTAAGAGAGAGACCCGAGAGAGACATTAGAGAGAGATAGAGAGAGAGAGAGCAGGGCTCAGAGAGAGACCAGAGAGAGACACTAGAAAGAGCGAGAGAGAGAGAGAGAAGAGACCATCGCTCAGCGAGAAACTAGAGAGAGAGAGGAAGTCCAGAGCTCAGACCAGAGAGATAGACCACAAAGAGTCCAGAGCTCAGAGAGACCACAGAGAGACCAGTAATGATTCCGTTCTCTGCTCCAGTCCAAACTAAACCTCACAAGTCTTTGTCTCAGGCTGATCCCAGAGTCTCCGCGATGGTTACTGTCTCAGGGACGAGTGGAGGAAGCTGAAGTCATCGTCAAAAACGCAGCAAAAATGAACGAAATGGAGGCTCCAGAAATCATCTTTAAGTCTCTGCAGGTGAGGGTTCTTCAAACACTGATTATACAGAAAACCATGGACATGTTTGATCTGGAACTATCTTCTTCAACTGGTTTTGGTCTCTCTCTGGTCTCTCTCTGGTCTCTCTCTAGTCTCTTTATAGTCTCTATCTGGTCTTTCCCTCTCTCTGGTCTCCCTCTAGTTTTCTCTAGTCTCTCTCTGGTCTCTCTCTAGTCTCTCTTTCTCTGGTCTCCCTCTAGTTCTCTAGTCTCTGGTCTCTCTCTAGTCTCTCTCTCTCTGGTCTCTCTCGCTCTCTGACCTCTGTCTCTCTCTTGTCCCTCTTTCTGGTCTCTCTCTGGTCTCTCTCTCTGGTTTCTCTCTGGTCCCTCTCTCTGGTCTCTCTCTGATCTCTCTCTGGTTTCTCTCTGGTCCCTCTCTCTGGTCTCTCTCTGATCTCTCTCTCTGGTCTCTCTCTCTGGTCTTTCTCTTGTCCCTCTTTCTGGTCTCTCTCCCTGGTCTGTCTCTGGTCTCTCTCTGGTCTCACTCTTTCTGGTCTCTCTCTCTGGGTTCTCTCTGGTTTCTCACTCTCTCTCTGGTCTCTCTCTCTGGTCTCCCTCTCTGGTTTCTCTTTGGTCTTCCTCTCTCTGGTCTCCCTCTAGTTTTCTCTAGTCTCTCTCTGGTCTCTCTCTAGTCTCTCTCTCTCTGGTCTCCCTCTAGTTCTCTAGTCTCTGGTCTCTCTCTAGTCTCTCTCTCTCTGGTCTCTCTCGCTCTCTGACCTCTGTCTCTCTCTCTCCAGTCTCTCTCCCTCTCTGACCTCTCTCTCTCTGGTCTCTCTCTCTGGTCTCTCTCTCTCTCTCTCTGGTCTTTCTCTTGTCCCTCTTTCTGGTCTCTCTCTGGTCTTTCTCTCTGGTTTCTCTCTGGTCCTTCTCTCTGGTCTCTCTCTGATCTCTCTCTCTGGTCTCTCTCCCTGGTCTGTCTCTGGTCTCTCTCTGGTCTCACTCTGGTCTCTCTCTTTCTGGTCTCTCTCTCTGGGTTCTCTCTGATCTATCTCTCTCTCTAGCTGCGTTTCCATTGAATAATGCGCAAAAACTTTTTCGATACATTTCAAAATTCGAAAAACCTGTAATTCGCAAAAGCGGCCGTTTCCATTAAGACATATTCGAATAAGTATACACTATTTTCGTGCGTTTATTCACTAGTTTCTAGTACGTCAACATGGCAACAGAAGTAAACAACACTTTGATTTACGTGAGATATATTAATGTCTTGACTTCTGCTGCGGCTCTCATCCTCTCTGACCCCGGGAGAAACTGTGGCTGCTTTGACAGCTCCGCGAACGCGCGTGGTCATGTACCGAGCGCGGACGCGCGCACAGAACCATAGACACGGGTCTTGCCTGTCTCCCCGTCTCTCCCCCATGCCTCTCCCCCGTCTCTTCCCCGTCTCTTCCCCGTCTCTCCCCCGTCTCTCCCCCGTCTCTCCCCCATGCCTCTCCCCCGTCTCTCCCCCATGCCTCTCCCCCGTCTCTCCCCCATGCCTCTCCCACGTATCTTAAATTTTAAGCGCATTAACTTTTTATCAAAAAACTGTGGTTTATTCGAAATTTGCGCGTTTCCATTAGACATTTTATGATGCGCAAATTCAAATTTCGAAATTTGATGCTCAATGGAAACGCAGCTTCTCTCTCTCTCTGGTCTCTCTCTCTGGTCTCCCTCTCTGGTTTCTCTTTGGTCTCTCTCTCTGTCTCCTTCAAACACAGAGACCATAAACATGTATATTCTGGATTATTCCTTAGCTACATGTTTGGAGAGAACACCCTGTATCTGCCAGATGTGTTTGTGCCAAATAGAAGAAACATACAGTATACAGGGGCCATAAACACTCAGCGGCCACTTTATCAGGTACACCTTGGTGCCAGGTTGGACCCCTGTTGTCTTCAAAACTGTCTTAATCCTTCGTGGCATAGATTCAACAAGGTCCTGGACACATTCCTCAGAGTTTGGTCCATATTTGATGCAGTTTGTGCAGATTTGTTGCTGCACATCCATGATGCTCCTGTTCATCGCAATGTGTCTCTATTGGGATCTGTGACTGTGGAGGCCGTTACAGAACAGTCAACGTCATGTTCAAGAAACTAGTCTGTGATGATTTGAGCTTAATGACAAGTGTTTTATCTGCTGGAAGTAGCCATCAGGAGATGGTCCACTGTGGTCATAAAGGACATGGTCAGCACAGCAGCAATACTCAGGCTGTGAGACTATCGCACGAACGAACTGTTCAATAACGATGCACGGACTTGGCAGGAAAGTGAAATGGGAGGAGCACGAGCGAAAAATCAACGCCCACAGGAGATGGATTTTGCTCATCCTTTCCTTGGAACGTTTGTGCGACAACCAATCAGAGAGCAGCAAAGTGGTCACGGGGACATTAGCGGACTGAGCGAGCAGACTGAAAATACTCGTAAACATCCAAAACAGGAGCCACACCAGACTTCACCAGAACTCAACCCAGGGTTGACAATGGGGGACTCTGTGCTTGTGAAAATATGTGTTGTCATGCTCCCGTAACCTTATGCAACGGCTTCGAGTGTGTTCGCCGATGTGGAAATTCTGTTTAATAATATAAAAACGTATGGCGCACCTCCGTGAACACATACTACTGTTATATAAAGCCCGTGGAATGTCTGTGAGCAAAGACACGCTGCAAAGCTGCATATTGGAGAAGATCTGTACACAAGAAGCCGCTAGCATAGCTCTGTTAGCATTAGAGCCGGCCGGCTACTTCCGGTACTTCCGGCTCGCATCAGGACGTTCTGGTGTGAAGTCCTCTGTGTCTGAAAACTAGAGAATGCGCGTCTGGTGAGCGGGGCTTCCGCGTTTCAGCGTTGGCGGTCTGAAAGCACCATTAGTTTCCTGTTTTTAGCTGACAGGACTGGCTCCCAGTGTGGTCTTTTGCTGCTGTAGCCGCCTAAAGGTCTGACATGTTCTGTGTTCAGAGAGGATCCTGCAGACCGTGGTTGTAACAAGTGGTTATTTGAGTTAGTGTTGCCTCTATAAGCTCAGTCTGATCTTTCACCTCTGACCTCTGGCATTGACAAGGCATTTTCGCCACAAACTCCTGCTTAGGGCTGGGCGATATAAACGGTATAAGCGGTATGCGATATAAATTTGGCCCACGGTAGAGATTTTTGTTATACCGGCATATTGCGATAGGTCATTATGTCATCAAATTGCGCAGGCTCTGACGCCAGCAGAAAGGACCAAAACAAACCGGCATTCAGCAGCATTAGCCTAGCACTATTAGCCTAGCAGCATTAGCCTAGCAGACACCACTGGAAACAACGAACAACAGAACGGAATTAACACAGTGTTTCTGTCTCTGTATTGTTGTCACAGCGGCCCCAGCAGAGGTAAATACACACACAGTAATCACAGTTTAAGCTTCTACCTTTTGGCCAATCAGTGTCAAGGGGGCGTAGGCTCGAAGCGCCAGTGTGAGCCAAAATAGATCCATGCGTGTTCCGTGTCCGCAGCATCACAGCAGAAGTTTGGGAAAGTTAGCGTCAGATTCGGACCTCCGCGGTCAATATCTCACGAAAGCTACTTTGTTAAACAAAATTAATTGTGCCAAAATGATCATTTACATGAATTGTTCAAATCCAATGCGCTGTTTTAATGAACATTAATCCATTGAATCATCCAGTTCACTGCAAGCGCAGAGAAAAGCGCTTAGGGAGCGTCAACAAATGGCCAGACCAACTCTCAGACACTATAAATAATGACCATGTCTAACTCCTACAGACTTTGAGTTAAACATTTGTGAGTTTTTTATATTTTAAATGAATGCATATGTTTTTCTTTTTAAAAATTGCTTTTACAGTGAATGGTATTTACTGTAACATACATAAATAATGTATGTTACAACATTTGTCTCTTTATTCGTCTCACAACTGATTTTCTAACTCAAAAAATATATATATTAGATTCTAATATATAAATAAGTAACAATCTTGACTATTTTATGCAAGAACCTGCTAGACCTATATTGAAATTCACACACCAAATTATACCGCAATATATACCGTCTACCGTCTGTGTCCCAAATTATACCGCAATATGAATTTTAGGCCATATCGCCCACCCCTACTCCTGCTCACTGGATATTTTCTCTTTTTCTGACCATCCTTTGTAAACCCTAGAGATGGTTGTGTGTGAAAATCTCTATAGATCGAAAGTTTCTGAAATACTCAAAGCAGCCCGTCTGGCTCCACCAACCATGCCACGTTCAAAATCACTTAACCTTTCTTCCCTATTCTGATGGTTTGAACTGCAGCAGATCGTCTTCTCTACATAAATGATCGCTCTCTCTCTGATCTCTCTCTCTCTGGTCTCTCTCTGGTCTCTCTCTGGTCTCTCCCTGGTCTCTCTCTGGTCTCTCTCTGGTCTCCCTCCGGTCTCTCTCTGATTGTGTTTTTGCACATGTTTGCCCTGAAGGTCTTGTCGCCGTCAGAAAAGAAGAAAAGGTCGTTCAACATCTGCGACCTGCTGCGCTGGGGCGCCCTCCGCTGGCTGTCGCTCACGCTGTGGCTGATCTGGTCTGACACACACACACACGTGCGCGCTACTTTTATATAACAAAAGAGGCAGAGAGCTACTACTCTGCAGTTTTAATAAAATAAGAATATGTGATAATTACGACAAGAGAGAACACATGTAAAACATACCATATTAAGAAGAAGAAGAAGACAAAGACGGTCCTTTATTCGTCCCACAATGGGGAAATTTCAGTTTGATGCATACACATTCACATACACATATACTGTACACATACACATCAAGGCAAGCAGCGAACATCACTTCCGCGCTCCTTATAGGCAAAGTGGGATTAAGTGTCTTGCCCAAGGACACAATGACAGTAGACATCAGTGGGAGTCGGTGGAGAAGGTCTCGTGGTGGGCTCGAACCCACGACCTTTGGGCTCAAAGGCCAATGATCTACCAACTGAGGGATTACGACATAACCCTATATTTATACATAATACATAAGTAATCATTCAATATGTATAAATGAGAGATCATATGTTAAATTCTAAATCCTTTGAAGATAGGGGCTGGCGAGCTACTAATGGCTCCCGAGCTATAGTTTGGAGGCTGTGGACCCAAGTCCCCAGAACACTCTGATCCTATCTCTTCTGGTTTGTGATGAAACGATAAATTGGTGAATGACAGAACTTTGGCTTCAGTTGAAAAGAGAAATTGGGCAAAAGTTGAAGATGTTGTTGAGTCTGCAGCATGAGGTCTCTCTCTGCTCAGAGCTGTCAGACGTGGTGAGACTCAAACCCGGGCCCCACCATCTGCAGCAGCATAATGAGGGCCCTGGACCCTCCTGCTGATGTCACTGGGACAGGGAGGGGACCCGAGGGACCAAAGAGACCAGAGGGACTAGATGAGACGAAGGGACCAGGGGGGAAAGAGGGACCAGAGGGGACAGAGAGACCAGAGGGACCAGTGGGGACAGGGGAACCGTCCTGCTGCTGTCCAGAGACCAGAGGGGACAAGTCATGGAAAGAAGTCGTCCTCAAACTACACCCAAGTCTCTCTCTGGCCTCCCTGGTCTCTGGTCTCTCTCTAGCCTCTCCCTGGTCTCTTTCTGGTTTCTGGTCTCTCTCTGGCCTCTGTCTCTCTCTGGTCCCTCCCTAGTCTCTCTCTGATTGCTCTGTGGTCTCTCTCTGGTCTCTCGCTAGCCTCTGTCTGGTCTCTTTCTGGTCTCTGGCCTCTATTTGGCCTCTCTCTGGTCCCTCTCTGGTCTCTCTCTGGTCTTTGGTCTCTCTCTGGCCTCTCTCTGGTCTCTCTCTAGCCTCTCTCTGGTTTATCTCTGGTCTCTGGCCTTTCTCTGGTCTCTCTTTGGTCTTACTCTCTGGTCTCTCTCTGATCTCTCTCTCTCTGGTCTCTCCCTGGTCTTTCTCTTGTCTCTGGTCTCTCTCATGTGTTTTGCTGTTCTGTGATCGGCAGGAATAGTGTCACCATCGCGTACTTCGCTCTCTCTCTGAACACCTCTAATCTCCATGGCGACGCGTACCTTAACTGCTTTCTGTCGGCGCTGGTGGAGGTACCAGCGTACGTCCTGTCCTGGTTCCTGTTCCGCTGGTGCCCCCGCAGACTCAGTCTCTGTGCCACTCTGCTGACAGGGGGAGGGGTCCTGCTACTCATCCCCCTCATCCCCTCCAGTAGGAAACACATTCAATTACATGTATTCTTTTATCGACCAAAATCACAACAGTTTTATCTCAAAGGACTTTACAAACATTCACCAACACAGATCAAAGAATCAAAAATTTCAAATAAAAGAAATGAGATTGTAGCAGTTGGAATAAATGTGTAAACAGATCTTTTGTAAAAAATTGCAGAAATAATTGATTAAAGTTTGGCTACATATTTTTAATAACACAGAGTTCAAGAGAATAGAGTCTTTGGGCTGAGAGCTGATTGGCTGAGTGTGGGTGGTCCTCACTTTTTCAGACCAGAAATACGTGAGAGAGAGAGACCAGAGAGACACTGGAGAGACACAAGTGAAAGAACAGAGAGGGACCAGAAAGAGATCAGAGAGGGACCAGAGAGAGTCCAGAGAGCGACTAGAGAGAGCCCAGAGAGAGACTCGAGAGAGTCCAGACAGAGTCCAGAGAGAGTCCAAAGAGAGACCAGAGAGAGACCAGAAAGACAGACCATAGAGAGACCAGAGCGACTAGAGAGAGCCCAGTCAAGTCAAAAGAGAGACCAGAGGGAGTCCAAAGAGAGACAAGAGAGACACCAGAGAGAGACCAGAGAGAGACCAGAGAGAGACCAGAGAGAGAACAGAGAGAGACTAGAGAGAGACCAGAGAGAGACAAGAGAGAGAGAACAGAGAGAGACAAGAGATAGAGAACAGAGAGAGACTAGAGAGAGACCAGTGAGAGACAAGAGAGAGACTAGAGAGAGACCAGTGAGAGAACAGAGAGAAACCAGAAAGAGACCAAAGGAAGTCCAGAGAGAGGATTGATGGTGTTGTGGCTGTGCTCTTCAGACCTCTCACCTTGTTGTGTTGCTCAGACCTCGCAATGGTCACCGTTGCCCTGGAGATGCTCGGGAAGTTCGGCGCCACCGTGGCCTTCGCCATTATCTATGCCTACACCGCGGAGCTGTACCCCACAGTCCTGAGGACCACGGCCCTGGCCTCCTGCTCCATGGCGGCGAGGGTCGGCTCCATCGTGGCTCCCTACTTCATATATTTAAGTAAGACTCTCTCTGGTCTCTCTCTCTGGTCTCTCTCCCTGGTCTCTCTCTCTGGTCTCTCTCTCTGGTCTCTCTCTGGTCTCTCTCTCTGGTCTCTCTCTCTGGTCTCTCTCTCGGGTCTCTCTTTGGTCCTCTCTCTGGTCTCTCTTTGGTCCTCTCTCTGGTCTCTCTCTCTGGTCTCTCTCCCCGGTCGCTCTGGTCTCTCTCGCCAGTCTCTCTCTGGTCTCTCTCTCATGTCTCCCTCTGGTCTCTCTCAGGTCTCTTTCTGGTCTCTCTGTGGTCTCTCTCTGGTCTCTCTCTGGTGTGGCTCTCTGGTCTCTCTCAGATCTCTCTCTCTCTGGTCTCTCTCTAGTCTCTCTCTGGTCTCTCTGGTCTATCTCGCTGTTCTCTCTTTCTGGTCTCTCTCTTTGGTCTCTCTCTGGTCTCTCTCTCTGGTCTCTCTCTCTGGTCCTCTCTCTGGGATCTCTCTCTGATCTCTCTCTGGTCTCTCTCTCTGGTCTCTCTCTGGTCTATCTCGCTGTTCTCTCTTTCTGATCTCTCTCTTTGGTCTCTCTCTGGTCTCTCTCTCTGGTCTCTCTCTCTGGTCCTCTCTCTGGGCTCTCTCTCTGGTCTCTCTCAGGTCTCTCTCTGGTCTCTTGCCAGTCTCTCTCTGGTCTCTCTCTCATGTCTCCCTCTGGTCTCTCTCAGGTCTCTTTATGGTCTTGCTCTGGTCTTTCTATGGTCTCTCTCTGGTCTCTCTCTGGTCTCTCTCTCTGGTCTCTCTCTGGTCTCTCTCTGGTTATCTCTGGTCCTCTCTCTGGTCTCTCTCTGGTCTGTCTCTGGTTTCTCACTTTTCTCTCTCTGGTCTCTCTCTCCAGTTTCTCTGGTCTCTCTCTAGTCTTTCTCTGGTTATTTCAATTTGGAGAGACGAGAAACAGGAAGTTGAGTATTTTATTGAAAGGAGGTTTGGCGCCCTAGGTCCCAGTGCGGCCTTCGGATCGGAAAGGCTCCTGCGATGAGCGCGCACAATCCCCCAGGACCTAGGCACTGGTGGCGGCATTTGGCAGCGGGAAGAAATTGAAGGCAGATTGGAGGCAAGGTGAAGAGGAGGAGGAGGGGAGGCGGTGGTTGCGAGGCTTCAGGAGGCCGGTAGTGGGAGTTTCTCCGTTTTTATGCGGCTGCGAGTCGGTACAGATGATTGGAAGGGGGCGTCTGCTGAGCGATAGGCTGGGGATGAGAGCCGGCCTGGAGGGGGTAAATTTGGTTAACGTCTACCAAATTGAATTTTCGCTGGCTGCATCTCTGGTCTTCTCTCTGGTCTCTCTCCCTGGTCTCTCTCTCTGGTCTCTCTCTCTGGTCTCTCTCTGGTCTCTCTCTCTGGTCTCTCTCTCGGGTCTCTCTTTGGTCCTCTCTCTCTGGTCTCTCTTTGGTCCTCTCTCTGGTCTCTCTCTCTGGTCTCTCTCCCCGGTCTCTCTGGTCTCTCTCGCCAGTCTCTCTCTGGTCTCTCTCTCATGTCTCCCTCTGGTCTCTCTCAGGTCTCTTTCTGGTCTCTCTGTGGTAGGGATGTAAATCGGCGACCGTTTAACCGGTGGTTGACCGTCACAGCGTTAACCGGTCAAAGCTGTCGGTTAAAAAAGAGAAAAAGGGGAGAGGGGAGGTCTCTTAATAACGCTATTTTAAGCCCTATTTGCACGATGTGACGAGCGGGGGACGACTCTCACGCCGCACGCGCCACATATGCACACACGCGCGCACACACACACACGCACACACGCGCACGCGCACATACACACACACACACACACACACACACTTTCCCCCTCTCCATACGTAACATCCACACGCATCATCTCTCCTCTCTGTTACCGTCAAAGTTGCACACTGGCGCGAGTCAGAACTACATTGGAGCTTACATTTACACACACACACATATACATACACACACACATACATACACACACACATACACACACACACACACACGCACACACGCACACACGCGCACACACTTTCCCCCTCTCCATACGTAACATCCACACGCATCATCTGTCCTCTCTGTTACCGTCAAAGTTGCACACTGGCGCGAGTCAGAACTACATTGGAGCTTACATTTACACACACACACACATATACATACACACACACATACATACACACACACATACACACACACACACACATACACACACATACTGGTATATGTGGTTTATAAGGTCATTGAGACTTGTTGGTGGTTTATGGGGACACCCCTTTCCACACATCCTATCAACATGAAACTCATGTCAAACATCTTCATTTGATCTACAGAACACAAAACTCATTTGAAAATCCTAATTTGTCTTTCAGAAGACACACATATAAAACTGGGACATTTCACAGGTTTGTGGGGTCATTGCCAATTGTGGTATATAGGGACACACTGTTTATGAGGTCTTTTCATACACAACACACAAATAAGACAAAATGCTGGTCTGTGAGGCCAACTGAGCTTATGAGGTCTTTTCATACACAACACACAAATCAGACAAAATGCTGGGCTGTGAGGCCAACTGAGCTTATGAGGTCTTTTATACACAACACACAAATCAGACAAAATGCTGGTCTGTGAGGCCAACTGAGCTTATGAGGTCTTTTATACACAACACACAAATCAGACAAAATGCTGGTCTGTGAGGCCAACTGAGCTTATGAGGTCTTTTATACACAACACACAAATCAGACAAAATGCTGGTCTGTGAGGCCAACTGCACTTACGAGGTCAAATTACTTTAAGTGAAATAAACAACCATTTTGTCCTGTTTTTCTTGAGGTATCTTCAAATCCTGTGCAACAAACTCTGGTTGACCTCATCAGAAGTTACAATGATAGTGTATGTGATCCCACATGTCATGCACCGTTTGCAATATCCTCAACTTATATCAGAATGTGCAATAACCACATGTCTCTGTCACTTTACTGAGTCCCTGTATCTCAGAGCCTCATGCTACTAATGTACAGATGTAAACGTACTGCTGCTAATGTACAGATGTAAACATACTGCTGCTAACAGCTGCTAACATGTACAGATGCTAACATATAACTACACTTTGCTAGCACTAGAATACACAGTACTTTATACACACTTCTTATTGCCAAATGTAAAACTTTTACACCCGTTTTACTATTTTTGAGATTGAGTTTTTATACCTGATATTGATGCTAAAGTTAGTTTTGTTTTATGTCAATTAGTAGAGCTACTGTTCACTTAACTTGTGCCGTGTGCTCCTCTTTCCTACTGTCCTATAATTTGTGATGCAACACTGAAATTGCCCCTGACAAATAAAGGATCTCTTAGTCTTTAATACACTTCAAATACCAAACAAGGAGAGTGGACTGGCACCACCATACTTGGAGGAATACTTCTATGCAAGCTTCTAAAACCTACAACACAAAACGTATTCTGAAATTTTGGGAGAAACGTGTTCCATATACATACAACTATCCATCCATCGCTCTCTCTACCTACAAATGAGAGATCATCAGAGATAGGACCAAACCTCCCAGGTGAAATGCAATTACATAAATACGCTTGAACAAATACAAATGGTAAAGCTTTATAACCCATACAAAAGGATGTTGGCTAATAGGAAAACATCAACATTTTATATTAGACACATAGGAAAAAACTGAAGAATCATGGTATAAAATGTGAAACTAAAATAACCACATCTACTTTAGGAATTGAAAGTTATACTGTTGGAATAACATTGTATAATACTGTATAATAATGTCCCTCATGGGACATGCACAGTTGGTTGTGTGGCAATATAGTAAAACCATCATGTTTCTGGATTTGAATTAGTAAAGACATCAACAAAATAATTGGATACATGTTACAAAAACTTGGCTGGTATTTTATTTGAAAAAAAAGAAAGAACATGTAACTGAAGCAAAGTAAAACAAGGTATTTAGTTTATGCTTCAAATCACAAAACAACGTCTCGTTATGCAGTGCAGGACATGTTTGAGGAGACGACCTTGAAGCAGGGGCAGAAAATGGCAACAGTATTATAGAAAATCTCAGTTGTACTTAACTTATATACAAATGTCTTTGTAGTTCACAATAATTGGCATTGTTTGTGTTAGTTTTTGTGAATGAACTAAGGTTTGTAATGAGAGATCGAGAGAGATAGACAAGATACTCGCAGGAGAAATTCAGGTGTCCAGTAAATAGTAATCAGCAACAGCCCTTCAGGTCACAGCAGCAGAGATGAGTAGCCACCGGGCGGAGCAGGACGGATCACAGTAGTATACGTGGAGTAGCCTCTGGGTGCAGCAGGACGGGTCACAGCAGAAGAGATGGAGTAGCCGCTGGGTGCAGCAGGACGGGTCACAGCAGAAGAGATGGAGTAGCCGCTGGGTGGAGTAGGACGGGTCACAGCAGCAGAGATGGAGTAGCCTCTGGGTGGAGTAGGACGGGTCACAGCAGCAGAGATGGAGTAGCCTCTGGGTGGAGTAGGACGGGTCACAGCAGCAGAGATGGAGTAGCCTCTGGGTGGAGTAGGACGGGTCACAGCAGCAGAGATGGAGTAGCCTCTGGGTGGAGTAGGACGGGTCACAGCAGCAGATGTGGAGTAGCCACTGGATGGAGCAGGATGGGTCACAGCAGAAGAGATGGAGTAGCCGCTGGGTGGAGCAGGACAGGTCACAGCAGAAGAGATGGAAGCCGCTCGGTGGAGCAGGACAGGTCACAAGGTGGAGTACCCGCTTTGTTCGGACCATTATCTCTGCCGTAGTCCAAAGTAAAATGCTAAATGCTTAATTAGCATTTTTCAAAAAGTTCCTCCTGTGGATTTACACCTGATCCGCTTAGTTCGGACCATGAATCCTCTCTGCTCTGGTCTGGACCAGTGTAAAACCATGAACACTGTACTGCAGCAACATCTCCGGTAGAAAATAGGCAAGAAAATAAAAATTCTAAAGCACAAAACAAGGGTTTCAGAGCAACTTTCAGAGCATTAAAGAGTTTTTACTGTCCTGTTATTGTCATGTGTCCTGTCACTGTCCTGTTATTGTCATGTGTCCTGTTATTGTCATGTGTCCTGTCACTGTCCTGTTATGGTCATGTGTCCTGTTATTGTCATGTGTCCTGTCACTGTCCTGTTATTGTCATGTGTCCTGTTATTGTCATGTGTCCTGTCACTGTCCTGTTATGGTCATGTGTCCTGTTATTGTCATGTGTCCTGTCACTGTCCTGTTATTGTCATGTGTCCTGTCACTGTCCTGTTATTGTCATGTGTCCTGTTATTGTCATGTGTCCTGTCACTGTCCTGTTATGGTCATGTGTCCTGTTATTGTCATGTGTCCTGTCACTGTCCTGTTATTGTCATGTGTCCTGTTATTGTCATGTGTCCTGTCACTGTCCTGTTATGGTCATGTGTCCTGTTATTGTCATGTGTCCTGTCACTGTCCTGTTATTGTCATGTGTCCTGTTATTGTCATGTGTCCTGTCACTGTCCTGTTATTGTCATGTGTCCTGTCACTGTCCTGTTATTGTCATGTGTCCTGTCACTGTCCTGTGATTGTCATGTGTCCTGTCACTGTCCTGTTATTGTCATGTGTCCTGTCACTGTCCTGTTACTCTCCTGTTATTGTCATGTGTCCTGTTACTGTCCTGTTATTGTCATGTGTCCTGTGACTGTCCTGTTATTGTCCTGTGTCCTGTCCTGTTATTGTCATGTGTCCTGCCACTGTCCTGTTATTGTCATGTGTCCTGTTATTGTCCTGTGTCCTGTCACTGTCCTGTTACTCTCCTGTTATTGTCATGTGTCCTGTTACTGTCCTGTTATTGTCATGTGTCCTGTGACTGTCCTGTTATTGTCCTGTTATTGTCCTGTGTCCTGTCACTGTCCTGTTATTGTCCTGTGTCCTGTCACTGTCCTGTTATGGTCATGTGTCCTGTTATTGTCATGTATCCCGTCACTGTCCTGTTATTGTCATGTGTCCCGTCACTGTCCTGTTATTGTCATGTGTACTGTCACTGTCCTGTTATTGTCATGTGTACTGTCACTGTCCTGTTATTGTCCTGTGTCCTGTCACTGTCCTGTTATTGTCATGTGTCCCGTCACTGTCCTGTTATTGTCATGTGTCCCGTCACTGTCCTGTTATTGTCCTGTGTCCTGTCACTGTCCTGTTATTGTCATGTGTCCTGTCACTGTCCTGTTATTGTCATGTGTACTGTCACTGTCCTGTTATTGTCATGTGTCCTGTCACTGTCCTGTTATTGTCATGTGTACTGTCACTGTCCTGTTATTGTCATGTGTCCTGTCACTGTCCTGTTATGGTCATGTGTCCTGTTATTGTCATGTGTCCCGTCACTGTCCTGTTATTGTCATGTGTACTGTCACTGTCCTGTTATTGTCATGTGTACTGTCACTGTCCTGTTATTGTCATGTGTCCTGTCACTGTCCTGTTATGGTCATGTGTGTCCTGTTATGGTCATGTGTCCTGTTATGGTCATGTGTCCTGTTATGGTCATGTGTCCTGTTATTGTCATGTGTCCTGTCACTGTCCTGTTATGGTCATGTGTCCTGTTATTGTCATGTGTCCTGCCACTGTCCTGTTATGGTCATGTGTCCTGTTATTGTCATGTGTCCTGTCACTGTCCTGTTATGGTCATGTGTCCTGTTATTGTCATGTGTCCTGTCACTGTCCTGTTATGGTCATGTGTCTGTCCTGTTATGGTCATGTGTCCTGTCACTGTCCTGTTATGGTCATGTGTCCTGTTATTGTCATGTGTCCTGTCACTGTCCTGTTATTGTCCTGTGATTGTCATGTGTCCTGTCACTGTCCTGTTATGGTCATGTGTCCTGTTATTGTCATGTGTCCTGTTACTGTCCACTTTTGAATGTGCTGGAAAACGGCAGCAAGTCTTACTGTCCTGTGATTCTACTTAACTTATACAAAAATACTTTCTAGTTCACAGTAATTGGCATTGTTGTGTTTGTTTTTATGAATGAACTAAAATTTGTGATTGTTATGTTACAACACTTTTATTCTTCTTGTTTTTTCTACCGGAGATGTTGCTGCAGTACAGTGGTCATGGTTTACACTGGTCCAGACCAGAGCAGAGAGGATTCATGGTCCGAACCAAGCAGATCAAATGAAAATGCACTGGAGGAATGCCAACTTTTTGAAAAATGCTAATGATGCATTTCGCATTTGCATTTTGCACTTTGGACTAGAGCAGAGAAAATGGTTCGAACCAAGCAGCTACTCCACCTTGTGACCTGTCCTGCTCCACCCAGAGGCTACACCATCTCTGCTGCTGTGACCTGTCCTGCTCCACCCAGCGGCTACTCCATCTCTGCTGCTGTGACCCGTCCTGCTCCACATAGTGGCTACGGCACCTCTGCTGCTGTGACCCGTCCTGCTCCACCCAGAGGCTACACCATCTCTGCTGCTGTGACCCGTCCTGCTCCACCCAGCGGCTACGGCACCTCTGCTGCTGTGACCCGTCCTGCTCCACATAGTGGCTACGGCACCTCTGCTGCTGTGACCCGTCCTGCTCCACCCAAAGCCTATTCCATCTCTGCTGCTGTGACCTGAAGGGCTGTTGTTGATTATTACTATTGTTAGCTTGATTGAATGATACATTTTATTTTTGCTGCTACTGGACACCTGAATTTCTCCTACGGGGATCAATAAAGTATCTATCTGTTATTGTTCTGTGTCCTCTAACGGTCCTGTCCTGTGATTGTTCTTAACCTATATACAAATGTCCTTTGAGTTTACAGAAATTGGCATTGTTTGTTTTTTTGAATGAACTAAGGTTTGTAATGGTTGTGTTACTGCCTGTTGTGTCCTGTTACTGTCCTAATTTTCATGACGTCTGAATGAAATTCCCCTGTTCCGAACGAAATCTCTAATATTGTGCCCCGTCCTATTTTTTAAAGCAGGTTCGCTGCTCTTGCACATGTCACATTCCCTTTTTGATGCCAAATGTCCTTTCATGATGTGAGACTTAAAATGTCTCATCACAGCCGCAGTTTCAGCTTTTGTCCATGTTCGTCTGGCAAAGGCCCCTCTACCGCTGCGAGGTCCTATGAACAAAAGGGGGGGGGAAGCGTATCAGTAAGGCAGAAGACTCAAGATATTTGCAGCGTAGAGCCCTGTATGGTGAAGGAAAGTCAAGTTGACCTTGACTTAAAAAGGCCAAGCTTTCCAAGGAGCGTCTCCCTGGATAGTGGATACTGCACACTCTGAGCTGCAGCCAATCAAAAGCTTTGCTCAGCCCAACACAGACACAAGAGTGCATTTATGTTGGGATACCTTTAGTTTGGGTGTGGTGTCCGAGTCCCTGAAAAGTAAGTAGACCTCATTTATGCGTGCAGTGTGTTTTGAGTAGTGATGTTTGAGGTGGCTCGGGAACAGTTGCCCGAGCCACCTCAACTGGTTCTTCAACGTGAAGCAACAGCTCTACCCCGAGCTCCTCCCCTGAGACCGAACTCTTCACCCCATCTCTATGGGAGTGCCCCACCACTCTGCAGAGGAAGCTCAATTCAACGGCTTGTACCCATGATCTCATTCTTTTGGTCATTACCCAAAACTCATGACCATAGGTGAGGGAGGGAACGAAGATAGACCGGCAAATCGAGAGCTTTGCCTTTCGGCTCAGCTCCCTCTTTACCACAACGGTCCGATACAGCGACCGCATCACTGCGCACGCTGCACCGATCCGCCTGTCAATCTCACGCTTTATCCTTCCCTCACTCGTGAACAAGACCCCGAGATACTTTAACTCCTCCACTTGAGGAATGACCTCCCCACCTGGAGAGGACCAGGACCAGGAGAGGGCAAGGCGCCTTTATCCAGTCGAGCACCATGGCCTCAGATTTGGAGCTGATTCTCATCCCAGCCGCTTCAAACTCTGCTGCAAACCGTCCCAGTGCATGCTGCAGGCCCTGGTTCGTTTACAGGACAACATTGTCCGCAAGCAGCAAAGATGAAACCCCGTCTCATCTCCAGTACCATGGAGTAGACTTTACCGGGGAGGCTGACCGCTAGTCATGCCCCATGATCTCTCCAAACAACTTCCAGCCCCAGGGGCAATATGACAAATCTGAATCAGAATTACTTTGTGAATTCATAATGTAAATGTTTTTGGTTTTTAAAAGAATATCAGTAGAACTTTACAACACTAGAGGATGGGCTGTCATAGTCAAGGGGTGGGGTGAGGGAGACTTAAGGATCGTCCAAAGGTGCCCTCTGAAGCGGAAGTGTTCTTCATTGAGCACCCTGCAGTGGGTATATTTTTTATGATCTTACCGTTATGTCCAGAGAGATTTCCGGGAGCCTCGGATGGAGATGGTCCATCACACGTGACTATTTTCATCGGAAAAATATGTAAGAGAAGATCAGACTTTTATGTTCTGACGTATAGTTATATCAGCTGTGCGATACAGTATCATGGGCCAGAGCGTAGATTTAAAGTAAAACTGGCCTCATTCCAAGGGATTTCTATGGAACTTTCTATATGGAGTTGCATTATACTTTATATCTGCAGACCAGTGTGTCAAGAGAGGCACCAAAAATTAACGGCCAAAATTAAATTTAAGAATTGGGAATTCAGAGATTATTTACAGTTTCTGTGCGGATGATCAGAGATAAATGATCAGGTGAAGGGTAGTAGCTGCCCCATCTGTGTGTTTCTGTACCCACCCACATACCCACCCGTACTTAAACATGTGGGTTTTAATGTTTTTTTTGTTTTTTTTTTCAGTAAAGTTTGGCGCATTTCTTTTTTTTAAAACTTTTTTTATAATAACATTACCTTCATCAGCAAGGTCATCCACTAATTGATTTGCAACTAGGTGTTGTTCCTCTTCATTTTCTTCTTCATCCTCCTCATCTACATCCTCCTCATCCGCCTCATCATCATCAACTGAAATATAGACAAATAATGTTATATAATCACTTTTCAGTTTGAACAAAATCACTACTGTAAATCCTCTAATACTGGCTCGTATTCAGTTACAGCCAATAACCAGCGGTTGGTTCCAATAAAGACCTGGAGCCGTATTCCTAAAGATTCTAAGAGTCCTCTCAGAGAGCTCCTATCTTAACCTAAAAACTCCTAGCTAGGAGTCTTAGCTTAAAAGTTATTCCAGAACACTCTTAGAGAACTCTGAGCAAGGAATTGACAACAACTCTTATCTTAGTGAGGAGGCGTGGCCGACCCCGTTGCTAGGTATGAGTCATCATTTCAGACGCTGTGATTGGTTGATCCTAAAAGTTAGAGAAACCATATTTTTGATAATGGGCAAAATAAGGATCCTCTAATGGACAAACTCAATCATAGAATCTAATCTTAGGAATACTGTGTCATTGTAAATAATCAGAAAAGGTAGAAAGTCAGATGTATTTACTAATATTGTCTAACTTACTGTTGTAAGTTTGACTTTTACACCACATCATTAGAGCTTGCTCAGCACCAATTTATCACACATATTTAACAACAAATCCTAATATGTGTTTTGGGTTGTATCTGTTTTTTTTATGTTTTAGAATTTGGAAAACACATCAACCAGTAAAAGAAAAAGTAAATTTGAATATTCAAACATTACTTACTTTGTGACTTAAAAGCATTGTCCCCAAGAAGAATAGGAAGCTTGAATTATGAATCCAACTCACCTTTTGCTTTTGAACATTTGCCTTCATATTCTGTCCTTCTGGTGAAGACCTCTTGAAAGCCAAGGTAAAAACCATCCAGAGAAGTAAATAATTCTCCAATGGACGTTTTTCCAGTAATTATGTTGAATTCCAAGTTGACCTATAAACAAGCCCCAATTATTACTTTCTAAAATATAACACAAGATTTACAATAAACAAAAACAAACCTGGCATTCAGTCACCCCTGAACAATCCGGCTTGACCACTTCAGCTCTGAAGGAGAAAGGAAAGAACATTTTAAATTATTTGTGTTACTTTAAGCAACTATAACCCAAACCCCACAACAGGTCTGTGTAACCTTATCTTTACAGTAAATAAATCTTTACAGCCATGACACTACCAGTGAAAGTGCGTGCACTGAACTAACCGCCATCTTTAGTTCAAAGTAAAGACTTGATTCTCTGGTTTGCAGCAGTAGCACCAGAGTTAGCTTAGCTTACATTTCAAACCTCCAGCGGGCTCAGCAACATGAGCGACCAGCTCTGTGCTTTTCCCACGAACGCTGGAGCAGACTCTCCGCGTGGCTCCTGGTGGTCCCCTCTCTGCTCCTGCTGGTCCTCTCTCTGCTCCTGCTGGTCCTCTCTCTGCTCTCGGTCCTCTCTGCTCCTGCTGGTCCTCTCTCTGCTCCTGCTGGTCCCATCTCTGCTCCTGCTGGTCCTCTCTCTGCTCCAGCGTCCGTGGGAAAGCCATGGTAGCTGGTCGCTAACGTCGCTATGTCACTGGAGTCCGGTGTAACGCGTGTGCAAGCTTCAGTGACAGAGACTGGCTACGTGTACCGTATATAATAAAAAGATAAAAAAAATAACCTTGTCTAAAAATGGAGAAAAACAATAGACTCAAAACAATGTTCAGGAGATTACATTAGCTTGTGCAGTTGCATAATGTAAAATACATTTTAAAAATAAATAATAAACTTAATACAAAGATTTAACTCACCTTTGACTTGAGGAAGAGTGCGCTCTATCAACTGCAGAATGGAAAAACACGTTCAAGTCCAAGGAAAACATTAATAAACTGCTTATTCTTGAAAAATTCAAACAAACGACTCTGTCCAGACATGTCCCTGGTTCCAGTGCAGCCGGGAAAAATATAGGAGGAGCTCTGAAAACTTAAAGATAGTGAAAGTGCTTTCAACTTAAAGGTTGTAGTAGTGATCTCATTAACTTGTTTCATTTGAGTGTTGACTTCAAAACTCATTCTCTTACACACATTTGTACTCAAACTATATTTTAGAATAAACTTAAAATAGATTGGACCAAGTTAAATGTATTCATTCTAGTGCATCACATGCAACACTATATATGTTAAGTCCATTCAACTTCAACCAATGAGTTCTCTCTGCTACACTTATTTACCAACAGTGGTTAGAGCTGAAACCATTCAAGTGCAATTAACTTTGGGTTTAACAGTGTACATCTTTAACTTTTTCATTTTGTCATGTTTTTTGTGAAAATGTGAATTAAATTGAATTGAATGAGCAAAATAACACATATTTTTATTTATTTATGGAAAATGGGGTTTGGGTTGATGTGTTCTCTCTCTCTAACCGTGGGGTGATGTGTTCTTTCTCTCTAACCCTGGGGTGATGTGTTCTTTCTCTCTAAGCCTGGTGTAATGTGTTCCCAGGGGCCTGGATTCTGACCGGTGGCACTAACACTGGGGTGATGAAGCACGTGGGGCAGGCGGTGAGAGACCACGCCCTCAGCAGCTCCATGGGGGGCACATCGTCGCCATCGGGGTGGCCACATGGGGGATCCTCCACAACAGACATACCCTCATCAACCCCAAGGTACAGAGATACACACGAGTACACACACGGACACACAGCAACACATACAGCAATACATACGGCGACACAAACGGAAACACACAGAGACACATACACACTCAGTTAAGGTATTTTACTCGTATCTACAAAGAAGACAAGATGACCTCTGACTTTGGCCTGACCTCTGACCCTGGTTGCAGGGCTGTTTCCCGGCCTACTACGAGGCGGATGTGGAGGGTCAGGGCCACCTCTGCTGCCTGGACCCAGAACCACACACACTTCCTGCTGGTGGACAATGGCACACATGGTCAGTACGAAGCCGAGATCCAGCTGAGGGCGCGGCTGGAGAAGTACATATCCAGGAAGAGGCTCTCCAACCAAGGTCAGGGCGTGGAGCTCAGGTTAGAGCCGCTGGACACTGAGACGTGTCTCTGAGATTAACACACATGTTTGTTTCAGCCAGCGGAGTGAACATCCCTGTGGTGTGTGTGGTGTTGGACGGAGGACCAGGAACTCTCAACGTGAGTCTTTGGGTCAGGGAGACTAGGGTTAGATGACTAGGTTTATTCAGCCACAGAATTTCAATGTTATCGTTGTAGCACACATTACAGCAGAATAAAAGAAAATAAGAGCCCTCAAACATGATCTATTATGGATGATAAAATGATGATAAAATATAACAATGGAATAAAACTCTGGAGCTATAATTGTACTTAGTTCAAGGATAAGTCACTTGTGGAGTTTACACTGTAGTCAGCAGCATCAGGAGGTATTTATCCATCCCTCCATTTTCTTCCATTTATGGGTCAGCGGTTGGCAGTCAGAGCTGCACCCAGTACACAGAGCACCAGCCCCTCGCTGATCCTCCTGCAAGAGGGGAGTCCACAGGAGGCTGTTTTGTCGGTGAGAGCATAGCCTTGATCTTTCCACGGGGGCTTCAGGCAGAGTGGGGTTCACAGCTGAACTCTGCGAGTTGAGCTGTGGGCGCTCTGGGCAGCAGTTCCCACCTCCAGCGGCTGTGATCACGGCGAACGGTGCCGTCGTAACGTCATATCCAAGACCATACACGCACAAAACTATTCTCTGCTTGTAGTGTGCGTGTCTTTGCGTAAACGGTGCACACAAAAAATACAGTGCTGAAGCTGGACTACGGAGCCTCAGTCTTCTCCATGTCTTCTCCCGAAGCGCACTCGCTAAATTAAAGCTGGGGTACCTAATTTTCCCTTCCACTACCAGTTCATGTTGTTTGTGCCCAAAAGTAATGGTGTGAGCAAATGACATTCTGTATTTCAGACTGTCAGTTTTGAAATGTCCCTCATCTGTAACAAACAATTGCTTGCTTCCAATTGACGTCACGTCCGCCTCATTACATATGCGTATCACGGACTGGTGGTCAGCCGAAGCTAGTTGTTCACTAGAGCAGCGTGTCTGAATATACCTTTTGCATGTGTTGTTTTAAGTTTTCTAACCGATCGAATCGTGAAACCTTTAATGGATACTTTAGGATTCCTTTTGAAGAGATGAATAAAGAGCCTCACACTCAGGACTTTACGAAAACACGCAGGAAAAGTGGCTTGCTAACATTTCACTAGCAAACGCTTTTACCTCTAAGGATTAGTTATTTACCCAGCCATGCAGTCACAATGCACAGTTATTACATCCCCATCTTTATTTAATTAATGGTCAGGTATGAGTTGGCGTTTTAAATAAACACTGTGTATGTTTGACCTGAAAAGAACACATCCACAGACGCATTGTTTTGTTGAGAATGATAAGTTCATACCAATCCTTACTTACACGGCTCTGTACGATGCAGGATGTGTCCTTCAGGACCTTAACTCTGAGTTCTTAAACCCACAGACAGACGGAAAAGTTGCAGCATCCATGTTTATCCAAACCGTCATTTGTTTAGCAGTGCAAAAGCTTGATTGTAACACTAGCTGTGGATTAGAATCTAAATTGAATAAAAAGACAGTCTAGGATCTTGTCTTTAATTCAGACAGAAGACATGTTTTATTGTCGATGGTAGAGGCAGCATAAACAAAGACGTTACAGAATGTAAGTGACATACAGCGGAGGAATGGAGACTTATTAGCATATTAGCATTTACCGCTGTGCCAGTAGCTTCAACCTTGATATTACCAAAACATGTAGTGGAAAAATTCTGCCTTGTGCATATTGTTAGAATGATGAGTTAGAACGTTCACCACAGTAGCTTCAAAGTGTCATGAAATATCCAAAAAAGCAAAAAATACTTGGAAGAGTCGCATTTTCTTCATATATCAGCAGCAACTCTTGCTGGCCTGACCACCACTCCGTCAACCGGAAGTTTATGCATCACGTGATTGCAAGCAAGCAATAGTTTTGGTCTGAGTCTAAACAGAAAGACAGAATGTTAATCATGTTAATGCCATTTTATGTGGATTTATTGTATAATAAACAAATACAGTAAATATGTACCATATGCTGTCATTTATCTTTCCATTCAAAGAACCATTTACAGAAAATTATGGCATCATTTCGCCGATAGTTAGAAATTCAATTAATTACGATGAAATTATTTTTAAGCTGTAATTAACTTGTAATTAATTACTCTTAAAAATGTGAATTGTTTGACAGCCCTAGTATTTACAGATGTGTTTATTGTACTATGACTGGCATAAACAATAGGAATAATAGCAGCAGGTAAAGAAAAGTAAAGAAGGAAACTAAAGATGGAGACTAGGGTTAGAGTAGATGTTGTAATACTGTTACTCGAGTATTGGTACCAAAGCCGATCCTGTTCTAGACCATGTACAACGCCATGCTCAACGGGACCCCCTGTGTGGTGATGGAGGGGTCCGGCAGGATCGCAGACGTCGTGGCCCATGTGGCGGAGCTCCCCGTGAGCCGCGTCTCCATCGCTCTGGTCCAGCAGCTCATGAAGAAGTTCTTTGGTCAAGAGTACGACTGCTTCTCCGAATGTAGGATCATTGAATGGACCAAAAAGGTAAAAACACATCCTTCCCCAGAGGTTTTCTGCAGAGTTCTTTTGGGACAACAACATAAAATGGAATGACTTGTTAAGACCCAGCTCAGAAGTAATTGAATGGGTACAATACAAGGACATAAAGGGGAAACAAAACAAGCTAACTGGACTAACACAGAAACTAAACACTAATTATCAAAAGCAAAGTGTCACAAAAACAAAAGCAAAAGTGACAGAGACCAAATGAAATCCATACAAATGTCTCTTTAGTCACTGTCACAACTCAGTGACAACAATGGACATTTCCACCCGGTGGTCCTCCAATCACAGGCCAGGGATCCACAATATTTTTCGGATTTCCATTGGTTTGAATGGAAGCAGTCAAAATGACGGCTCAGGGAGTTCAGGTGGTAGGAGGACACAAGTAAGTACAACTGTAAACCGCTTTGTGACTCAGCGATATATAAATAAAGATTACTTACTTAGGACGTTTTTAAGAGTCTCTATTTGCGCAAACAGGAAGTGGTCTGCGGTTGCTCTGGGCAGTAGCCATGTTAACTATAGCGCCAACTGGTGGTGGACCAAAGAACAGGTCTCAGGGGTTAGAGATGTGGAGGTGGGACACATGCAGGTGCATGATTATCTTCTGTTTGTGTCAGATCCAGGATATCCTCCGGGCGCCGCATCTGCTGACCGTGTTCAGAATCACTGCAGACTGCGACGGGGAGGTGGACATGGCCATTCTCCGAGCGCTGCTCAAAGGTCAGTCTGAGTCTAACCCTAAAAGTATTAGAGTAATTACATTCTGCAGAGAGAGACCAGAGACTGAGACCAGGGACTGACCTCCTGCTGGGACTGAGGAGCACAGGGACTGACCTCCTGCTGGGACTCTGAGGAGCACAGGGACTGACCTCCTGCTGGGACTCTGAGGAGCACAGGGACTGACCTCCTGCTGGGACTCTGAGGAGCACAGGGACTGACCTCCTGCTGGGAATCTGAGGAGCACAGGGACTGACCTCCTGCTGGGAATCTGAGGAGCACAGGGAATGTTCCCTCTAAGCTGCGCACGTGCACAATTGCGCAGTGCTTTTAGGGTCTCAGCTCTTTCCTGCGCACACAATGAAAATCCAGCGTCCTGTGCCTCCAGCATATTTCAACAGAGTATGGACCACGGTGAATCTGCGCAGGCTTCATTCTCTGTCTGTGACCGTGAGGTGCACTGTCCGCAAGTGTGGGAGAAGCGTCTGACACAGAAGTCTGAAGCAGCGTTCAATCCAGAACAGGGCTCGCACCAACTGCGCCCTGCACATGTGAACTCGCGCACTTGGTCTTGCCGCGGACTTTTGAGCGGTGTGTCACGAGCACTACACCAGCTGCAGTGTGCGTGGAGCCACAAACACACGCACGCACTTATGTAGGGAAGACCAGGTCTGGTCAGACCAGTGTCCCCATCAGTTCAGCACAAAGTTGCCTATTGCTGAGTAAAGTTGGTTTTGTGGCAATAAAATTATCTTAGATAATTATTGGTCTATGTGTTTTATTTTATAATGCCATATGACTGAATCAAACCATGTCTACTATGTATTAATATACTCTAATTACTCTATATCAAAAATAATATGAATAGACAAAATCCACTTTGAATATAATGTTTTTTTGGTGCAATTCACCAAATATATTCTTCAATCTACTTTAATTCACCATCTATAAAAGAATTGAATCATGATAAGGTGAATATTGAACCGAATCATAGTTGGTTGAAGCTGGAGTAACTTAAATAAATGGGATCAGTAGGTGTATACAGGAGTTTTATACATGGGGTGTATACAGAAGTTTTATACAGGAGGTGTATACAGGAGTTTTATACATGGGGTGTATACAGGAGGTGTATCCAAATGTGAATGGTTTTCAACAGAGATCTTTCGCTCAAAGTGTTCTACGTGCCACTCAGGGGGTTTATGTTTTTGCACTGACCCATGAAAAATTAGAGGGGACATTGAGCACAGGGACTGACCTGGTGGTGGTGACCAGAGTCAAGACTAAACATGGGGAGGCTGCATTTCAAATTTCTGCAGCTAAAACCTGGAACAGACTTCCTGAAAATGTGAGACACGCTTCTTCTCTGACAATGTTCAAATCCAGGTTAAACAGTTCTGTGTCCTCTCTGTGGGGACTGTGTCTTAGATCTAGTGTCCCTCTGTCAGCCTCTAGGAGCGGCTCGGGGCCCGGGTCTGGTCCTGGGGCTGAGGACTCTCAGAGGCAGCTGGAGCTCGCTGTAGCCTGGAACAGAGTGGACATCGCCAACACAGAGATCTTCACCGACGAGAGGCAGTGGAAGGTGCAGCTTTTTATATATTGTTTATTATATTTACATATATACTCTCTCCTCGGCCACCGTGGGCGGCACGGTGGCGGAGTGGATAGCACTCTCGCCTTTCAGCAAGAAGGTCCTGGGTTTGAATCCCGGTCGGAACAGGGCCTTTCTGAGCTGAGTGGAGTTTGCATGTTCTCCGCGTGTCTGCATAGGTTTCCTCCGGGTGCTCCGGTTTCCCCTACCACTAAAAACATGCACAATAGGTAGAGAGTGAATGGATGGTTTTGATTGGGGGCTGATGCGCCAGTGTGCTTGGCGACTCGCTTCTGTCATCACCGTGTGTGGAATGATTGGAACAATATCTGAACTCTGAACATTGTAAAGTGCTTTGGGTGACCTTGGTCTGTAAAATGTGCTATATAAATAAACATTACTTACTTTCTCTCTTTCTCTCAGTCAGAGCAGCTGCACAGTGCCATGCTGTCTGCTCTTGTGGGGAACAAGCCTGAGTTTGTGAGTTTGCTGCTGGAGAACGGTGTGAGTCTGTGGGACTTCCTTCAGGAGGAGACTTTGTGTGAGCTCTACAGACAGCTGCCCACCTGCCTGTTCCTGAGGCGCCTCGCCCGCAGAGCCACGGAGCAGCAGCGCCGCCGCAAGCCGCCGCTGGGACTGCGCCCTCGAGCCTTCTCCACCCAGAGCCAGACCATCTCCCTGAGCCACGTGTCCGAGGAGGTGCGGCGTCTCCTGGGGACCTTCACCCACCACATCTACCCCCCCACCCCCAACGTGTACCAGCTGGACATGTCCACGGCCTCGGACTCCGTAAGACCAGGACCACATTCACACACTGTACAAGGAGACCAGGAACAGGGTGGGTGTGGCTGCAGGTTTTAGTTCAGCAGGAGCAGAGTAGACTCCACCCATTTCTTCAGGCGAGTCCAGTTTTCACCTGAAGGTTTGAAGAACAAGGTGGAGTCTGCTGTGTTCCTGCTGTTGGAACTAAAACCTGCAGCCACAGTGACCCTTTCTGGAACCGATTTGACATCCCTGCGTTAGAGGTATTGGTTGAATATATAAGAGGTCATTATCCTTCTCTGAGTTAGCTGTTCATTACAATCATTGGGAACCTGCAAAAACTATTGAGCTGAAGTCTTAATAAACTTAAAGTGAACTTAATTCATCATTTCTTTATCCGAGTTTTTTTTTTAACCTTTTTTGAGCCAAGGCAAACTTTTTTCATTGAAAAATACTTGCGGCACACCACCAGGAGAAAATGTACAAAATATATACTCCATAGCCTACAGTATATCCACAATATAAAGTCATTCTCATCAAAGTGCTTATATCCAGGCCTTAACATTGAGCTTGGTTTGTCATGTCATGACATTTTCTACCCCTTTATCCACTTCTGGGTCGGGGCGGTGGCAATCAGAGCTGCTACCCAAATCTCAATGCACCAGTCCCTCGCTGATCCTCCTGCAGTGGTGAGTCCACAGGATGATGGCTTCTCCGTGATTGAAGACATGGCCTTGGTCTTTCAGCGGGGGCTTCAGGCAATGTGGGGTTAAGTATCTTGCCCAGGGACACCACGACAGCAGACATCACCGTGGGGGCAGATGACATGGGTTGTGGTGGACTCAAACCCACGACCAATAGGTCCAAAGACCAGTGCTCTACCAACTCAGCTACTGTCGCCCCGCTTTGTTTAATATTTCTCAATACAATTAGTTAACAATAGTTTGGGAATAAAGTGGCACTAACTGTGGGGAAAAAAACATTTAAAAAATCCGCTCTCAGCCCAAAAAGTCAAATAATGACTCACAAAACTATGATTCTGTCTGCAGGTCCATGGGTCTGTCTGCAGGTCCATGGGTCTCTCTGCGCGTGTAAGGTTCTGTCCGCGTCTATTGTTCGGTCCACGCAGGACCGTCGCAAGGGAGGTGCAAGGCCCTGTGCAAACTTGTGTTGCGAGACCCTACCAAACTCAAACGTATTTTTTTTCCCCATCAAATAACGTTTTTGCCATGCCTCTGTAACACTTACGAGGAGTAGTACAGGGAAAGGGCTGTATAGTATATGGGCTTGTTCACACTAAAGGGCACAAAAGTGTGACAAAAGGCCAAAAATTAGATTTTAATAATCAGAAGATATTTTATGTTTTTCATGTTTCCAAACACCTCCTCTGTCCATTAGAAGTTGCTAGAACATAACTGTTTTATACATTAGACAAGTTTCCTATAGCGGCCCTGTTTATTTTATCTAACGGACGTGATGATTTGACAGAATGAGCTTTGTGGAAGTTTGATAGGTATTTTCAGATGTCCACATTTGATTCAGAGATTCTATTTTTTTACACAAAGTAGATGCAAAGTGATACTTTCATATTGTCAAACTTTAAAGGTGAAAACAGACCAGATTTTTTTTTCTCAAGTTTAATTTTTAGAGAAAAGAGGACCGTCCTCATCACGTCCGTTATACATTTTTCAGGGGTCATTTAATTAATTAATTAATTTTTATTTTTTCACGATTCATTTATATCAAGTGATTTACTTCTGTTGTGTTAACCATATAAATATTGTGGGATTTCATCTTCTGCTTTTTCAGACTGAGGACGTTTTATTTTCTATGTAACTGGCGTCACAGTAGAATGGTCCAATCAGAGGCTAATTTGGTCGTTTAAAACGTTGCTAAACATTTTTATGTCAATCTTTCCTTTTGATTTTTTCCACACTATCTCTTCAATGTGTCTGTGTTTGAAATCTTTCTTCCAATCTATGATAGTAATTTTAGCTTTTAAGCTATAACCTTTTAAAGTCCAGATACTTCAATTTTCACTTTACTGTGAACACACTCATATACTAGCATACAACACAGTAGTAGGGTTATCTTCTATGGACCAGATCAGAAACCTAGACTCGGCTACAGGAGGAGTGAAATAAACCTTAAATCAATAAGAGACCACAGACCAGTGAGTAAAGTTAACTGCCGGCTTATTATTTAAACAAAATAGACAAAGGACAATGACATACTTTAAACATTAAACGTTGAGAAATCCTTTTCCGTTAAACCTTTTAGTTTACTTTTAAAAGATTGAATTTATTTTAAGTTCTATCAATATATAGGTTAATATTGATGTTGGTTTATTGTAGTAGTAGGTTGCAACCTTTAGTTCTTTTAAATTTCAATTCAAGTTATTTTGTTACTTGAGTTAACTCTCTGTTTTGAAGTTTAGTTCTATTCTGTTTCAAGTTCTTTTATAGTAATAGGTACCTTTTGTTGTTTACAACCAAACAGTAACAATAATACTGTTATAATACAGTACTTGTGTATGGTCAATAAAATAAAATATTCAAAACTTCACAAAACTCAAAATATTCAGCAAAAGACTGAACAATCTGTATACCACAGAAAGTCTTTGGATTAGCAGTCCAATGTTGTTTATCCTGAATCCTCTAGTTTCGGTGGACAGTGGATAGATCCTACCAGTTCAGATGTAAACCATGCAACGTCCAGTAGATGGCAAATCCTGACTCACGCACAGTTCACACAAGGTCCAATGGGTGGCTCGCCATCATGGATCCAACACGAGTCAAATCTTAAAATCCAGAGTCTGTCTAATCGACAATTCTTCATCCCAACCTAAGTTGGCCTAACGTAAACAACATAAAATAAGTAAAGACACTTAAAATAAAACGCTAGGTAAGTCTAAAACTAAGAAAATGTACATTTCCGATCCTAAACCATGCTCGTTAAAATGGCGCCAACATGGCGGACAAGAAAAACAAGACGGAGCATTGACCTGCAAAGTCAACGCTTGGATTGGCTTAAAATATACCAAACATTTACCCTTTTCGCATAGAACAGCTTAAATTAAATACCTTAGCTTTCGGTTTTCATAAAACAACAATTACTTTGTACAAATATAGTTTACAAAAAGAAAATACATGGTTTCCACTCACCAAGTCCCGTTAATCCAAGTACACAAACCTCAGAGACCACGACTTGGTTGGAAAACCGTCAATACCTTTGTAAAAGTTTGAAATAACTCTTAGACAGCTTTACAAAAAAATAAATATATTTCTCGAAACTCACCGAGTCCTGTTGCTTGGCAAGACACCAGGACAGGTCGGAAAACAAAAATACCTTAATCGAAGTACAAAAAGGACTTCTAGGTTGGTTTAGACTCGTTTTCTGCGCTTGTTCCTCTGCTATTTTTTCTGCTGTTTTTCTGCATCTACATCGTTTAGCATTGGGGAACTTTTTTAGTAATCTGATTGGCTGTTGTTTGGTGCAGGGGCGTCACAACAACATGCCCTTCAAAATACATGGGTCTCAACCAATTAAAAATGTAATTAATAATAATTTTGCATGTTTCACATGTTTTTAACTAAATTAATATACAGAAAAAGTAAATATAACTTTTTAGACGTTTTTAGATACATTTCACCATATGAACTTATTTATTGGCTTTTTACATTCAAAGTATTTATTGCTGTTTTTATTAAGATGCTTTTACTCTGGTAGCTCTGTTAACCTCTGGGTTACACCTCCACACACTATGACAACAACATACGCTCCTTCTGCTCCTCCACACACTCTGACAACAACAAGGCGTATAATGCCCAAAATCCATTGCTCTCGGAGAGAGGCACTGAAGCTGGGCATACAGTGTTTGCTAATGCTTTTATAATATGTTTTTGATGTGGACATTCAGACTTAATCATTGGCAAAAGCAGAACTCACACACTTGTTTCACTGCTCCTCCTCCTCCTCTTCTCCTTTGCTCACACACCTGTCTCCTCTACTTCACACAGAGTTCGCGAGTGTGCATCTCTCCAAACACTGGGCTCATTCCTGTCTCTTTCTTCGTCTCAAACTCATACAGATTTAGACACTGCTAAAATGATCTGACAGTTCCCTTAATTTTTTAGCCAAAGGACCCTGCTGCGAACATAGCCGCCCTCGCGCCTGCCTGTTTACAATTGCTTTTGGTGAAAATTTGACTTGTAATTATGTACTTTTGAACAAAAAAATCACGGATATCCAGAGAAAAGGGGGCTCGGGGTCTGAAACCTGGACCGCAATCCGTCATTTGGGGACCGCTGAACTAGTGCATTTATTTGGGGAAAAAAGAAAACAAATATAAAGGAAGGAGGAAGGGCCTGTGTAGTGCCAGGCCCTGTGCGATGGCACAGTTCGCACAGCCCCTATGACGGGCCTGGGTCCATGCGACTATGGTCCACGCTCGGTACCACGTTACAGATGAGCTGTTGTCAAATCGGCTGTCGGTACAATGCGACAGCCGAGGTCAGAGCGGAGTATGTGAATCCTGTTCAGAAATGGCATAATTCCTTTTCCAAAACTTCTCAATCACTTCCACTTCACACTCGCCACATGCTCCCCGCTACAGTTACATTTGTTAGTTGCATCCAATTCTTATGTTTCAAAGTACTTAGCTCTCTTCTGCCACCAACTGATATGAAAAAGTACAACGTGATTACTCCACAGTTCAAAACAAGTCAGCACTCGCCAACGGTGTTTGCATTTATTTTTAGACAAAGTAGGCAAAATTCTTACGGCACACCGGACAATATCATACAGCTTGCTAGTGTGCCCCGGCACAGTGGTTGAAAAACACTGCTTTATCCAACCCTAACCCTGTCTTCTCCCGCTTCCTCCTCTTCCTCACAGCACTCCAAAAGTCTGGGATCTCAGAACATGTACAGAGAGGAGTCTGCAGACCCTGACAGAAACCCAGAGAGAGACCTGTTCCTCTGGGCCATCCTGCACAACAACAAGGCTATGGCCCAGATCGCTTGGGAGGAGGTGAGGGGAGGAGGGGAAGGGCTCTGGTCGGAGGTGAGGGGGAGGAGGGGAAGGGCTCTGGGAGGTGCTTTGTCAGTTCTTAAAACCTAAAAGTTAATATTCTCCAGATCATGTCTGACCTCAGGCTGATTGTGTTGTTGACATTGAAAGTGAAACTATGGATTTGTGTTATTTTAATATTATCCATTCTGTTATTAAAGCATCATTTATAATCATTTGTTCTGTTCAGAGCAGAGACTCTATGGCGGCGGCTCTCGCTGCCTCCAAGATCCTGAAGAAACTCTCAGAGGAAGATAAAGATGCAGACGAGGCGGCTGAGATGAAGGAGCTGGCCACACTGTACGAGACACAGGCTATGGGTGAGGACCTGGGGGAGAGAGGGGAGGGGGAAGAGAGGGGTGAGGACCAACAGGAGAGAGGGGTGAGGACCACTGGGAGCAGGACGGGAGGGGTGAGGACCACTGTGGGAGGGAGAGGAGGGGTGAGGACCAACAGGGGAGAGGGGTTAGGACCTGGTGATGACCACTGGGAGAAGGAGAGGAGGGGTGAGGACCACTGTGGGAGGGAGAGGAGGGGTGAGGACCACTGTGGGAGGGAGAGGAGGGGTGAGGACCACTGGGAGAAGGAGAGGAGGGATGAGGACCACTGTAGGAGGGAGAGGAGGGGTAAGGACCACTGGTAAAAGGAGGGGTGTGGACATTTTGAACATCTGGCTTTAGCTCATTGATGCTTCTGTCTTCTCTTCTAACCCTGACCTATACCGTCACCCATCTAACCCTCTCTTAAACCTCTCCCTCTTCCTCCTCCTCTCCCTCTCCCTCCCCCAGAGGTCTTCAGTGAGTGCTTCTCCTGTGATGAGGAGCGAGCTCAGAAACTTCTGGTTCGTGTGTCTCCGTTCTGGGGACGGAGCACGTGTCTGAGAGTCGCCTTGGAGGCCAACGACCAGAACTTTGTGGCTCAGTCTGGGGTTCAGGTGTGTGTGCGTGTGTGTGTCTGTTTGTCTGTCTGTGTGTGTGTGTGTGTGTGTGTGTGTGTGTGTGTGTGTGTGTGTGTGTGTGTGTGTGTGTGTGTGTGTGTGTGTGTGTGTGTGTGTGTGTGTGTGTGTGTGTGTGTGTGTGTGTGTGTGTGTGTGTGTGTGTGTGTGTGTGTGTGCCTGTGTGTGTGTGTCTGTGTGTGTGTGTGTGTGTGTGTGTGTCTGTGTGTGTGTGTGACCAGACAGCACTAGATAAATGAACCCAACCCACCCCATGGTAAAATCTCTAACTTTAGCAATATTATAAAACACTGTATAATATATAGCTGTATGTATACATGTAATACATGTGCAGCAGCACGACCACCACCACCAACATCCTCATCCCCAGCCTGCTCTGAAGCAGTCACGCCTTCTTCATCTACAGCGCCTATGAAGCCCCCATCCTCGCCCCAGGCTACAGCAGACAGGCCTGTGCTGGGGTTTACTCAACCACCTGCCCCTCCATCAAAGACTCCCTCGCCACCTCCCATGGACCTGTCTTGGGTCCCCCCTGCCACGTCCACTCCATCAAGAGAGAATGGGGACACGTCCCTTTGTTTTTCATCCCCGCCTTCATTGTTAGACCTACCTGAACACTCTGCAGGGCTAATAAAATCGGCGATGAAGACTATTCCTCTCACACCCATATTAGCTAATCCTGTCCAACATTCTAAACCACTCCCCATATGTACCTCCAAAACCACCTACGGTTTCCAATTCACCTACAAAAACCACCTCCGCCAGTCCCTCCCCTAACCTCATGACCATTCCACCCCCACTTCCCCTTCGTTCCTCAGCCCACCCCGCCCCTAACCCATCACCAAAAACCCCTCCACCTCCCTGCCCCCCTCGTTAACACCAAAAGCCACCCACCTCTCCATCCTCCTCCCCCGCCTTCCCCTTCCCTTCTTTTCTCTAAACACTAGGATGCACAGGGTCTCTGCTTCGCAGCCACTGGCAGTCTAGTTAGAGGAGAGACCCGGCTGGGGCCCTGTCATGAAGCCACCTGTGCCATTCCCTTAGTGATAACACAATGAATACATTACAGAAAGACATCTGGAGTTAATCAGTCTAATCTGGAAAATCTAATTCTTGTTCCGTGTAAGAATCAGCCGACCACAACCGCTGATGAAACTTTGAAACTTACTACGCTTAATGTCAGATCTCTATGGCGCCAGATTTACGCCAAAAGTCCACACGCGCAAATAATACATACACGCGCAGCTTTATTTAATTCACACGCGCGCAAACCACTCTCCACGCGCATATTTCACCCCACACACGCGCAGATTCAGTACCACGAGCAACAATACGCGCGTGTGTGCGTTCGTGACATGCCTTCTCCCTGCTTGTGGTCTGTGTTCTGCGCGCGTTGAAAACTTTTGCCATCTCTTCTACGCGCGCGTGAAATATACTTTTGTCGCTTGGGGACGGGGCCACTGCTTTCCAGGAATTCCTGCAGTTAGAAGATTTGGTTCAGAGGATGAATACTTGGTGAGCGTTTTATATTTATTTGATATATAAACATATTACAATGTAGGCTACGTCCTTTATTTCAGTCGTTTTCGACTAAATTTCAGTTAAAAATGAGAAGAACTTAGTTACTATCAATTAATTAATTAAAATGATGGACATGGGCAAACAAGCAACAATTGGGACACCGGCGCGATGTTAGCTATGGAAAGACAGTTTTTAAAAAAAAACATTTGTATGACTATATTTTAGGAGGGAGGTAGTTTTGTACTGTTGCCGTTTGTAGAAACTAAGGTGAGCGGCAGGTCATATTGGGGCAAAACAAATTGTGTCACTTTGGTGCTAGTTTGAAGGTTGCCTAAAAGAGTACCTCTGCTCAGTGTATACTTGCTATGATTACTTAAGTTGTCTCATATTAACATAAGTAATTATTTAGTGAACAACTTTGACTTGTATTTGAGTGATGTTTGACCAGGACTCACTTTACTATAAGTACAGTATTTCTACTGTATCCTCCATGATGATCCATGATTACTGAACAGGCATGTTAATGTTTATAATGTGAATTCCTGGAAAGCAGTGGCCCCGCCCCCAAGCGACAAAAGTATATTTCACGCGCGCGTAGAAGAGATGGCAAAAGTTTTCAACGCGCGCAGAACACAGACCACGAGCAGGGAGAAGGCATGTCACGAACGCACACACGCGCGTATTGTTGCTCGTGGTACTGAATGTACGTGTGTGGGGTGAAATATGAAATAATCTTGATCTTATGTTCATGGCTGAAACTTGGCTTGACCAAAATTCAGAAAATGCAATTTTAATAGAAGCATCACCATCAAATTTCAAATTTGAATCTGAAATACGGGAAAACAAAAAAGGAGGAGGCTTAGCTGCCATTTTTAGAGATCACTTTGTCTCCCATAGAATGTCTCTTGGGAAGTTTTCGTCATTTGAATATGTGTCTTTTAAAATACAACAAAAACAATCTCCTCCAATACTCTTCGTTGTCCTATACAAGCCCCCGCAGTCATGTCACAGTTTTATTGATAATTTTACCGAGTTGCTTTCAGTTGTATGCACAGATTTTGATAGTTTGGTTATTACAGGTGATTTTAATATTCATGTGGATAATGTTGATGACAGAAATGCGAATGAGCTGAGTTCTGTACTTGAATCCTTTGATCTCACTCAGCACGTAAGTGGCCCCACCCACAGCAGAGGGCACACTCTAGATCTGTTAGTTACTAAGGGGGTGAATACTTCAAATGTAAACGTGGTTGATGTTGCTCTTTCGGATCATTTCTGTGTTTTTTTTGACATGTGTTTCACTAACAAACCACCAGTGGACTCTGCAACTGTTCGAAGAAGGCGCATAAATGAAAATACGAGTGATCTATTTATGGGAATGATAAACTTTGAGAATGCATCGTGTTCTACTGTAGATGAACTGTTTAACTCTGTCACCTCTAGTGTTTTGAATGTTCTGGATACCGTTGCCCATGTGAAGGTTAAAATAGTGAAAAATAAGCAGAAGGCGCCGTGGGCTAAAGCAGACTCGGTCAGGGCACAAAAGAAAAAAAGTGCCGGAGGGCCGAGCGGAAGTGGCGCAGGTCCAACCTCCAGGTTGATTACGAGATCTTCAAAGATAAGTTGTGCGAGTTTAACCGGGTGCTACGTAGTACGAGAGAAAGGTATTTTTCTGAAATGATTGAAGACTGCAGCAACAATCTGCGTGTTCTGTTCTCAACAGTTAATAGATTAACAAACCCCCTCCTCTATCCTCCCCCTCTCCCTCTGCCCTCCCCAGAGTCTTCAGGAGTGCTTCTCCGGTGATGAGGAGCGAGCTCAGAAACTTCTGGTTCGTAGTGTCTCCGTCTGGGACGGAGCACGTGGCTGAGAGTCGCCCTGGAGGCCACGACCGAACTTTGTGGCTCAGTCAGCTGGGTTCAGTTGTGTGTGAGTGTGTGTTCCTGTTTGTCTATCTGTGTGTGTGTGTGTGTGTGTGTGGTGTGTGTTTGTTGTGTGGTGTGTGTGGTGGCCTGTGTGGTGTGTCTTGTGTGTGTGTGACCAGAACAGCACTAGATAAATGACCCAAACCCACCCCATGGTAAAATCTCTAACTTTAGCAATATTAATAAAACACGGTAATAATATAAGCTGTATGTATACATGTAATACATGTGCGCAGCACGACCACCACCACCAACAACCTCATCCCCAGGCCTGCTCTGAAGCGTCAACGCCTTCTTCATCGACAGCGCCTATGAAGCCCCCATCCTCGCCCCTGGCTACAGCCCAGACAGGCCTGTGCTGGGTTTCTCAACCACCTGCCCCTCCACAAAGACTTTCCCTCGCCACCTCCCATGGACCCCTGTCTTGGGTCCCCCCTGCCACGTCACTCCATCAAGAGAGAATGGGGGACACGTCCCTTTGTTTCATACCCCCTTCACTGTTAGACCTATCCTGAACACTCTGCAGGGCTAAAAAAAGCGGCGATGAAGACTATTCCACTCACACCCATAATAGCTAGTCCTGGCCAACATTCTAACCACTCCCCATATGTACCTCCAAAAACCACCTAGGGTTTCAATTCACCTCAAAACCACCTCAGCCAGTCCCGCGCCCTAACCTCATACCCATATTCCACCCCCCACTTCCCCCCTCGTGTCCTCAGCCCCACCCGCCCCTAACCCATCAACCAAAAACGCCCTCCACCCCGCCCCTCAACCCATCACCAAAAAAACCCATCCACCCCCTGCTCCCCCGTTCAACACCAAAATGCCACCCCATCCTCCCATCCCTTCTCCCCCCGCCTTCCCCTTCCCCTCTTTTCACTAAACACTAGGATGCACAGAGGGTCTCTGCACTTCACCAGCACCACTGGCATCTAGTTTAAGGAAGAGACCCGAGCTGGGCCCCTGTCCCATGAAGCCAACCTGTTCCATCCCTTAGTGGGGGATAACACAAAGAAATACATCAGAAAAACATCGGTTATCTCAGTTAATATGTCTAATCTGGGAAAATCTACTCTTGTCCGTGTTAGAATCAGCCGACCACAACCGCTGATGGAAACTTGAAACTTACTACGGCTAATGTCAGATCTCTTATGGCGCCAAGATTACGCCAAAGTGCCACACGCCACAGAATCCAATAACAAACGCAACGCAAATAAATCTTACACCGCCAGTTTATTAATTCACACGCGCGCAAACCACTCTCCATGGCGCATAGTTCAACCCTCATACACGCGCAGATTTCAGTACCACGAGGAACATTTACAAACGCGTTGTGCGTTCGTGACATGGCCTTCGTCTCCCCTGCTCGTGTCTGTTTCTGCGCGCGAGGGCGTTGAAAACATTTGCCATCTCTTCTACGCGCACGCGTGAAATATACTTTTGGCCGCTGGGGGCGGGGCCACAGATTTGCAGGAATTCACATTATAAAATAACATGCCTGTTTCCATAATCGTGGTTCATCATGGAGGATAACAGTAAAATACTGTACGTATAGTAAAGTGTGAGTCCTGGTCAACATCACGCAAATACAAGTCAAAGTTGTTCATTAAATAATTTCTTATGTTAATATGAGACAACTTAAGTAATCATAGCAAGTATACACTGAGCAGAGGTACTCTTTTAGGCAACCTTCAAACTAGCACCAAAGTGACACAATTTGTTTTGCCCCAATATGACCTGCCGCTCACCTTAGTTTCTACAAACGGCAACGGTACAAAACTACCTCCCTCCTAAAATATAGTCATACAAATGTTTTTTTTTTTTTAAACTGTCTTTCCATAGCTAACATCGCGCCGGTGTCCCATCGTTGCTTGTTTGCCCATGTCCATCATTTTAATTAATTAATTGATAGTAACTAAGTTCTTCTCTCATTTTTAACTGAAAATTTTAGTAGAAAACTACTGAAATAAAGGACGTAGCCTACATTGTAATATGTTTATATATCAAATAAATATAAAAACGCTCACCAAGTATTTGTCTTCTGAACCAAATCTTCTAACCGCGGGAATTCCTGGAAAGCAGTGGCCCCGTCCCCAAGCGACAAAAGTATATTTCACGCGCACGTGGAAGAGATGGCAAAAGTTTTTCAACGCGCGCAGAACACAGACCACGAGCAGGGAGAAGGCATGTCACGAACGCACACAAACGCGCGTATTGTTGCTCGTGGTACTGAATCTGCGCGTGTATGAGGTGAAATATGCGCGTGGAGAGTGGTTTGCGCGCGTTGTGAATTAAATAAAGCTGCGCGTGTATGTATTATTTGCGCGTGTGGACTTTTTGGCGTAAATCTGGCGCCATAGAGATCTGACATTAAGCGTAGTAAGTTTCAAAGTTTCATCAGCGGTTGTGTGGTCGGCTGATTCTTACACGGAACAAGAATTAGATTTTCCAGATTAGACTGATAACTGAAAACAGATGTTTTTCTGTAATGTATTCTTTGTGTTATCACTAAGGGAATGGAACAGGTGGCTTCATGACAGGGCCCCAGCCGGGTCTCTCCTCTAACTAGACTGCCAGTGGCTGCGAAGCAGAGACCCTGTGCATCCTAGTGTTTAGAGAAAAGAGGGGAAGGGGAAGGCGGGGGGAGAAGGATGGAGAGATGGGTGGCTTTTGGGTGTTGAACGAGGGGAGCAGGGAGGTGGAGGGGTTTTTGGTGATGGGTTAGGGGCGGGGTGGAGGGGTTTTTGGTGATGGGTTAGGGGCGGGGTGGGCTGAGGAACGAGGGGGAAGTGGGGGTGGAATGGTCATGAGGTTAGGGGAGGGACTGGCTGAGGTGGTTTTTGTAGGTGAATTGGAAAACCCTAGGTGTTTTTGGAGGTACATATGGGGAGTGGTTTTTAGAATGTTGGCCAGGACTAGCTAATATGGGTGTGAGAGGAATAGTCTTCATCGCCGATTTTATTAGCCCTGCAGAGTGTTCAGGTAGGTCTAACAGTGAAGGCGGGGATGAAAAACAAAGGGACGTGTCCCCATTCTCTCTTGATGGAGTGGACGTGGCAGGGGGGACCCAAGACAGGTCCATGGGAGGGTGGCGAGGAGTCTTTGATGGAGGGGCAGGTGGTTGAGTAAAACCCCAGCACAGGCCTGTCTGCTGTAGCCTGGGGCGAGGATGGGGGCTTCATAGGCGCTGTAGATGAAGAAGGCGTGACTGCTTCAGAGCAGGCTGGGGATGAGGATGTTGGTGGTGGTGGTCGTGCTGCTGCACATGTATTACATGTATACATACAGCTATATATTATACAGTGTTTTATAATATTGCTAAAGTTAGAGATTTTACCATGGGGTGGGTTGGGTTCATTTATCTAGTGCTGTCTGGTCACACACACACACAGACACACACACACACACACACACACACAGACACACACACACAGGCACACACACACACACACACACACACACACACACAGATAGACAAACAGACACACACACGCACACACACCTGAACCCCAGACTGAGCCACAAAGTTCTGGTCGTTGGCCTCCAGGGCGACTCTCAGACACGTGCTCCGTCCCCAGAACGGAGACACACGAACCAGAAGTTTCTGAGCTCGCTCCTCATCACAGGAGAAGCACTCACTGAAGACCTCTGGGGGAGGCAGAGGGAGAGGGGAGGAAGAGGGAGAGGTTTAGATGGGTTAGATGGGTGACGGTGAAGGTCAGGGTTAGAAGAGAAGACAGAAGCATCAATGAGCTAAAGCCAGATGTTCAAAATGTCCTCACCCCTCCTTTTCCCAGTGGTCCTTACCCCTCCTCTCCCTCCTACAGTGGTCCTCATCCCTCCTCTCCTTCTCCCAGTGGTCCTCACCCCTCCTCTCCCTCCCACAGTGGTCCTCACCCCTCCTCTCCTTCTCCCAGTGGTCATCACCAGGTCCTAACCCCTCTCCCCTGTTGGTCCTCACCCCTCCTCTCCCTCCCACAGTGGTCCTCACCCCTCCTATCCTTCTCCCAGTGGTCCTCACCCCTCTCTCCTGTTGGTCCTCACCCCTCTCTTCCCCCTCCCCTCTCTCCCCCAGGTCCTCACCCATAGCCTGCGTCTCGTACAGTGTGGCCAGCTCCTTCATCTCCGCCGCCTCGTCTGCATCTTTATCTTCCTCTGAGAGTTTCTTCAGGATCTTGGAGGCAGCGAGAGCCGCCGCCATAGAGTCTCTGCTCTGAACAGAACAAATGATTATAAATGATGCTTTAATAACAGAATGGATAATATTAAAATAATACAAATCCATAGTTTCACTTTCAATGTCAACAACACAATCAGCCTGAGGTCAGACATGATCTGGAGAATATTAACTTTTAGGTTTTAAGAACTGACAAAGCACCTCCCAGAGCCCTTCCCCTCCTCCCCCTCACCTCCGACCAGAGCCCTTCCCCTCCTCCCCTCACCTCCTCCCAAGCGATCTGGGCCATAGCCTTGTTGTTGTGCAGGATGGCCCAGAGGAACAGGTCTCTCTCTGGGTTTCTGTCAGGGTCTGCAGACTCCTCTCTGTACATGTTCTGAGATCCCAGACTTTTGGAGTGCTGTGAGGAAGAGGAGGAAGCGGGAGAAGACAGGGTTAGGGTTGGATAAAGCAGTGTTTTTCAACCACTGTGCCGGGGCACACTAGCAAGCTGTATGATATTGTCCGGTGTGCCGTAAGAATTTTGCCTACTTTGTCTAAAAATAAATGCAAACACCGTTGGCGAGTGCTGACTTGTTTTGAACTGTGGAGTAATCACGTTGTACTTTTTCATATCAGTTGGTGGCAGAAGAGAGCAGTACTTTGAAACATAAGAATTGGATGCAACTAACAAATGTAACTGTAGCGGGGAGCATGTGGCGAGTGTGAAGTGGAAGTGATTGAGAAGTTTTGTAAAAGGAATTATGCCATTTCTGAACAGGATTCACATCCTCCGCTCTGACCTCGGCTGTCGGTACAATGCGACAATTTGACAACAGCTCATGTGTAACGTGGTACCGAGCGTGGACCATAGTCGCATGGACCCAGGCCCGTCGTAGGGGCTGTGCGAACTGTGCCATCGCACAGGGCCTGGCACTACACAGGCCCTTCCTCCTTCCTTTATATTTGTTTTCTTTTTTCCCCAAATAAATGCACTAGTTCAGCGGTCCCCAAATGACGGACTGCGGTCCAGGTTTCGGACCCCGAGCCCCCTTTTCTCTGGATATCCGTGATTTTTTTGTTCAAAAGTACATAATTACAAGTCAAATTTTCACCGAAAGCAATTGTAAACAGGCAGGCGCGAGGGCGGCTATGTTCGCAGCAGGGTCCTTGGGATAAAACATTAAGGGACCTGTCAGATAATTTTAGAAGAGGAGGAGCAGTGAAACAAGTGTGTGAGTGCTGCTTTTGCCAATGATTAGTCTGAATGTCCACATCAAAACATATTATAAAAGCATTAGCAAACACTGTATGCCCAGCTTCAGTGCTTGCTCCGAGAGCAATGGATTTTGGGCATTATACGCCTTGTTGTTGTCAGAGTGTGTGGAGGAGCAGAAGGAGCGTATGTTGTTGTCAGAGTGTGTGGAGGAGGAGCAGAAGGAGCGTATGTTGTTGTCAGAGTGTGTGGAGGAGCAGAAGGAGCGTATGTTGTTGTCAGAGTGTGTGGAGGAGGAGGAGAAGAAGCGTATGTTGTTGTCAGAGTGTGTGGAGGAGGAGGAGAAGGAGTGTATGTTGTTGTCAGAGTGTGTGGAGGAGGAGGAGGAGAAGGAGCGTATGTTGTTGTCAGAGTGTGTGGAGGAGGAGGAAGAGAAGGAGTGTATGTTGTCAGAGTGTGTGGAGGAGGAGGAGAAGGAGCGTATGCTGTTGTCAGAGTGTGTGGAGGAGGAGGAAGAGAAGGAGTGTATGTTGTTGTCAGAGTGTGTGGAGGAGGAGGAAGAGAAGGAGTGTATGTTGTTGTCAGAGTGTGTGGAGGAGCAGGAGGAGCGTATGTTGTTGTCATAGTGTGTGGAGGTGTAACCCAGAGGTTAACAGAGCTACCAGAGTAAAAGCATGTTAATAAAAACAGCAATAAATACTTTGAATGTAAAAAGCCAATAAATAAGTTCATATGGTGAAATGTATCTAAAAACGTCTAAAAAGTTATATTTACTTTTTCTGTATATTAATTTAGTTAAAAACATGTGAAACATGCACAATTATTATTAATTACATTTTTAATTGGTTGAGACCCATGTATTTTGAAGGGCACGTTGTTGTGACGCCCCTGCAACAAACAACAGCCAATCAGATTACTAAAAAAGTTCCCCAATGCTAAACGATGTAGATGCAGAAAAACAGCAGAAAAAATAGCAGAGGAACAAGCGCAGAAATCGAGTCTAAACCAACCTAGAAGTCCTTTTTGTACTTCGAAGAAGGTATTTTTGTTTTCCGACCTGTCCTGGTGTCTTGCCAAGCAACAGGACTCGGTGAGTTTCGAGAAATATATGTATTTTTTTGTAAAGCTGTCTAAGAGTTATTTCAAACTTTTACAAAGGTATTGACGGTTTTCCAACCAAGTCGTGGTCTCGGAGGTTTGTGTACTTGGATTAACGGGACTTGGTGAGTGGAAACCATGTATTTTCTTTCTGTAAACTATATTTGTACAAAGTAATTGTTGTTTTATGAAATCCAAAAGCTAAGGTATTTAATTTAAGCTGTTCTATGCGAAAAGGGTAAATGTTTGGTATATTTTAAGCCAATCCAAGCGTTGACTTTGCAGGTCAATGCTCCGTCTTGTTTTTCTTGTCCGCCATGTTGGCGCCATTTTAACGAGCATGGTTTAGGATCGGAAATGTACATTTTCTTAGTTTTAGACTTACCTAGCGTTTTATTTTAAGTGTCTTTACTTATTTTACAGTATGTTGTTTACGTTAGGCCAACTTAGGTTGGGATGAAGAATTGTCGATTAGACAGACTCTGGATTTGAAGATTTGACTCGTGCTTGATCCATGATAGCGAGCCACCCATTGGACCTTGTGTGAACTGTGCGTGAGTCAGGATTTGCCATCTACTGGACGTTGCATGGTTTACATCTGAAATGGAGCTTCGCGAAAGTTCACTGTGGTAGACCCGGCTGCTGCTGCCCAGGCCACAGGCTGCTCTTCCTCGACTCATCAATACCAGCAACGCCCACATCCAGTCAACCAATAACCACCAGGACAGCAAGTTAAAAGCCGGAGACACCCACTTCCCTGCCTTCCGAAGTCTGCAAGGTGCATGTCGCTAACGCACCCGTTCGCAAATGCATGCGTTGTTCTGGAGGGGTCGCTTCTGCTCACGTGTTGCTCGTGCGCGTGGCCCGGCTGTCCTCAGTCTGGCTGCTCGTGGTCTGCTCCTCTTCCGTGTCCCTGCACCTGCTGTGGTTCGCGTGTCTCCACTGCTCTCTCTGCGGGCTCTTCTGCGGGCTGCTCCGCGGGTCCTGTGCTGCTCGTTCCTCATGGTCTGCTGCCGCGCGCAGAAGGTCTGGCGGTGCCGTGCGTGTCCCTGCCTCCAACCGGCGGTGCCGCGTTGTCCCGTTGCTTTTCCCACGTCTCCTGGCATGTGAGTACAGTGAGTGTGCTGACCTGCGGACGGATTAATCCCTGAGTCTGGGCTGCAAGCGGCTGGTTTTGCCCTGCGCACTTGACTACAGGCGCCAGTTTTCGCCCCGTGCTTGGTCTGCAGGCTCTGTTTTTACACGTGTTTGAGCTAACTGAGGGGCAATGCATCTTAAATGGCATCAAATCTCTTTTGTCTGAGGGATATAAGAGGAGCAGTGTGCATCAATTCAGATTCATGTTCTGCCACTTGCAGTAAAACCACGTTGGAAGCTTCATACTGCTTTGCTGCTGCTGCTTCATTTACTTTGACATCTCTCTTCCCTTACATCTCTCTTTCTGAAACACTAAACAGCTACAACAATTTCTACTGCTGTGGCTTGATACAGGATATTGCTGTTATTATCTAAGGACGCTGCAACCACTGCTGCAACTACTGCTGCTGCTACTGCTTCATTTACTTTGATGTCTCTTCACTTTACATCTCTCTTTACTGCTGAGCGGTCAATCAAACTCCTACTCAAAGGCATTCGTACCCGTATTCGTCACTCTTCTGATTGCAGGCTCCCCATCATGCTGCCCATCCTGCAGCAGCTCTGAGCGGCACTGAACTCCGGCTCATCCTCCAGGTACATGTCTGCCCTCCTCGTAGCATCTTCCTGCTCGCCTTCTATGGCTTCTCCGCATAAGCGTTTCACTACGGCTCACTCAACCTTCAATGCGGTCCGAGACGCGGCTTTCCCGACCTATCCTACTGTCCTGATTATCTACTCTCCAACCCAAGATTCTGAGCGTGAGGGCGCCTGCAACATCATTGGCCCTCTTCGGTATGTCTCTCTGCCCCTACAGGTCTCCGCTTCTACGCGGCCGCTGCCCCTTCCGGGGTTTTGGGGGGTTCTCCCAGGACCAGTGGTTCGCCGGGCCGTGGCCCGCTACTTTTCCCCGGAGCATTTCCTCTGCCCTACACGAGACATTCCCAGTGGTCGCGGCCTCGCTGGGGCTCCCCCACTCTTCTCTACAACAGCTGGGGCGCTGGTCCTCTTCGGCTTTCTCCAACTACATCAGGCCAGATGCGACCGCTATCATGGCCGCACAACGTCTACCGGCTTCCTCGTAAGCTCCCAGCAAAGCAAGTAAGCAATAAGATTCTGGTGGCGGCACGCACTTTCCTCAAACGCGCATGTCTCAGCTCGCTCAAAGATTCCTCTGCGCAGCGCCTGGCTGAACATGCGCGTGCTCGCATGTTCTCAGTCGCTCAAAGATTCCTTGCTTCAGCGTCTGGCGAATATGAGCGTGCATCTCATATTCCCAGCTCGCTCAAAGACTCCCCTACGCTGCGACTGGCCGAACATGCGCGTGCGCGCATGTTCCCAGTTTGCTCAAAGATTCCTTGGCTTTAGCGTCTGGCGAATATGAGCGTGCATCTCATATTCCCAGCTCGCTCAAAGATTCCTTGGCTTCCGCGTCTGGCGAATATGAGCGTGCATCTCATATTCCCAGCTCGCTCAAAGATTCCTTGGCTTCCGCGTCTGGCGAATATGAGCGTGCATCTCATATTCCCAGCTCGCTCAAAGACTCCCCCGCGCTGCGACTGGCCGAACATGCGCGTGCGCGCATGTTCCCAGTTCGCTCAAAGATTCCTTGGCTTTAGCGTCTGGCGAATATCCCAATTGCAGGCCCGCTTTTTGGGGATTATGCACGCGAGCAAGCGCCGTGCTCAACAGCATCCTTCCCGGGCCTAGGGCGCCAAACATGTTCAATCATTAAACATGCTTAAATCTAATAAATCTAACGCCATTCTTCCTCATGGGTCTCTCCAAAGTGAAATGGAGCTTCGCGAAAGTTCACTGTGGTAGACCCGGCTGCTGCTGCCCAGGCCACAGGCTGCTCTTCCTCGACTCATCAATACCAGCAACGCCCACATCCAGTCAACCAATAACCACCAGGACAGCAAGTTAAAAGCCGGAGACACCCACTTCCCTGCCTTCCGAAGTCTGCAAACCTCCGCCGCCCCACCTCCTCCTTCTCTCATCGAAGCGTGCTTGCCTACTGCCTCTGCCGTCACCAGTACCTAGGCCCCGGGGGGATTATGCACGCGAGCAAGCGCCGTGCTCAACAGCATCCTTCCCGGGCCTAGGGCGCCAAACATGTTCAATCATTAAACATGCTTAAATCTAATAAATCTAACGGCATTCTTCCTCATGGGTCTCTCCAAAGTGAACTGGTAGGATCTATCCACTGTCCACCGAAACTAGAGGATTCAGGATAAACAACATTGGACTGCTAATCCAAAGACTTTCTGTGGTATACAGATTGTTCAGTCTTTTGCTGAATATTTTGAGTTTTGTGAAGTTTTGAATATTTTATTTTATTGACCATACACAAGTACTGTATTATAACAGTATTATTGTTACTGTTTGGTTGTAAACAACAAAAGGTACTGTGAATATTTAATTATTTTCTGCCTGCTAAAATGTCATGTTAAACAGTTCAATAAGAGTTCACTTGTACTTTGAACTGCTTACAGAAGCATGGAAACAGATAAGACAGAACAAACAGTGATGCAGTATGGATGGTGTACGTTGGAGTTTTCTCCATTACAAAACAGTTATATCACAGTTGTACGTTGAAACCATACGTGTACTTCTGCATAGTCATGCTTACATAATCATTTTAAATGTATATAAGGAGTTAGCCTTTGTCAGTACTTCAGACTTCTGAGGCCAGACTAGGATGACGGGAAGCTGCGTTGTACTTGATCAGAATACGCTCAAACCTTCTGACAATAAAGACTTTATTTTGAAATACGCAGTTATGTCGAAGTCTCGTTTTGTCTTACGTCTGGGTAAATTCACAGTACCTATTACTATAAAAGAACTTGAAACAGAATAGAACTAAACTTCAAAACAGAGTTAACTCAAGTAACGAAATAACTTGAATTGAAATTTAAAAGAACTAAAGGTTGCAACCTACTACTACAATAAACCAACATCAATATTAACCTATATATTGATAGAACTTAAAATAAATTCAATCTTTTAAAAGTAAACTAAAAGGTTTAACGGAAAAAGGATTTCTCAACGTTTAATGTTTAATGTATGTCATTGTCCTTCGTCTATTTTGTTTAAATAATAAGCCGGCAGTTAACTTTACTCACTGGTCTGTGGTCTCTTTTGTCACACTTTTGTGCCCTTTAGTGTGAACAAGCCCATATACTATACAGCCCTTTCCCTGTACTACTCCTCGTAAGTGTTACAGAGGCATGGCAAAAACGTTATTTGATGGGGAAAAAAAATACTTTTGAGTTTGGTAGGGTCTCGCAACACAAGTTTGCACAGGGCCTTGCACCTCCCTTGCGATGGTCCTGCGTGGACCGAACAATAGACGCGGACAGAACCTTACACGCGCAGAGAGACCCATGGACCTGCAGACAGAATCATAGTTTTGTGAGTCAGTATTTGACTTTTTGGGCTGAAAGCGGATTTTTTTAATGTTTTTTTCCCCACAGTTAGTGCCACTTTATTCCCAAACTATTGTTAACTAATTGTATTGAGAAATATTAAACAAAGCGGGGCAACAGTAGCTGAGTTGGTAGAGCACTGGTCTTTGGACCTATTGGTCGTGGGTTTGAGTCCACCACAACCCATGTCATCTGCCCCCACGGTGATGTCTGCTGTCGTTGTGTCCCTGGGCAAGATACTTAACCCCACATTGCCTGAAGCCCCCGCTGAAAGACCAAGGCCATGTCTTCAATCACGGAGAAGCCATCATCCTGTGGACTCACTACTGCAGGAGGATCAGCGAGGGACTGGTGCATTGAGATTTGGGTAGCAGCTCTGATTGCCACCGCCCCGACCCAGAAGTGGATAAAGGGGTAGAAAATGTCATGACATGACAAACCAAGCTCAATGTTAAGGCCTGGATATAAGCACTTTGATGAGAATGACTATATATTGTGGATATACTGTAGGCTATGGAGTATATATTTTGTACATTTTCAACTGGTGGTGTGCCGCAAGTATTTTTCAATGAAAAAAGTTTGCCTTGGCTCAAAAAAGGTAAAAAAAAAACTCTGATAAAGAAATGATGAATTAAGTTCACTTTAAGTTTATTAAGACTTCAGCTCAATAGTTTTTGCAGGTTCCCAATGATTGTAATGAACAGCTAACTCAGAGAAGGATAATGACCTCTTATATATTCAACCAATACCTCTAACGCAGGGATGTCAAATCGGTTCCAGAAAGGGTCACTGTGGCTGCAGGTTTTAGTTCCAACAGCAGGAACACAGCAGACTCCACCTTGTTCTTCAAACCTTCAGGTGAAAACTGGACTCGCCTGAAGAAATGGGTGGAGTCTACTCTGCTCCTGCTGAACTAAAACCTGCAGCCACACCCACCCTGTTCCTGGTCTCCTTGTACAGTGTGTGAATGTGGTCCTGGTCTTACGGAGTCCGAGGCCGTGGACATGTCCAGCAGGTACACGTTGGGGGTGGGGGAGTAGATGTGGTGGGTGAAGGTCCCCAGGAGACGCCGCACCTCCTCGGACACGTGGCTCAGGGAGATGGTCTGGCTCTGGGTGGAGAAGGCTCGAGGGCGCAGTCCCAGCGGCGGCTTGCGGCGGCGCTGCTGCTCCGTGGCTCTGCGGGCGAGGCGCCTCAGGAACAGGCAGGTGGGCAGCTGTCTGTAGAGCTCACACAAAGTCTCCTCCTGAAGGAAGTCCCACAGACTCACACCGTTCTCCAGCAGCAAACTCACAAACTCAGGCTTGTTCCCCACAAGAGCAGACAGCATGGCACTGTGCAGCTGCTCTGACTGAGAGAAAGAGAGAAAGTAAGTAATGTTTATTTATATAGCACATTTTACAGACCAAGGTCACCCAAAGCACTTTACAATGTTCAGAGTTCAGATATTGTTCCAATCATTCCACACACGGTGATGACAGAAGCGAGTCGCCAAGCACACTGGCGCATCAGCCCCCAATCAAAACCATCCATTCACTCTCTACCTATTGTGCATGTTTTTAGTGGTAGGGGAAACCGGAGCACCCGGAGGAAACCTATGCAGACACGCGGAGAACATGCAAACTCCACTCAGCTCAGAAAGGCCCTGTTCCGACCGGGATTCAAACCCAGGACCTTCTTGCTGAAAGGCGAGAGTGCTATCCACTCCGCCACCGTGCCGCCCACGGTGGCCGAGGAGAGAGTATATATGTAAATATAATAAACAATATATAAAAAGCTGCACCTTCCACTGCCTCTCGTCGGTGAAGATCTCTGTGTTGGCGATGTCCACTCTGTTCCAGGCTACAGCGAGCTCCAGCTGCCTCTGAGAGTCCTCAGCCCCAGGACCAGACCCGGGCCCCGAGCCGCTCCTAGAGGCTGACAGAGGGACACTAGATCTAAGACACAGTCCCCACAGAGAGGACACAGAACTGTTTAACCTGGATTTGAACATTGTCAGAGAAGAAGCGTGTCTCACATTTTCAGGAAGTCTGTTCCAGGTTTTAGCTGCAGAAATTTGAAATGCAGCCTCCCCATGTTTAGTCCTGACTCTGGGCACCACCACCAGGTAAGTCCCTGTGCTCAATGTCCCCTCTAATTTTTCATGGGTCAGTGCAAAAACATAAATCCCCTGAGTGGCACGTAGAACACTTTGAGCGAAAGATCTCTGTTGAAAACCATTCACATTTGGATACACCTCCTGTATAAAACTCCTGTATAAAACTCCTGTATACACCTCCTGTATAAAACTCCTGTATACACCCCATGTATAAAACTCCTGTATACACCTACTGATCCCATTTATTTAAGTTACTCCAGCTTCAACCAACTATGACTCGGTTCAATATTCACTTGATCATGATTCAATTCTTTTATAGATGACCAATTAAAGTAGATTGAAGAATATATTTGGTGAATTGCACCAAAAAAACATTATATTCAAAGTGGATTTTGTCTATTCATATTATTTTTGATATAGAGTAATTAGAGTATATTAATACATAGTAGACATGGTTTGATTCAGTCATATGGCATTATAAAATAAAACACATAGACCAATAATTATCTAAGATAATAATATTGCCACAAAACCAACTTTACTCAGCTATAGGCAACTTTGTGCTGAACTGATGGGGACACTGGTCTGACCAGACCTGGTCTTCCCTACATAAGTGCGTGCGTGTGTTTGTGGCTCCACGCACACTGCAGCTGGTGTAGTGCTCGTGACACACCGCTCAAAAGTCCGCGGCAAGACCAAGTGCGCGAGTTCACATGTGCAGGGCGCAGTTGGTGCAAGCCCTGTTCTGGATTGAACGCTGCTTCAGACTTCTGTGTCAGGCGCTTCTCCCACACTTGCGAACAGTGCACCTCATGGTCACAGACAGAGAATGAAGCCTGCGCAGATTCACCGTGGTCCATACTCTGTTGAAATATGCACCCGCGTCGTTTGTGCTGGAGGCACAGGACGCTGGATTTTCATTGTGTGCGCAGGAAAGAGATGTCTGTGCGCTGAGACCCTAAAAGCACTGCGCAATTGTGCACGTGCGCAGCTTAGAGGGAACATTCCCTGTGCTCCTCAGAGTCCCAGCAGGAGGTCAGTCCCTGTGCTCCTCAGAGTCCCAGCAGGAGGTCAGTCCCCCCTGTGCTCCTCAGTCCCAGCAGGAGGTCAGTCCCTGGTCTCAGTCTCTGGTCTCTCTCTGCAGAATGTAATTACTCTAATACTTTTAGGGTTAGACTCAGACTGACCTTTGAGCAGCGCTCGGAGAATGGCCATGTCCACCTCCCCGTCGCTGTCTGCAGTGATTCTGAACACGGTCAGCAGATGCGGCGCCCGGAGGATATCCTGGATCTGACACAAACAGAAGATAATCATGCACCTGCATGTGTCCCACCTCCACATCTCTAACCCCTGAGACCTGTTCTTTGGTCCACCACCAGTTGGCGCTATAGTTAACATGGCTACTGCCCAGAGCAACCGCAGACCACTCTTAAAAACGTCCTAAGTAAGTAATCTTTATTTATATATCGCCGAGTCACAAAGCGGTTTACAGTTGTACTTACTTGTGTCCTCCTACCACCTGAACTCCCTGAGCCGTCATTTTGACTGCTTCCATTCAAACCAATGGAAATCCGAAAAATATTGTGGATCCCTGGCCTGTGATTGGAGGACCACCGGGTGGAAATGTCCATTGTTGTCACTGAGTTGTGACAGTGACTAAAGAGACATTTGTATAGATTTCATTTGGTCTCTGTCACTTTTGGTTTTGTTTTTGTGACACTTTCCTTTTGTTAATTAGTGTTTAGTTTCTGTGTTAGTCCAGTTAGCTTGTTTTGTTTCCCCTTTATGTCCTTGTATTGTACCCATTCAATTACTTCTGAGCTGGGTCTTAACAAGTCATTCCATTTTATGTTGTTGTCCCAAAAGAACTCTGCAGAAAACCTCTGGGGAAGGATGTGTGTTTTTACCTTTTTGGTCCATTCAATGATCCTACAGTCGGAGAAGCAGTCGTACTCTTGACCAAAGAACTTCTTCATGAGCTGCTGGACCAGAGCGATGGAGACGCGGCTCACGGGGAGCTCCGCCACATGGGCCACGACGTCTGCGATCCTGCCGGACCCCTCCATCACCACACAGGGGGTCCCGTTGAGCATGGCGTTGTACATGGTCTGGAACAGGATCGGCTTTGGTACCAATACTCGAGTAACAGTATTACAACATCTACTCTAACCCTAGTCTCCATCTTTAGTTTCCTTCTTTACTTTTCTTTACCTGCTGCTATTATTACTATTGTTTATGCCAGTCATAGTACAATAAACACATCTGTAAATACTAGGGCTGTCAAACAATTCACATTTTTAAGAGTAATTAATTACAAGTTAATTACAGCTTAAAAAGGATTTCATCGAATTGAATTTCTAACTATCTGCGAAATGATGCCATAATTTTCTGTAAATGTTTCTTTGAATGGAAAGATAAATGACAGCATAGTGTACATATTTACTGTTTTTGTTTATTATACAATAAATCCACATAGAATGGCATTAACATTATTAACATTCTGTCTTTCTGTTTAGACTCAGACCAAAACTATTGCTTGCTTGCAATCACGTGATGCATAAACTTCCGGTTGACGGAGTGGTGGTCAGGCCAGCAAGAGTTGCTGCTGATATATGAAGAAAATGCGACTCTTCCGAGTATTTTTTGCTTTTTTGGATATTTCATGACACTTTGAAGCTACTGTGGTGAACGTTCTAACTCATCATTCTAACAATATGCACAAGGCAGAATTTTTCCACTACATGTTTTGGTAATATCAAGGTTGAAGCTACTGGCACAGCGGTAAATGCTAATATGCTAATAAGTCTCCATTCCTCCGCTGTATGTCACTTACATTCTGTAACGTCTTTGTTTATGCTGCCTCCACCATCGACAATAAAACATGTCTTCTGTCTGAATTAAAGACAAGATCCTAGACTGTCTTTTTATTCAATTTAGATTCTAATCCACAGCTAGTGTTACAATCAAGCTTTTGCACTGCTAAACAAATGACGGTTTGGATAAACATGGATGCTGCAACTTTTCCGTCTGTCTGTGGGTTTAAGAACTCAGAGTTAAGGTCCTGAAGGACACATCCTGCATCGTACAGAGCCGTGTAAGTAAGGATTGGTATGAACTTATCATTCTCAACAAAACAATGCGTCTGTGGATGTGTTCTTTTCAGGTCAAACATACACAGTGTTTATTTAAAACGCCAACTCATACCTGACCATTAATTAAATAAAGATGGGGATGTAATAACTGTGCATTGTGACTGCATGGCTGGGTAAATAACTAATCCTTAGAGGTAAAAGCGTTTGCTAGTGAAATGTTAGCAAGCCACTTTTCCTGCGTGTTTTCGTAAAGTCCTGAGTGTGAGGCTCTTTATTCATCTCTTCAAAAGGAATCCTAAAGTATCCATTAAAGGTTTCACGATTCGATCGGTTAGAAAACTTAAAACAACACATGCAAAAGGTATATTCAGACACGCTGCTCTAGTGAACAACTAGCTCGGCTGACCACCAGTCCGTGATACGCATATGTAATGAGGCGGACGTGACGTCAATTGGAAGCAAGCAATTGTTTGTTACAGATGAGGGACATTTCAAAACTGACAGTCTGAAATACAGAATGTCATTTGCTCACACCATTACTTTTGGGCACAAACAACATGAACTGGTAGTGGAAGGGAAAATTAGGTACCCCAGCTTTAATTTAGCGAGTGCGCTTCGGGAGAAGACATGGAGAAGACTGAGGCTCCGTAGTCCAGCTTCAGCACTGTATTTTTTGTGTGCACCGTTTACGCAAAGACACGCACACTACAAGCAGAGAATAGTTTTGTGCGTGTATGGTCTTGGATATGACGTTACGACGGCACCGTTCGCCGTGATCACAGCCGCTGGAGGTGGGAACTGCTGCCCAGAGCGCCCACAGCTCAACTCGCAGAGTTCAGCTGTGAACCCCACTCTGCCTGAAGCCCCCGTGGAAAGATCAAGGCTATGCTCTCACCGACAAAACAGCCTCCTGTGGACTCCCCTCTTGCAGGAGGATCAGCGAGGGGCTGGTGCTCTGTGTACTGGGTGCAGCTCTGACTGCCAACCGCTGACCCATAAATGGAAGAAAATGGAGGGATGGATAAATACCTCCTGATGCTGCTGACTACAGTGTAAACTCCACAAGTGACTTATCCTTGAACTAAGTACAATTATAGCTCCAGAGTTTTATTCCATTGTTATATTTTATCATCATTTTATCATCCATAATAGATCATGTTTGAGGGCTCTTATTTTCTTTTATTCTGCTGTAATGTGTGCTACAACGATAACATTGAAATTCTGTGGCTGAATAAACCTAGTCATCTAACCCTAGTCTCCCTGACCCAAAGACTCACGTTGAGAGTTCCTGGTCCTCCGTCCAACACCACACACACCACAGGGATGTCCACTCCGCTGGCTGAAACAAACATGTGTGTTAATCTCAGAGACACGTCTCAGTGTCCAGCGGCTCTAACCTGAGCTCCACGCCCTGACCTTGGTTGGAGAGCCTCTTCCTGGATATGTACTTCTCCAGCCGCGCCCTCAGCTGGATCTCGGCTTCGTACTGACCATGTGTGCCATTGTCCACCAGCAGGAAGTGTGTGTGGTTCTGGTCCAGGCAGCAGAGGTGGCCCTGACCCTCCACATCCGCCTCGTAGTAGGCCGGGAAACAGCCCTGCAACCAGGGGTCAGAGGTCAGGCCAAAGTCAGAGGTCATCTTGTCTTCTTTGTAGATACGAGTAAAATACCTTAACTGAGTGTGTATGTGTCTCTGTGTGTTTCCGTTTGTGTCGCCGTATGTATTGCTGTATGTGTTGCTGTGTGTGTGTGTGTCTCCGTGTGTATCTCTGTACCTTGGGGTTGATGAGGGTATGTCTGTTGTGGAGGATCCCCCATGTGGCCACCCCGATGGCGACGATGTGCCCCCCCATGGAGCTGCTGAGGGCGTGGTCTCTCACCGCCTGCCCCACGTGCTTCATCACCCCAGTGTTAGTGCCACCGGTCAGAATCCAGGCCCCTGGGAACACATTACACCAGGCTTAGAGAGAAAGAACACATCACCCCAGGGTTAGAGAGAAAGAACACATCACCCCACGGTTAGAGAGAGAGAACACATCAACCCAAACCCCATTTTCCATAAATAAATAAAAATATGTGTTATTTTGCTCATTCAATTCAATTTAATTCACATTTTCACAAAAACATGACAAAATGAAAAAGTTAAAGATGTACACTGTTAAACCCAAAGTTAATTCACTTGAATGGTTTCAGCTCTAACCACTGTTGGTAAATAAGTGTAGCAGAGAGAACTCATTGGTTGAAGTTGAATGGACTTAACATATATAGTGTTGCATGTGATGCACTAGAATGAATACATTTAACTTGGTCCAATCTATTTTAAGTTTATTCTAAAATATAGTTTGAGTACAAATGTGTGTAAGAGAATGAGTTTTGAAGTCAACACTCAAATGAAACAAGTTAATGAGATCACTACTACAACCTTTAAGTTGAAAGCACTTTCACTATCTTTAAGTTTTCAGAGCTCCTCCTATATTTTTCCCGGCTGCACTGGAACCAGGGACATGTCTGGACAGAGTCGTTTGTTTGAATTTTTCAAGAATAAGCAGTTTATTAATGTTTTCCTTGGACTTGAACGTGTTTTTCCATTCTGCAGTTGATAGAGCGCACTCTTCCTCAAGTCAAAGGTGAGTTAAATCTTTGTATTAAGTTTATTATTTATTTTTAAAATGTATTTTACATTATGCAACTGCACAAGCTAATGTAATCTCCTGAACATTGTTTTGAGTCTATTGTTTTTCTCCATTTTTAGACAAGGTTATTTTTTTTATCTTTTTATTATATACGGTACACGTAGCCAGTCTCTGTCACTGAAGCTTGCACACGCGTTACACCGGACTCCAGTGACATAGCGACGTTAGCGACCAGCTACCATGGCTTTCCCACGGACGCTGGAGCAGAGAGAGGACCAGCAGGAGCAGAGATGGGACCAGCAGGAGCAGAGAGAGGACCAGCAGGAGCAGAGAGAGGACCAGCAGGAGCAGAGAGAGGACCAGCAGGAGCAGAGAGAGGACCAGCAGGAGCAGAGAGGGGACCACCAGGAGCCACGCGGAGAGTCTGCTCCAGCGTTCGTGGGAAAAGCACAGAGCTGGTCGCTCATGTTGCTGAGCCCGCTGGAGGTTTGAAATGTAAGCTAAGCTAACTCTGGTGCTACTGCTGCAAACCAGAGAATCAAGTCTTTACTTTGAACTAAAGATGGCGGTTAGTTCAGTGCACGCACTTTCACTGGTAGTGTCATGGCTGTAAAGATTTATTTACTGTAAAGATAAGGTTACACAGACCTGTTGTGGGGTTTGGGTTATAGTTGCTTAAAGTAACACAAATAATTTAAAATGTTCTTTCCTTTCTCCTTCAGAGCTGAAGTGGTCAAGCCGGATTGTTCAGGGGTGACTGAATGCCAGGTTTGTTTTTGTTTATTGTAAATCTTGTGTTATATTTTTGAAAGTAATAATTGGGGCTTGTTTATAGGTCAACTTGGAATTCAACATAATTACTGGAAAAACGTCCATTGGAGAATTATTTACTTCTCTGGATGGTTTTTACCTTGGCTTTCAAGAGGTCTTCACCAGAAGGACAGAATATGAAGGCAAATGTTCAAAAGCAAAAGGTGAGTTGGATTCATAACTCAAGCTTCCTATTCTTCTTCGGGACAATGCTTTTAAGTCACAAAGTAAGTAATGTTTGAATATTCAAATTATACTTTTTCTTTTACTGGTTGATGTGTTTTCCAAATTCTAAAACATAAAAAAACAGATACAACCCAAAACACATATTAGGATGTTTTCACACATGTGAATGCGCTTCCTGGGAAAGATTATAGGAAAAAACTGCCCTCTCCATTTTTTTAACAAAACTCTGGTCTTATTTGACAAGCACAAATGACCAAAATAGTTGACAATTGGGAGGACTAGTACTTGCGTTACTCTCCACAAACGGGTTACTCACTGTTTCTTCTTGTTTCCCCTTTGCAGAATTCTGCTGATGGTGACCCACATCCCCATAGAAATCATAACACTGGATAACAACAATTTTTTTTTTAAAAAATAGTCCAGGGTTTTCCAGCTGAATTAGACTAATTTTGATGCTCTGAGTTGAAAAATGACCTTGGTTTTGCTCAATCAGGTCAGGATTTTTTGCTACAGAAATATTTTTTTTAATCGATTTTGCGTAAAAAACAAATTTCTGCGGATCATCAGCTGAGAAACCCTTGACGTTTTTTTCCGTTTTCCTCAAGAAATAAAAGTCAACGTATCCAAAGTCATTCAGTTTTTATTTACTCAACTTTAAGTTAGTTTTAATTAAATATATGAGCTTTGAAGTAGTACTAAGCAAAGATTTGAGTTTTCTAATATTGACACTACTAAATCAAAAAAGTTTTCTTTTAGTAATTCCCCTAACAAGTTAAGTTAACTGAACATAAACATATTAGTTCTAAAATTGGAAAACTTAAACACATTAACTGGCTATGACTCCATATAGTAATTTGTGTTTTGTTTTACTTTTTTAAGTTTACTCTACTTAATCAATTCATAGTTTTGCCTCAGGGCAATAACTCAATCGGTTTGAGTGGAATTGGTTTCCTAATGTGAATTGAGTAGTCTGAACTTGTCCGGGTTTACAGTGTAAACGTTCTTTTGGAAGTGTTCTGGAAACCAGTGATGTGTGAACTTAGAGCTTTAACCTTTGAATAGTGCGTTTCCTGAAGACTTACTCTAGGTCGTGGACGCTCCGCTCGCTCTAAAACCTAATATCAGACACACACTCCTGAGCCAGTAAAGCATGTACTTGGATACATTTGTTTCTCTCGTCCCAAAGAAATATTCTACAGCAGCTGATGGTAATAGTTTTCAGCAGAATAAATAGTATATGTTTGTGTTACTGTGGTCGTACCTGTGGTCTGGGCCACCTTGATGAGGCCCCTGTGGAACATGTTCTTGAGGCGGGCCCTCAAGTAGAAGTTCTTGGCTCCTCCAGTGACTGAGATCAGCAGGTTTGGAGGAGGCAGCTTCCACTGCTCTGTCAGCAGCTCATACAGCAGCTCAGGCTCAGTGTCCGAGGAGACTCGGACATACTACACACACACACAAGATCATGATCTACAGACTCAGTCCTGGATCGTCACACAATAGGGAAATAGGGAAGTAGGGAAGCAGACAGTGGACAAAAACTCTATACTATAAAACAAGATCAAATCCAGACACACTGTAAAAACGAAAAAGTTAGTTCAAGGTAACTGGCTGCTCGCAACTTTGGAGTTGAAGGCATCAAATGTATTCTTTATGTTTTGAAGAACTACAATCATTAAGTTGTGTCAGCTAAGTGTTTCTAGTTCTGCCAAATACGTTTTTGGAATTCAAGTTACTGGGACTTTCAAGTCTGTAAAAACTTACTATTTTAAGTTCAGATTACAGTCCCCTGCAATAACTTACTATTTTGAGTTTAAATTACCCCCCACATTAAATCATCATGTTTCATCCTCATGTTTATTTATATAGCGCTTTACAGACCAGGGTCACTTGGGTAGGGGAAATCGGAGGACACCCATGCAGACATGGAGAACATGCAAATTCCACTCAGAATGACCCTGTTCCGACCAAGAAGCGAGAGTGCTATCAACTCAGCCACCGTGCCACACACACTGTAAACCCGAATAGTGGGGAAAACTAATGTTTCTTAAGGAAACTCGTCCCCTCTTATAAAGATTAGTTTTATAAATACCATGAACATAACAATATAAGTTCATTAAACACAGTCTACAAGTTGAATACGTTTATTTTACTTTTTAGTAACATGTCAACTTCAAAGTAAAATGAACTTAAAGTAGCAGTATGTAATATTTGCATGTCAAGTCATCATTAAATGGCCCCCATATTTCAAAAGGCATTATTAAATCATACTCTTTTCGAATACATCTTTAACTGAAAACAGTAGTTCAGCCGAGATATTTGCATATCAAAATTAGTTTTACGACCCGTAAAAGTTGTTATTGTTTTGATTTTGCTGTCCTACCCTCCGCCGTTTTGCCAATCAGGAAGTGTCATATAAGTCCGTGATCGGGTTGCCAGAACTCCGCGTGGCTCACTAATCTCACTGGTAAAATAACATGTGGCCGCAGAACTAAAAAAGGTCTTGTTATGACTCTCAAATAATTAATGACAAAACAAAGACTAAAACGAGGATTTATATCGGGATGCCTTTGAACAATTGAGACAGCTGATGAGTTTTTGTGTGATGCAAAATTTTCTCGTTTGAGTCCGTTCTTCAGAGTGATGTTTTCAGCACGCATTGGTGGTCGAGTGGTTAAAACTACGTGTTCACGATGCAGTAACCTAGGTTAGATTCCGGGCAGAGCCTTTTTGTATTTAATTGCATGTTATCACATTCTATGACAGATTGCTCTAAAAACGGTAAAAGACGAAGGTCAAGACGTTTTTTTGCAGATTATAGCTTAATTGTAAAAAGAATCATTTGAGACCACATGTACCCCAATTAAAATAATGTTAGTCTCTTTTTTATGTGGGACTTATACATGTTTGTCTAAAAAATAGGGAATAAATAAAATGTAAAGGTGTTGATACGCTGAAGAAATACATCCATTCTTCCCACTCCTATTTTGGACATCAATTGCCCATTTATTTTGGATAATAATTATTTTGTTTTTTGTTTTTTATCTCAAATGTCCAAATAAAAATGAAAAATTCAACATTCATTCAACATTAGCATGCCTCATGGCAATGTGAATGGAGACAGACAAACAACTGATAAAATAATTCCCTGTGTTTGCTGCTGGATTTGGTGTGTATCTGGCAACCTGAGTCAGGGAGAGTGGGAGAGGACTACAAAATATTGACTGTGACTGCAGTACCATTTTTGGCCAGATTTGTACATATTGTTCCTTTAATTTATCAAAAAAGGTGAACTTTTCATCAGTAACTTCTGAAAGTGAGTTCAAGTGGCTCCCTACAGACGGTTCAAGTCCCAACTTGCAATTCTATTGTCAGTGAATGCAAAAATCTTAGTAAAGTGAACAATTTTGAGTTGTCGTTTTTACAGTGTAGTAAAATAAAGAAGCAAGAAACTAAGTCTATGTCAGCCTAACCCAGGTTCATATGCACCTTGGCGGTCTTATGTCCCAGGCCTCCAAGGCACACATTCCCATAGGCGTCAGTGGGGGCCTCTCGGACATGTTTGTGCAGGTCCCAGCTCTCTACGGCCTCAGCGGGTCTCAGGGCCTCGTCCACATGACTGTTCTTCCTCAGTCCGCACCCACAGCGACCCTCACTAACACACAGACACAGGTAAGTTACAATCCTTTTAATCGAGAGAAGTTCTGATAAAGGGTCCACAGCCTCAGTTCTGGGTCTACAGCCTCAGTCCTGGATCTACAGACTCAGTCCTGGGTCTACAGCCTCAGACCTGGGTCTACAGCCTCAGTCCTGGGTCTAAAGCCTCAGTCCTGGATCTGAAGCCTCAGTCCTGGGTCTTTAGCCTCAGTCCTGGATCTAAAGCCTCAGTCCTGGGTCTACAGCCTCAGTCCTGGATCTGAAGCCTCAGTCCTGGGTCTTTAGCCTCAGTCCTGGATCTAAAGCCTCAGTCCTGGGTCTACAGCCTCAGTCCTGGGTTTACAGCCTCAGTAACTATTTGCCAAAGTACTCCTTCCACCCCTCACTGATTAATATAATCATAATAAGGTAAGTAAAGTAGTAATACTAGCAGTGAGTGGTAGTAGTAAACATTAGTACTAGTAGTAGTACCTGGTGCTGGGTTTGAAGTAGCAACATTCCTTCTTGCAGACGTGTCTTTGGATCCAGCCAGAGTAACTGCGCATCTGCACGGAGGGACATTTGGTCAGCGATAAACTGTTCTCGGCCTGAATCATCGTCAAGACCCAAACGGGACACAGGACATGGGTGTAGACTGGAGGGAGAGGTCTGTGTGTGTGGGACGGAAGGAGAGGGGAGATGGGGAGAGAGAGGAGAAACTGGAGCGATGGGGAGAGATGGGGAGAGAGAGGAAACAGGCGAGAGAGAGGAGACAATATGGGGGAGAAACAGGAGATGGAGAGAGAGAGGAGACACAGGAGAGATGAGGGGAGATTGGGAGAGAGGAGAAACCAAAGAGAGAAGATGGGGGAGAAACTGGAGAGACGGGGAGAGAGAGAAGGAACCAGAGAGGAGAATGAGAGAGTTAACAGGCGAAAAGGGGGCTCCAGATAAAGAGAGAGTCACTGTCAGAGCCAGAGAGACAGGACTGTGCTGAGTCACTGCAGAGAGACAGGTCCAGACACAGCTCTGATCAATACTGCTAATGCTCCTGCTGCTGCTGTTGATATTGCTGCTGCTGCTAATGCTGCTGCTGTTGATATTGCTGCTAATGCTGCTGCTGCTACTGCAGGATTATACATGCAATAAGGCCCTGACCCTCGGGGTGGACAATGGAGCTTCTCCAGCACCAAGAACCAACCCCTGTTTATGGTGGACGGGGGAGAGTCACACACATTTGAAAACCAAGATTTTAGTGAGTCCTACGGACTAGACGGGTGAGGAAGGGGTGAGGAATCAGGTCTTGTCCATACAAACAGTGAGAGGAGCTGGTGACACGGGGCCAACAGGCTCTGGGGACAGATCTGAGTCAAGGATTATAATGAAACTATAATGATGTTTGTCTGAAACCATTACAGATGTTTTATAAAGTCAATCAACATCATACAGTCCCAGACCAGTGGGAGCTGGTCCAGTCCCAGTCCCAGACCTGTTGGAGTTGGTCTAGTCCCAGTCCCAGTCCTGTGTCACATCAGTCACATGAAGAACCTTTGAGCCACAGCAAACTGCAGTAAACGTGTTCATAAAAGCAGAAGAGTCAAGGACCAGAGCAGTTCATACTGTTAAAGATAAAAACACTTTACAGATTCACCTGCTGACTCGTGAAGACTCCAACACCATAAAGATACTGTAGGTACCATGAAGAGAGGACCATCGTGTTTGTAAACCACTGTTCAGTAAAAAGGAACCATGGCTCCAGAGATTTGGGTTAAGGTTTGTTCCAAGTCTCTCCACGACCTCGACCAAATCTGTGAGTTAGTGACACTGAGGAGCACAGGCACTGGCCTCCTGCTGGGACTCTGAGGAGCACATGGACTGGCCTCCTGCTGGGCCAGACTCATGACTAAACATAAGGAGGCAGCGTTTCAGATTTATACAGCTCAAATCTAGAACAATCTTCTTTAGAATGTGAGACAGGCTTATTCTTCTGTTCAAATCCAGGTTAGAAACAGTTGTGTTCAGCTAGGCATTCTTCTTCAGTGTTGGCTGTGTTTAAGTAAAGAGCAGGTATGTACAGTTTTATTTAAGAATATTTACTGATAATATATTTTTATATATTACTGGTATTAAGTACATTCAGGTTCTCTACTCTGAACCCTCTGATGGTCCCTCACACTGGTCCTCATCACCAGGAGACAGATCTATCAGCTGTTCCTCAGGAAATTTTTATAAGTCATTTCACTGCAGACTTTGGTCTTTGAAATACACCAGAAACTACATGATAATAATAATAATTATAATAATAATAATGCATTTGTCTCAGCTGTTTTCTAGACTCTCAAAGTCTCTTCACATCGTTATTCATTCACTCCATACACAGTGGTGATAAAATAATATTGTAGCTACAGCTGCCCCGGGGCACACTGCCAGAAGCTAGGCAACCAGTATGTGCCATCGGCCTCTCACCACCACCAACCAACACACACCACCCACGTCCATTGGCGTCTAATATACAATGTACAGTATATGTCATTCCAACACAGACATGTCACAGTGAGGGTGCTATCACACCTGCACCATTTAGTCCACTTAAAACGGACTGGAGTCTGGATCACCAGCAAGTACGGTTCGTTTGAACAGGTGTGAAAGTGGACCAGTTAAATTTGGTCCGGACTAAAGAACCGCACCGAGACCACCTTATGGAGCTGGTCTCGGTACGGTTCCATGTGGACTGCAGTCTGGTTCGCTGCTCGTGAGAACGCTGACCGGCCTCGATATGGCCCTGCTCTGTTGCGTAGCTCACTTTTTGACACACACATTGTGTTTTTTATATGATAGAATAGTCAAAAACACCCGCAGAGTGTTCTCGTGCTGAATCCGTGATACATACTGGAACAACTGCAGTATTTGTGCTGCACAAAGCAACGATGATAAAAAAAATAGCCACACACTAGAGTAGCACAGTTCATTGTTAAGGATCTGACAAATTTGTTTTCTTCCGGTATTTTTCACTCCTGCGCCAATCAGGTTTCACATACATCATCCAATACACAGTATTTTGTGAACAGCGCCACCACATGGGTGGCAGAATATGTAACATCCACAGTGGTTGGTTAATTTTCAAAAACCCTGGTGTGAATGAGAACCAAACTAGCTGAGAACTGCAACATTGTAACAACTTTAGGGCCCAAGCGAACAAATTTACTGGACCAACAGGTGTGAAAGCACCAGACCAAGCCCCTGTTGTGATGCCACAGTTTTCATGACCAGAGTCAAAGGGCTTCTGATAAAGTGATGTTCTGTACTGACCTTGAGGTTCCCCACGACGTGCTGCAGCTTCGGAGCGTCCTCCTGGAGCCTGCTCCTGGTGATGGTGGTGGTTCTGGGGGAGGGAGAGGGCTGGACCCGGTTGGAGTAGGACTCGGGCAACATGTCTGAGAGCAGAGGGGCAGAGGCGTTCCTGAGAGCCATGTGGAGGACTGTAGACTCCTCTTAGCTTATCTGGTCTTATCTGCCTCAGACTCATGCACGCTCGTGGCCTTGTGCACGCTCACATTGAAGGAGGAGAAGCAATTTCCAGTCAGAGGGAGACTTGAGAGCTTTATATTCCATTAAGAAGGCATCACTCAGAGGCTGCACCACAGAGACACTGACGGTAACTAATGCGATGAGGACTTTATATAGTTCTACTTTCATTCAGTTTATTTAATACACACAACTGCAGCTGACCAGAGTGAGGGCTAGATAACAGAGCATACACATCAGACCCTAACATCACTTGTAGAACATTTATATGCAATAAACCCACACAGTAAAGTGGGGATCATGCATGATCCAGGAGTTTGAACTAAACTAGGGTTTGTCTTGTAACTCCAACACTAACTCATCTTAAAACAGTGGATCATTTAATCTTGGAAGCTACTAGGGACCAGTGGGGGCGGGTCCCGGCTTCAAAAGGTCCATGAGCACGTCCACTGACACACTTGCAATACCGCTCCGGGCCAGTGGGGGTGTACCCGGAAAGAGAATTTCCCTAATGCATTTGTATAGCGTTTTCTTTCCTCTTGAACACCTCTTTACAGGATGTTCCAAAAGGGGCTCTTGGTCCAACTTCATCCTGTAGTCAACCACCAACCAACCGCACACACACACACACACACACACACACACACATACACACCCACACAAGCACGTACACACACACACAAACAAACAAGACTTACTGTGGATAGATGTTGCAGACGAATCAGGAACATGGAGCAAAACAGAACTACACAACAGTCTCCCACAGAACTACACAACAGCAGTTGTAATATCTATTGTTGTTGTGTTGTATTTTCTCCAGAGTGGAGTTGCTCAGAGACTCCAAACTGTGGCTCCGGTTACATCCCTTCTGACCAGAATTACTGATCGCATAACCTCTACACAATGTGCCATAAAAAAGTTGGAAGGTTTCTCTCTTTCATTCTGGTATCTGTCACCCTTGTCTTTCTCTGGCCTCTCTCTCTCCCATGGTCTCTCTCCCTCTCTTTTCTCTCCCTCTGTGTGTCTGGTCCCTCTTTCTGGTCTCTCTCTCTCCCCCGTTGGTCTTTCTCTCTTTAGTCACTCTCTGGCCTCTCTCTCTCTCATTGGTCTCGCTCCCTCTCTTGTCTCTCTCTGTGTGGGTCTGGTCTTTCTTGCTGGTCTCTCTCTTTTCTCTCCCTCGTTGTGTGTCTGGCCTGTCTCTCTCTTCAGTCTCTCTCTGGCCTCTCTCTCTTTCTATGTCTGGTCTCTCCTTCTTTGTGTCTGGTCTCTCTCTCTCACACTCTCTCCCTGGTCTCTTTTTCCTGGGCCTTGTTGAGATAACAAAGTCCCAAAGGCTTGGAGATGAAAACACACCTCTGTATGAGCGGGTCTCTCTCTCTCTTATGCATTGATTATTTGTCACAGAACATTTACTAATTTCAAAATCGGCCTATCCAGAACTGGCCTTAAATCTGGTGATGACGAGAGAGACGCCTCCATCTTCTTCTCCTTCTTTCAACACAACAATGGGTTTCATCGGAATTATTACTTGACAAATGAGAAAAAACAAAACTATCCAGAATATTTCACAAAAGTCCCTCTTGTTATGATAAAATATTTCGTAACACTTAAAAGTATAGTAGGATTTTCCCAATGTTTAGGGAAGAGCGGCCCTCTTCACTTTTTGAACAAAGCTCTCTGATTGATTATTGACTATTGGTTGACCACGAATCACCAGAATGACGGTGGCACGGTGGCTGAGTGGTTAGCACTCTCGCCTCTCAGCAAGAAGGTCCTGGGTTCAAATCCCGGTCGGACCAGGGCCTTTCTGAGTGGAGTTTGCATGTTCTCCCCGTGTCTGCGTAGGTTTCCTCCGGGCACTCCGGTTTCCCCTACCACTAAAAATATGTCCAATAGTTCTGCCATGCGCCTCCTGTACTGGTGACCCCGCTCCCATCTCTGTGTGGAGTGAGAGACAAAGGCCCAAACATTAACAATTGTAAACCGCTTTGAGACTCAGATCTGCAGTGAAAAGGCGGTATATAAATAAAGACTACTTACTACTTACTACTTACAATTGGGAGGACCAATAGTCTTGATGATCCACCCGGAAGTAGAAAATCCTCCTGTATACCTTTAAGATTTGCCCTCAACAGCTAATTAAGCACTAATTACCAACCAAGCAAGGTGATGTCAAAACACTGTAATTTCAACGTCATTGCCCGACGTAGAAAATAGGTGCTGGTGGGTGCAGAACGTTTTCAGACGTCTTTTCCCGACGTCATCTGGACCTCCAAATCTGATGTCGAGGCCCGTCCATTACAATACAATTACGATACAATGTATTATTGTATAGCCCTAGGTCACAACAGAAGTAATCTCAGAGGACTAAACAAAACCATTGAAATCACCAACACAGGTCAGAGAATCAACAGTTAAAACACATGAAAAATATAAAGCACACACAGAAGAAAATGTCCTTACATGTTTGTAATACAAAATATGATTTTGTAATGTAATACAAAATAACATTTTATAATCATGTGTGAAACTTAAGAAAAATGCTTTAAAATAGTGATCCTGATGGTCAGTAATGTGATGTATGTAACATTAAGCTAATTAGGTTAAAGTTCATTTAAGTGTGTTAAAGTTCACGGCAAGGAAGGACCGTATATGCTTAGAACTAGGCCAAAGTTCATTTAAGTAGGTGAAGGTTCAGCCTGCTCCCCCCTGGACTGCCACCTTAACGTGGTGGGGGAGTTTGAGTACTCGGGTGATCCTGGGAGCTACAGTGCCTTGCGAAAGTATTCGGCCCCCTTGAACCTTTCAACATTTCGCCATATTTTAGTCTTCAAACATAAAGATATAAAATTTTAATTTTTTGTCATGAATCAACAACAAGTGGGACACAATCGTGAAGTGGAACAAAACGATTTTTACTTTCAGTGCAGCAAACTCACTCCAGAAGTTCAGTGAGGATCTTTGAATGATCCAATGTTGTCCTAAATGACTGATGATCCATCCATCCATCCATCCATTTTCTACCCTTTAATCCATTTCTGGGTCAGGGGGGTGGCAGTCAGAGATGCCACCCAAGTCTCATAGCACCAGCCCCTCACTGACCCTCTGCAGGTGGTGAGTCCACAGGAGGACGGCTGCTCTCTGAGTGTGAGCATAGCCTTGATCTTTCAGTGGGGGCTTTGGGCAAAGTGGGGTTAAGTGTCTTGCCCAAGGACACAACGACAGCAGTCATCAGTGGGAGTCGGTGGAGAAGGTGCAGAGGTGGGAATTGAACCCACGACCTTCTGGGCTTAAGGCCAATGCTCTACCAACTGAGCTACTGTCGCCCCCATGACTGATGATGATAAATAGAATGCACCTGTGTGTAATCAAGTCTCCGTATAAATGCACCTGCTCTTTGATAGTCTCAGGGTTCTGTTTAAAGCGCAGAGAGAACCATGAAGACAAAGGAACACACCAGGCAGGTCCGAGATACTGTTGTGGAGAAGTTTAAAGCCGGATTTGGATACAAAAAGATTTCCCAAGCTTTAAACATCTCAAGGAGCACTGTGCAAGCAATTATATTTAAATGGAAGGAGTATCAGACCACTGCAAATCTACCAAGACCCGGCCGTCCCTCCAAACTTTCATCTCAAACAAGGAGAAGACTGATCAGAGATGCAGCCAAGAGGCCCATGATCACTCTGGATCCATTCATTGAAGTATTTAAATTTCCACTACAAAGGTCAGATGATACGACAACAAAGTCGATCATCGACCTCCGGCCTAGGGTGTCCTGGTGCCACGTGCACTGATAGACACCCTTGTGCTCGAACATTCTGATGTCAGAAAGAGACTTTGTATATCTTTATGTTTGAAGACTAAAATGTGGCGAAATGTTGAAAGGTTCAAAGGGGCCAAATACTTTTGCAGCATACAGCATAATACTGTATGCTGTCTGCTGCTGTCTGGACCCTACCAGGGGCTTCATGCCCCTGGTAGGGTCTCCCATGGCAGACAGGTCTCAGGTGACGAGTCAGACGAAGAGCGGTCCAAAAACCACCATGGACAGCACTAAAATGAGACCAGTGACGTCGCCCGGCATGGCGCAGCCGGGGCCCCACCCTGGAGCCAGGCCTGGGGTCGGGGCTCGTATGCGAGCGCCTGGTGGCCGGGCCTTAGCCCACGTGGGCAGTCCCTCCTGTGGGCCCACCACCTGCAGAGGGGTCCGTGGTGGCGCGGTGCTAAGAGGACTGGGCAGCAGTGGAAGGCGGAGACCTTGGCGACCCAGTCCACACACACAACATCTGGCTCTTGGGACGTGGAATGTCACCTTACTGGGGGGGAAGGAGCCCGAGCTCGTGGGGGAGGTCGAGCGATACCGACTAGAGATAGTCGGCCTCACCTCCACACACAGCTTGGGCTCTGGAACCCAACTCCTTGAGAGGGGTTGGACGCTCCACTTTTCTGGTGTTTCTCGCGGGGAGAGGCGGCGAGCTGGGGTGGCCATACTCATTGCCCCCCACCTCAGCCGCCACGTGTTGGAGTTCTCCCCTCCGCCTTCGGGTGGGGGACAAGTCTCTCACTGTTGTGACGGCTTACGGGCCTAACAGCAGTGCAGAGTACCCGGCCTTCTTGGAGTCCTTGGGAGGGGTACTGGACGGTGCACCAACCGGGGACTCCGTTATTCTCCTGGGGCCCATGTGGGAAATGCCAGTGATACTTGGAGAGGGGTGATCGGGAAGAACGGCCCCCCTGATCTGAACCCGAGCGGTGTTCAGTTGTTGGACTTCTGTGCCAGTCACAGTTTGTCCATCACGAACACCATGTTCGAGCACAAGGGTGTCTATCAGTGCACGTGGCACCAGGACACCCTAGGCCGGAGGTCGATGATCGACTTTGTTGTCGTATCATCTGACCTTTGTAGTGGAAATTTAAATACTTCAATGAATGGATCCGAGAGAAAA